ATTGAAGCTGGCGACGAAGACGCCGACATGTGGGAGACTAGAAGCTGCCCACCAGATCCACAGGAGACGCGAGACGAGCCGTCCAAACTCTTCAAGGACAAGGAAGACATGCAAAAGTATTTCAGCAAGGTCGTCAAGAAGAAGGTACTCTTCAATCCATCGTCGTGCCCCACCTTTGATACGGCCTGGGAAGACGCTCACGGGAAGGGCTGGCCAGGCTCTGACACAGGCAGCGAGGATTCGCACTTCCATGACCCGGTGGCTCCCGCCGACCCGGTGGTTGCCGAGTTCTGTCGGATGGTCTTGAAGATTGTTGCCGATGCCCAGCTTCACCGCCGAGCCCACACTCCTTGCTGCTTCAAGTATGAACGGTACAAACGGGCGGCGCAGCGCAAAGGGAAATCTCGGTTCTCGTTCCCTCGAGCGCTCATTCGATGTACCTACATTGACAAGAAGACTCGCGTAATCCACATGCGTCGCCACCATCGATGGGTCAACGCGTTCAATCCATTCATTGCCTACCTGCTGAAGTGCAATCACGACATTCGATACCTCGGACAATCCACTGATGCAGCATATGCTGCCGTAAGGCTGACGGCGATCACACACACACTGACAGTGAGCCTGGCATGCATTCATATGCTGGTACGCTTGCGTTGTATCTACCAGGTCCACTATTGCACCAACTACGCAGCCAAGATGGAGCTGCCAATCTCTGAGATGGTGGCTGTGATTGCTGCTGGCTTCAAGCGATATCAAGAGCGATACGGCGACGATGACAGCGATGATGTGCGAGAGCAGTGCTCCAAGCTCGTCCGGTCCATTCACAACATGATCAAGTCGAAGACACAATTCTCAGCTCCCCAAGTCGCAATGATCCTTCTCGGCCTGGGCAAGAAGGGAGAGAAGTATGTGTCGCACGACTTTCAGCCTCTAGTTCTTTCTTCATTCCTGGCGCACCTTGACCGCCACTTTGCTGGTGACACGCCCGCGGCTGAGCCGACACACACCGAGCAGGAGTCGTACACGATCACCCTGCAACAAAAGGGAAGAGGGCTGAGAGAGATCGTTCTGAGCAATCAAGTGGATGACTATATTCATCGTCCCACCAGCAGAGAGCTGCAAGACGGCCGCCAGTTCCACGTAGCGCGTGTGGGAGATGAGGTCGGAGACGCCAGTAAAGTGGCGCTGCCACCGAAGCTGACGGGTTTGACGGCTTTCACCGACGTCGAGATGAAGGACGTTTATCTCTACCAGTTCATGGAGGCCTTCTTTGCAATGCGCCTGACGAAAGCGGAGATGGACAGCGAGGAAAAGAGGGAGAAAATGAAAGAAAACGGGAAGCCGATACCAGCCAATCGGCTGGTACGCATCCAGCGATTTCGCTTCCTGCGTGCTCACCCTCTGTGGACCACGCATCGGCTCCGCCAGCGGGCTGCCGACGACCTCCGAATCCCTCTCGTCTTCTACGACCGCATTCCGAGCAAGACGGCCGCGTCAGCAGAGGACAGAGAGAAGCACGCGAAGATTATGTTGGTCTTGTTCAAACCATGGCGATGCCCTGAGGACCTGAAGACACACGGCACATGGTGCGAGTCGTGTGCAGCGTTTGTGTCGGGCTTACCGAGTGATGATAGGCGCCACAAGCTCATGCAGAACTTCGAGGATGTCCATCGGTCAGAGGAAGACGCCAAAATCTATCGATACCTGCGTGACAAGGAGAGCGAGCATGCCACATCACTCGCAGAAGAGACCCAGAAGTTCCTCAATGACCAATACGACCGCCTGTACGCCAAGAACAGGGAGACTGAAGATGACGTGTTGCAGCTGCTGGGGCCCGCCTACCTGTCTGGCCTCACTGGCGGCAAGGAAACCTTCTCTCATATGGAGATCCTGGCGTCATCGCTCGCTCGACCGACGACAGAAGACAGCCCGCAGATTGCCGCTCCTACGGCGCCCGTGTTGAAGGCGTGCTTCGCTAAGTATATCAATGCATCGCTGGATGCAGTTGGGTGTGAACCTATTGATATCGAAACAGCAACAGAGGTGAGATGATGATAAGTATGAGTGCATTATGCATTGTATCAATCTAAACTGTCTGTCTCTCTGGTGCGTGCATCTCTGTGTACCTTGCATTGAAGGCGTTGTCGAAGACCTCTCTCGATGACCGTCATTCAGCATGTCAATCAAATGGAAGCCGTCAGGATCAGCTCAACGATGACCTGCAGCAGCAACGGAACAAGCTTTGTGGAATCGGCCACAGCCACGGCACGTCAGATGAAGCAAGCCTCTTGAGTAGCTTCTCCTCAAATCTCTTCACACACGGTGGTCACTCCATGGATGCTGCCGACCTCACTCGACTGCTGGCGCAGCCGGCGTCCGCATTCAAGCCGCCTGAGACGGGCGACGACAAGAACCGTGAAGACCTCCTCTGTACAGTGGCGAGCCGTTACCAATTGAACGAAGAGCAGATGCGGGCGTTCCAAATTATCTGCAGCCACTTGCTGAACCACTACAAAGACCTGCGGGACAACAAATACGTCACGCCATTGCGCATGTGCCTGACCGGCGAGGGCGGCACCGGCAAAACACACGTCATCAAAGCTGTGAAGGCCTATTTTGCTGAACTGCAATGCCGACATTGGCTGCGCCTGGCAGCACCTACCGGCGTGGCTGCAGATAATATCGGAGGCTCGACCCTCGATTCGCTCCTGCACATCTTCGATGACTTCGAGAGCGGCGACAGGAGGCTGCGGCGCCAAGCGGTGAAGCAGCAGACAATCGATGGTGACCGCATTTGCAGAGAGGAGCCTTGGAAGCACATCCATTACATGATAGTCGACGAGATCTCTTTCGTCAATCGCCAGAAGCTCGACAAAGTCGATGGGGCATTGAGGGACCTGCGAAAGGCAGCGAAGAAGGACATAAGGGATGGCGATGATTCGTTTGGAGGCATGAGCATGATCCTGTGTGGCGACTTTATGCAGCTCCCACCTGTCCGGCCGTATGCATTGTATGACAAGCGCGATCGAGAGCATCCTCGCAGTCTCTGGCACAGCTTCGATTGCGTCATTGTCCTTCAGCACAATCACAGGATCGAGGGGGATCCGACCTTCTATGGCCTTCTGCAGCGATTGCGATGCGGGCAGCTGACTGATGACGACATCAAGCTGATTAAGAGCCGCGTGCTGAAGACCCCAAGCGATGCTCGAGGGCCTCGCATTGTGTGGCGCAATGAGGTCAGGCAACGCATCAACGCTCAGGAAGCCTTCAAGTTTGCCGCCGCGACAAACCAAGATGTGTACGTGTCACCAGCCATTGACACGTATCGGCCGAAAGGGAAGAAAGAGCAGCCTGCCCCGGCGTACATGCAGAAGATGGTCCTGGAGAAGAACGAGAGTCACACAGGCAATCTGCCGACATCACTGCTTCTCGTAAAGGGGTGGTCTTACATGCTCACGACGAATAGAGCGACGGAGAGCGGCCTTGTATGTCTATCACCTGCACACCTACACACACACACTCACACACACACAGCACGCAATGGTGCATTCATTTCCCTCTCTTGTCTGGACACGACAGGTGAATGGTTCTCTTGGTATCTTATATGATATCATTCTCGAGAACGACACCGCCATCACTACGGCAACACAGCTCGTCGACGGCAAGAGGCTTCGTTTGCACTATCTGAGCCGTCCTCCAGCGGAGGTCATCCTGCAGTTCGAGAACAGCCGACACACGCATCTCACGGGCCTTCCCCTCCCCCCCGCCTGTCCTCACCTGACGAAGCCCATCCGTATACGGCCGTCCTTCGGCATGTGGCTGAGGAAGAACGATCACGACCGAACCCGTACACAGCTCTGACACCAGCTGTGCGCTCTTTCCCTCTCAGCAAGAGCTTCCTCGGCCTCACATCAACGCCTATCAATCGGACAGTCAAACGCATTCAACTTCCTATTGTCCCTGCCTTCTGTCGCACTGTCTGGAAGGTGCAAGGCAAGACCCTCAAGGAGGTAACGGTGGATCTCAACCCTCCTCCTTACCAGACGAAGGCAACGATTCCTCTTGCCATCTATGTGGCGCTGTCAAGAGTGACGTCCCTCGAAGGCCTCCACATTGCGCGGGACTTTGATGAGAAGTGGCTGAGGCAAGAATGGCCTGACTGCCTGCGTGAAGAGCTGGCCAAGCTCAACAAGCTGCATGAACGGACGAAGGAGAAACATCCCATCCACCCCAAGCTGGCGCGTTTCGTGTGTTCAGTCAGTTGATGCTTACTTCCGTTATGGATCTTGCATTCTTTAAGACGTTCGCGCCCAGAGAGACCCTTGTTGGTTGACTTTCTCCGCGAAGCAAGCCCGATCTTTTCCAAGCAGCAGCGGTTTCATGCAGCACCCTAGACGGCCTGACGGCCAAGCTTTTTTCAATAAGCTGCCGCTTTAGGGTAAATCAGTTTAACAGTCAGTGATCCAAACGTGACAAAAAACACGAAGCTTCTCGACATATTGACGTGTCTGTAGTATTGCAAGCAACACAGCACCGCTACCGTTTTTCTTTTTTTCGTCCATACGATCGTGATCGAACGTTTTGTCTGACCGAACGTGTTGTTTCTTAAAGACGCAAATCGGGCACTAGCCCAATTCGCGGACCCGTGACTAAGGATTCCGACAGAGGGGGTGCTTCTTCTTGCCCTCAGCCAGCATCACCAGTCTGAGACACCATCCTTAGTCACCCGTGACTAAGGATTTCGCACAGAGGGGGTGCTTCATCTGGATTGGGTGACTCGAAAACTCGAAGTACGACAGCCTCACCACGGAAATTGACATGTATGCAGGGCCGAATCACCCTAGTCACGGGTGACTAAGGTGGGGGGTGCTTCATCTGGATTGGGTGATTCGAAAACTCGAAGTACGACAGCCTCACCACGGAAATTGACATGTATGCAAGGCCGAATCACCCTACTCACGGGTGACTAAGGTGATTCGGCTGTCGTACTTTGAGTTTTCGAATCACCCAATCCAGATGAAGCACCCCCCACCTTAGTCACCCGTGACTAGGGTGATTCGGCCTTGCATACATGTCAATTTCCGTGGTGAGGCTGTCGTACTTCGAGTTTTCGAGTCGCCCAATCCAGATGAAGCACCCCCTCTGTCGAAATCCTTAGTCACTGGTGACTAAGGATGAGAGTATAAGTGGGCTGGCAGCATGAAGAACCACCCCCTCTGTCGAAATCCTTAGTCCAGCCGATAACAAAAACCCACCCTTCCCATCGGCTGGCCGCAAACAAAGCACCCCATCAGACGGCAGGCGAACGAAAGACGGACCTGACAGACAGAAAGATGAAAGAAAGTGATTGTATGCCGGAGGTATCCCACTGCCTTTCTTTGTTTGCGGGTTCTGTGACAGGAAAAGTCCAAGTCATTACACAAGTCCAATTACGCTTACAGCGAACTGAACGACATCATCTCGGCTGCGGGCACAGGGAAAATCTGAAATCACCGAGTGTGCGGAGCCGTTCACAAAATCCGACGTTGCCAGCCGTTGACGTCGGATTTCGTTTCTGAACGGAACCCTAGACTGATGTGGGGATGAAGACGCCTGTTCGCTGTCGAAGCACCGTCACCTGCACAGAGAACCCGAGGGGTTTTTGCGTGCGTCATCTAGCGGGCAAAGGCAGAGCCCTCCGTCCTTCGTGTGGCCTTTCTGTGGGCCTTTCTGCCTGCTGCGCATCTGGCGGGAGGGGGTCTTGCGGCATGCGCCGCGTGCACATATATAATGCTTGTTGATCTCTGTCCAAAGATCTGTCCACTGCAATGATGGATGGCATTTCTTCGTATGTTGATCCGATGCTACACATGATGGATGGATGACACGTTAAGCGTGCTAAACCCATCATCTATCCATCCAGCTCATGCCATGGCATCGCTCTGACACCCGGACAAATAAAGGAAGCCTCAAAGCATTCAACGACAAACGAAGGAATGCTACCCAGCGGCCGGTTTGTGTCTCTTGGTTGGCCCCGCTGCTGGGTCGGGGGGCTGCACTGGGCCAGCGACAATGAGCAGGTTGCGTGGCGTGAACCGCGCCCAGCACGGGTTGGTGTCCTGCGTCGGGTAGCTCTTCAACACGTGCATCGGGGCACTCGGCAACCTGCAGACAGACAGAAAGGTGCAACACGACACGACACTCGTATGTATCAGTCTGTCTGTCTGTCTGTGAGCATCTCTGTGTGTGTCGTGTCATCCATCCATTTCATGGGCTATCATCCCTCACTCACTCTTCGTCTCGGTCCTCCCGCCTGCTGGCCGAGTGGGCAGCCGCTGCAATGGGCTTCATGGCTGAAAGATACCCACCCACAATGCATTGCACACCACAGGCACAGCTGTCGGCCCGCTGGGTGTCTCCGGCTTGCCTTTGTGTGTATGTATTGTGCAGTGTCACCTTGTGTGGTGTCGTAGAGCGTGACGGTGTGGTCGGAGGAGGCTGACGCCAACATGCTGCTCCCGTGGCTGACCGACCAGTCAGTCGATCCACACACACACACACACACCCCTGCCTAAGTGTGCTCCCTCCTGTCTGCCCCACCCACCCACTCCCTTGAGATCACGTACGTGAAGTCGAGCGATCTGACGACATTGTTGCTGCCCCAGGCCTCCCCGTCGCCGCCAGGTGTGAAGCTGCACAGCTTGCCCGCCTGCAGGTCCCACAAATACACCCGGCCGCTCAACGCTGAGGTTGAATGAGACACACACGGACCGAGAGAGAGATCGATGTGGCCAATGGACCCCTGTGTGTGTGTGTGCGTACTTCCAGCAGCGATGAGTTTGCCGTTTGGCGACGCGGCGAGTGCAGTGAGCGGCGCGTCGTGTCCGTAGAATATCTTGGTGAGCTTCGCACTCCTCAGATCCCACAGCCGCAGCGTCTTGTCGCGCGACCCGCTCACCGCCAACGACGAGTTGGGATGAATCGCTACACTCTAACACACACACACACACACAACAAACGGACAGACCATGCCTGAGTGGGCCATTCGCCAATGAGTGACTGACTGACCGAGACGGTCTCTTCGTGTCCGATGAGAATGCGCAGCGGCTCTCTCCGTTCGGTGCAGAAGAGCCGCACCGTCCGGTCGGCGCTGCCCGTGACGTAGTAGAAGGCGTGGGGCGCCAGCTCCATGGCCTGCACACCGAACGGACGCGGGTGGGCTGCACACACACCACACCACACACCACACACCACACCACACCACATGTGACCATTGAAAGAGCCTGAGACGGCGTGTGGGTGTTGGGTGTGTGGTGGCGTGTACCTTCCAGCTTGAGGACGTTGGTGCCCTGTGTGGTGCTCCACATGCGCACTGCACACGCCAAAACACACACACACACATTCCGCCTGTTCGTGATCGATGTATCTTTGTGTGTGGTGTGTGGTGATGTGGTGTGTGCGGACCAGTGCCGTCGTATGCGGCTGACATGATGAATCGGTCGTCGGGGGCGATGCGGATGGCACTGATGCCGCCGCTGTGACCCACATACGTCCGGTGGGGCAACCAACCTACACACACACACACACACACAGAGACCAGTCAGGCGTATTTGCGTGTTCGGTGTGTGTGTGTTGGCTGAGCTTACTGGATGCCTTGAGAGCCTCCTCCGTGTTGGCTCCCTCGCCATTGTCGTCGTCACTCACGTCTGAGATCACCACACAAACCCAGCCATCCATCGATCCATCACCAAGCCACCAGAGTGGCCTCCCTCACTGACTCATGTCGGCATCGTCTGCCGCCTGCTGCTGTGGGGGTCTGCCCGGTGACGCCGACCCCTCCCCCTCCCTCGCCCTGTCGCCCTGCTGCTGCTGCCGTTGCTGCTGCTGCTTGAGAGCGGGCATGCTGAAGACCTTGATGACGCCATACTGCATTCCCATGGCCACCAGTGCACCGCTCTCGGGACTTACACACAACGACTGCGGGCTGAGTGACCAAAGGAAAGGATGGGAGAGGGGAGGAGGGGGTGGGGCTTGTGTTGTGCGGGAGAAGGTGGGGGGGTGGGACTCGTGTGGTGCTCACTCGTCGGGCGTGTGAATGTCGTAGCAGAGGATGTTGGCTGCAGGGGTGGGGCGACTCATCATCACACGCTAAACCACACACACACAGCGCACACAGACAGAGGGAGGGAGGTGAGGAGGGACACACATGACACACACATAACCACGGGATATGACGTCCCAGCGATTCCTACCCTGTGCTTGACGTGTCCGAGGAATCGGTCACGCTCCCTCACACCCAACGCAGACCTGCACACCAGCCGCGCCGTCATCCAGCAGGCCCATGCTGATGGTGATTGGTGTCTCGTGTGCACCGCACCGAGCCGACTCACTCACTCGGCAGACGGCAGGGGCAGAGTTTCGGTGTCCCTCCTCAGCTGCACCGACTCCTCGCCGTCCAGGCGGGTCGGTCCAGCCCCGCTGCCAGGCTTGGGCCTCTGATGATGATGACATACACACAATGAAGGAACGAGTGGCGAGACGCCTGCATCGTGTGTGTTCGTTCGTGACCTTGATGGATAAGTCATGCTTCTGCAGCTCTGCAGAGAATACACCAGCAGCAGGCAGCAGGAAAGCTCCATCGACCTCTTAATATTGTTCGTCTGGGTGTGCGTGTGTGTGTGTATACCGATAGGGTGGTAGAGGTGTTCCTCTGCCTTGAGGCCCCAGAAGCGGCTCTGGTCGCGCTGAATTGACGCCTGCATCTGCTCGCGACGCTTCTGCAGACGGAAGAACAGTGACGATGGATGGATGGATGGATTGATGGAGGCACCCACGCCACGCCAATCCGCGCAGACGCAAAGGTCTCTCTGTGTGTGTGTGTGTGTGTGTGTGCGTACCACCCACTCCTGCCGCTTGAGAAGCTTGCCGCCCACAGGCACCGAGTCCTTGTACGTGCCCTCACCAGAATGAACCACTACACCACACCACACCACACAACACAACACACCACACAGATGCGCTCTATTCTATGTGTGGCATTGTGTTGTGTGGTGTGTGGTCGGCCGGTATGTATACCTTCGAGGCTGCATCTGTAGTTGAGTGCTTCAAGCAGCTTGGCGTTCTGTGATGTCAGGAGGTAACTCATCAGCACGTCCTGCGCCAACCTGCAAACCACACCACACCACACCACACACAGGGGTGTGTGTGTGTGTGTGTGTTCGCAGGCCTACCTGGAGAGCCGAATGGGAATCTTGTGTCCCAGCCGATACGCCATCAAGATCCGCGAATCCTGACACACCCACACCCACACATACGTTTGAAACACACCTTTTCGGGCAAGGCGGTGATCTCTTACGTATTGGCGCATGTCCTGTTGGCTGGTGATTCTGTGCAGCGTGGCCACGTCCTGCGTCCACTCCTCTGCGAAGTCATTGGCGTACAAGTTGACAAACGCCTTGGCTGCACACGACACACACAAAGGACGGAAGCAAGGAGGGAGGGAACGGACAGCAATGGACACACAAGTGACTGACAGACATGCCACGAGGTGGGTGGTGTGGGCGGCGTGGGTGTGGGTGAAGTGCACTGCATACCCCACATACCGTCAGCATAGCCTTTGTTGCTCATGAGCTCCCACCACAGATGCACGAAGATGGGGAAGCACACACGACGGACGTCATCCTGCACTCGCGTCGCACACACAACACGCGCACAAAAAACAAAACAAAGCGGATGAATCGATGGATGGATGGATGGATGTGTTGTGCGGGTTCTCCCTGCCACAGTGACTGACTGACAGACCTTACCCACCTTGATGTCGTCAGACAGCGTGCGCGACCACCTGTCGAGCCCGCCATACACCTTCCTGAAGTTGTGCAGCACCACCGAACCAGACGCACTCTCGATCTGATCCAACGCCTTCATCAAACACACAAATCCCGTCATCCCGTCACACTGCTCCAATCCAATCCCATCCACCCTGTGTGTGACATGCTTACCTCTTTGTAAGGCGCGCCCATGCCAGGATCGACAGGTATTTTGTATTCGCGTCTGAAAGCCTCGGCCGCCTCAGCGAAGCCGCTGCGATGGAGGAAGGACAGACACATGATCGGGTCCATGGCAGGGGGGCGCTGCTGCGGCGGTGGGCCTCGCTGCTGCTGCTGCTGCGGGATGGGAGGCTGCATGGGAAGCTGCATGGGGGGACGGGGTGGCATCGAAGCCATTGTGGTCGTGATGATGATGAGCCAATCGACGTATGGGACGGATCAACACACGGATGGGAGGGAGCTGATCAACACACCGGCTGGCCGACGTGGAAGTGGGATCAAACAGACACACGTGTGTGGCAGCATGGCATGCTGGTTTTCTTGTGCTCTCTGTGGCTTACACTCTGGCGAGCGAAGCGATGGGCGGCGAACTGAGTCAGTCAGCAGTGCCACCGCTGAACCCAACTGCATCCACAGCCCGTGTAGATCCGCATCTGCCGATGGTGCTCTCTGTCGATTGACATCCGTGGCTGCATCCCGACCTATCCTCAACGAACAAATCTCCGGGCAGATCACTGCAGATCTCAAAGGTGCGAGCTTGTGATCCGTTGCAGCGCGCAGTGGCCTTTTGGCACCTCCCATGCCCTTCCCCGCGTCCATACCTTGCGCTAGTCTACGTCCCATCTTGTTCCAGTAGAAGCCGGCTCACGAGCGTCTGTCTCTCCCTCCCGCTTCGTTCGTTGATTCCCTGCCTGCCTGCCTGTCTGTCTGCCTGGCAGCCCGACCAACTAACCACCTCCCCTCCCCAGCCGCCCGTCTGTGTGTCCGTCACAGCAGCAGCAGCTGTCTGCCTGTCTGCACAGATATGACGTCGACGAGCACCCCAGCGGCCGCCCCGAAGCCGCGCTCCATCTTGCACAAGACACGCAAGTGCCGGTTCTTCGAAATCGGCAAGTGCTTCTGGGTGAGACGGACACACAGACAGCCGGGGCGGGAGAGCTGCTGATGGGCAGTGAGACAGATGAGCAGCAAAGTCGCGTCGGTTTTGTGTGTGTGAGGGAGTCGGCCCGTCTCGTCTCGCTCATTTTGATTGCGCTCTCTGTCTGTCTGTCTGTCTGTCTGTCTGTGTTTGTGTGGTGTGTGTCCGACAGGGTGATGGGTGCCGTTTTGCGCATGGCGAGGATGACGTCCGCCAGAAGCCTGACCTCAAGTACACCAAGATGTGCCAGCAGTTCATGTGAGTCACTGAGCCGAGAGACCTCCACAAACCAACCGAGAGAGACACACACGACAGACACCAATCGACAAAAGACGTTGCTGCTGTGTTTTTTGTGTTGTGCAGCCGTGGTGAGTGCACCAACCTCGACTGCATCTTTGCACACAGGTACCACACACACACACACACATACACACACACATTGCCAGACAGGCAATGGCGACACAGACCGACATGATGGTTGTTTGCCTGTCTGTCTGTGTGTCTGATTGTTTGCTTGCGCTGTTCGTTCAGTGACCAGGAGCTCCGCAGTCCCCCCGACCCTTCCCGCGTTATCAAGCGCGACCCGGCCGCCCTCACACAGACGACCGTCAGACGCAAGGGAGGACCGCCACGAGACAACAACAAGACGATCCTCACCCACACATCGACACCCACTTCGACGACTGTAGCACCCACACCCATCGCCCCATCCACCACCACCACCACCATCAAGACCACCCCCCTCCCGCCCTCACTGGCCCCCCTCCCCCCACACACCACTGCAGGCGCCGCGTCGTCCAACGCGTCAACCCCCGGCCGCTCATCGCACGCTGAGGAAATGTCGCCGTCGCGCTCCGTGCCGGCCGGCGACAGCTGTCTGGTGGGCTACATCCGCGTGAGCAGCAGCAGTGAGGGCGGCAGCAGCGACAAGGGCAGCGACTACGAGAGCGCCAGTGTGTCGCCTGTGTCCAAGGGCGGTGCTGGTCGTGAGCCTGAGGAGATGGGTGGGCACTGGCTGAGGGACGGCGCCACGCAGACGGACGAGAGTGTGGTGGGCACGCACCCCCACGGCAAGCAGGGCGGCAAGAAGGCCCTGCGCGTGGCCGTGGACGCCATCGACACCTCGCCCAAGGGGTCAGTCACTCAGTCAGTCAGTCAGGCACACACAAAGCGAACCACATGTACGTCCATCTGTCTGTCTGTCCATTCAACGAACGATCTGTGTGTGTCTTTGTTTCTCTTGATTCGATGCGATGCGATCAACAGGCCGTTGACAGAGTCGCCCCGCTACGACGGGCAGCACGGCCACACCCCGTCCACCGTGACCGACCCCACCTTCTCCACCTCATGCCACTCGTCCCCCGCACACTCCACCATCTCGCCATCGGCAGCCATGCGCCAAGCCATCGGGGCGCCTGGTACCCCTCCACCCCCGCCCCCTCCCCCACCGCCCCCTCCGCCCCCCGTTGCTGCCTTCCCGGCCACTGCGTACGCCAAGACCCCCACGGCGGACCCTCGCGGACTGATGGGGCCTGCACCGACCCCTCCACCCGCTGCTGGTGGTGGCGGTGTGGAGACGGCTGGCGCGTCGCCGCCCAAGCAGTACGCCCACCCTGCTGCTGCCGTGCCCGTCATGCCACACGTGCCGGCGGCGTACCACGAGGCCATGTACCGCGCCACGGCAACCGCTGCTGCAGGGGTGGGGGTGGCAGTGGGGGTGCGGCCTCCGACTCAGACTCACACACACGCTGTGTATGGCGGGTACCAGCAGCCACACCCACACCCACAGCCCCACCCCCAGCCCCAGCCCCAGCAGGTCACGGCCTGGCCCCCCACGGCGGCACTGCGCGTGCAGGGGTACGGTGATGCGGCGGCGGTGATGGCGTGGGCGCCCCACGGCCTGCCCTACTACGCCGCCCCGCACCCCGAACACACACTGGTGCCCGTCTACCCCGCCAACGAGGCCTACACCGAATAAGGGAGGGGAACACAGTGATGCGATCGATCAATGAATGAATGGTGTGTGATGGGTGGATGGATGGATGGATGGATCGTCGCAAGCGGCGATGGTCCCTCCCGTGTCTGTCGTGTCTGTCGTGTCTGTGTGTTGTGTCTGCTGTGCCGTGAGTGCTGTGTCTGTGTTGTGCCTGACTGGCTCGACATGGGCCACGCCAATGTCGTCGTGTCATGGTGTGGTGTGGTGAGAGACGGTCCGGTCCCTGTGGGTGGAGTCTTGTCAATCAATCGCCGGCTGGCCGGTCTCCGCTGTGTCTAAGGCGCGTGATAGACAGACAGGCAAGGCGGGATGGATGAGCGAAGTGAGAGACCATGTGTGTGTGTGTGTGTGTGTGTCTGCGGACGGATGGAGGGATGAGAGCTACTTGCTGTCTGTCTGCCTGTCTTTATCTGTCTGTCTATGGTGTTTTCACTATCTGTCTGTCGGTGTGTCTGGTTTTTACAATGGCCGAGTTGGCGTGCGGGTGGGTGGGATGATCGCATTGATATGCGGTGTTGCCCGCAGGGAGGGAGGGAGATTTCCCTTGATGCCCATGACCCTGAGTGAATGAGTGAATGAGTGCTGCAGTCACAATGCGGCACAGCACACGACCGACACCCTATCGCATCGCACCGCATCTATCCATCCATCCATCCACTCGGGCCCGAGTTTTCTTTGCCCTGGTATGTCGAGTGTTTCGAGTGTGTGAGAGTGGATGTCGGTCGGACTTCCGCCCGCCCTTTGTAAGGACTGGCTGCCTGGGTGGGGTGGGGTGTGGTGTGGTGTGAGCGCGCTGACTGACTGAATGACTTCCTTGTGTTGCTGCTGTCCATTTTGTAATTATATTGTGTGTATGTGTGTGTGTGTGTGTGTGTGTAACGACCCTTTTGTAATTGCTAACAACTAGACAAGCAAGCCCCACAGGCGATTGATTCCGCAACACACGGTGGACGCTGCTGCAACGCTTTGGCTGGTTGGTTGGTCTTTTGTGTATTGTGTCTTGTCGACGGACGGTGGTGCTACCTGGAGAGGGGGGGTGGGGGGTGGATCGCCATATGGTCTTTTGTAATACAATCGCTAATCGCACCGCTGGCTGACGCGCTGGGGGGGAGAGATGACGCATTGATGTGACAGAGAGAGAGAGAGAGAGAGAGAGAGAAAGAGAGAGTGAGAGAGAGAGAAAGAGAGAGTGAGAGAGATTGATCGCATGGGAGGGGTGGGGGCATGGTTACGTAGCGAGGCCAAAGAAAAGGTAACTAAAATCTTGCCTGGCTTTTTTTGATCAAGGACCACGTCTCTCATGACGATACGATCGATGCTGACATCCAGACAGACAGACAGACATTGGATGAGTGACTACTCTCTCTCTCCGGCGAACCATGGATGGGTGTGCCGTACCGATGCGTCCATGTGTGTGTGTCTTCATGTCATGTGTACGTCTTCGTGGCTCTGCATGTCATGTTTCTTCTTGCGTGTCTACTACCTACCTCCTTCCATCACTCCCCCTGGACCGATTCCGAAGATTGATTGATTGGTTGAGTGAGGAGTGAGTCCGGTGCCTGCCAGCCGTCCGTGTGTGTGTGCATGTGTGTGCGTGTGCGTGTGTGTGTGGCTGGTCGATCGACCGACGGCCGACCTATGGATGGATGGAAGGAACAAAGAAAAGCGGCCACCCCAAAGGAGGACTGTCCAATGGCGGACATCCAGGGAAGCTGCGGCAAGACAGACAGACAACAGGAGATGAATGGATGGGTGAATGAATGGATGGGTGAATGGGATGGATGGATGGATGAGTCGACGCGGTCGGTACACATGCATACGTGCTTGCACAGCGTGGAGAGATAGGCGAATGGAACCACTCACTCACTGACTGACTACCTACTTACTGGCTGGCTGGCTGGCTCTTGACCAACCAACCGACCGACTGACTGACTGACTGACTCCATGCCGAGGCTAGCTGCCCCTATTGATCCATCCATCCATCCACTCACCCTGTGTAAGCCATGCCGTGTGTTGTGCACATGTGTGCATGGGCAGATTTTGCGTGCTGAGAGACAGACAGACAGACGGACCAACCGACCAACCGACGGACGGAATTCGCCGCATCCATCCAGCCATCCACTCATTCGTGCTATTCTCATGACTCATTGACTGACTGACTGACTTCCCGACAGCCAGATTGATTGATTGATTGATCGAGGGTGCCGGGGTAGCTAGCTAACGTGCGGGCGTTGTTCCCACCCCTCCTTCCCTCTCACTCTCAGGTGAGAGGGACGTCTTTAAACGAACAAATCAAAGGAAGGCCTCACTTGTTGGCCCACTGACAGACAACTGGCTGGTGTGTGTGCGTGTCCATGTGTGTGTGCGTGTGGGTGTGCGTGAGCATCTGTGTTCGTGTCTTTGTGCTGTGTAGCGTCGTGCCGTGTCGTGTTGTGCGGCCCTTTGTGGCCAGTCAGTCCATTGCCGTGTATGTCAGCCGTGCCATGCCATGCGATGCCATCGTCCATCCACGATGACCTTTCTTCTCCCTTCTCCCGCCTGACTGCCTGCCTCCCCGCCTGTCTGCCAGCTATCTGTTTCTCAAAGGGAGGGCACTTGGGGACGGCGGGTGGGGGGCCGGGTGGTGTAGGTGGTGCAGAGGGGGGGGGGAGTGGGAGGTCGACGGGCTCGGCGAACCGGACTAAAATGCTTGCTTACATCTCTCGGGCCTGGCGCCTGCTGCCTTGCTGAGCTTCATTCATTGGCGGCTGGCTCCTTCCTTCCTCTAGATCTACACGGCTGGCTGGCGACGGATGGGTGTATGGGTCTGTCTATCTCTATGGCGGGGCTGGGGCTGCGACGTCCATGTATCATGCGTGGCGTGCGTTACTTACCATCATGCTTCTCATCCATTCTTTCTCGAGAAAGCGGACTCTTGGTGTCTTGACTGGATCGGTGTCTTGATTGGTGTGGTGTCCTTCCTGTATTGCTCCTCGCTCACGTACTGTGTCACTCACTCACTCACTGACCGACTGACTGACTGGTGGCTATTTCTCATAATAAATACCTTCCATCCATTCATGATTCGATCTTTGTCTCGATCTCAATCGATCGTCGTCGACTTGTGGACCGACCGAAGCGATCGACCTCTCGGGTATGCTGTACATAATCCACATGTATGCGTATGACTTACATACGGACTTACATATGATATGTACACACCCATGTCATGCATGTCCTGCCTGGCTTGCCTGCCTTGCCTTGCCTGCTTTGCTGCATACGTCTGTCGTCTCTCCGGGGCCGCATTCTATAGGTCCTCAAAGGCCCACACAAACACGGGCGGGGGAGCAGACACACTAACTTACTTCACCTCATGTCACCTACCTGTCCTGACCTCACTCCCTCTTAGACTAACTCCTGTCTGTCTGTCTAGCTGCTCCTCACTCACCTGCACACTTGCACACTTGCATACTCACTCACTGCCTCTCTCTCTTGTCGTTCTTCTTGTATGTCTGATCGAATAGCATGCACACTTTGTCTCTTCCACTGGCTGGCTGATGTCTGGATGTCTGGCTGTCTTGACGACACGAGCGACCCAAGGGCGCAATGGGCCGGCCTGGCCTGGCGGGCAGTGAATTGCGAGAGGTGGCGTCCCGTCGTCTACCTCATTTTTGGATGTACACGGTCAATGGACGGAAGTCTGGCGCAAAGAAGAAATCTCTCGCCGGCCTGCCTGCCTGACTGCCTGCCTGCCTGCCTGGTCGTCGTCGTATGATCCCACTCTCTCTCCTGCATGCTTGTCGAAGTGTCCTTCCGTCTGTCCGTCCGTCCGTCTGTCTGTCTGTGTCTTCTGTGGTGTGTGTCTGCGTGCGTGCGTGTCTCTCTTCTCGACACCAACCAAGTCTGTCTGTCTGTGTATGACACCAATCGATCGTCACAGCTGGTGAACACGGCGGGTATTTTTGACTCGTTAGTCCACTACTTGTATATGCTCATACGCCTGATCGATGCGATCGATGCATACGTGACTTGTACTTGCCAGCCAGTCGATGCTATGCCTGCCTGCATGCTTGCCTGCTTGCTTGCTAGATTCTCTCTCCTCTCCACCACACCACCGCGCCACCGCGGAGCTCCTTACTACTTGCTGCTGTGATGGATGGATGGATGGATCGATGAAATCTTGCTACCTAGGGAGTTAGGGCAATTCTAAAGAAACACAACCTTGCTTGCGCTCTTTTTGGTCACTCACTCAGTCACTCGCTATGCGTCCGTCAGCCAACTACACACACACCAGATGGAGGCTGGTGGTGCGGTGTGTTGTGTTGTGTTGTGAGGGCACGGAGAGCTGGCTGCCGGGGCCTGATCTGGTCTGGTCTGCTCTGATCCCCGTTCCATCGTCCCTTCCTCCTTCCCTCTCTCTCTCTTGCGTGGCGTTTTTGCTGCGGTGCGGCTGGCTTGATGGACGGATGTGTGGATGGATCCCTTGGTGAGGGGTGGAGATGCTTTGAATGACGGAGACAGACAGTCCTGCTGTGTGTGGCGAGTGAGTGATGCCTGCCTGCGTGTCTGCCTACCTACCTGCTTGTCTGTCTCGGTGTTCTCAGCTGTGAGTGAAGTCGTGGGGGCGAAAGGGTCTGCGTAGGGGAGGGAGGGGGGGGAGGGGGAATTAATGGCATACTGGCTGGCTGAGTGACGTCGTGTAGCCAACGGGGAGGGGTGGTGGGTCGATGGATGGATGGATGGTGGGAAAAGCGGATGGAAGAGAAGGCAATGGAGTTCATGTCATCGACCCACCTACTCTGCTCTGCCTGTCTGCCTGGCTGTGTGGCTGGCTGGCTGGCTGCATTGGTTGGTCGGTCGGTTGAGTGTTCACCTCACTTGATGGCCGTCTGTGGCACAACTAACTACCATGATGCATATCATAGCTAGCCCTGCTGACTGAACAGAGGGGAGAGGGAGGGCCAGGCAGGGGGACGTAACAACAGCAACACTGACTGCGCCCTCACTGCTGCCTCAGTCATGCTGCATGTGTGTGTGTGTGTGTGTGATTGTTTCTTTTGTACCCTCTTTTTACAATAACCAGCCATCCACAATCCTCTAGCCTGGCCTGGCCTGACCCGACCGACCCACATGCCGTCCGCTGCGAGCGACACGAGTGAGTGGTTTTGCGTGCTTTCATCAGTCCGTCAGACAGCCAGTCAGTGAAGCTAACTAACTCCTCTCGTCCCTGTCACCATCCACCCACTCATCCGGCCATTTATTCTCTCATCCAGCCTTTTACGCTATCCATTCCATTCAACCATCTCCAGCTGCCCAACTGCCTGTAGACGTGCGTCGTTTGTTAAGTGAATGACGTGACGTGTGTGAGGTGGCGGGTGCACCCACGGCTGCGCGGCAACAAGCTAGGCTGTTTTTCCATATATACCAGGTGGTGCTGGTGGGCGGGGCGGGGCGGGATGGAGGGGGAGTGTTGCGGAGCAGTCAGGCAGGCGGGCGGGCCAGCATGGGTGGTCTGAATCATGGCTTGTGTGTGTGTGTGTCCTTTGCTGTTTTATGGCGTCTTGGTTGGTTGGTGGCTGATTGGGGAAGGTAGTCGATGTGCTGCTGCGGCTGGTGCGGTGTGGGTGCTGAAGGAATGGATGGATGGATGGACCGGTGTCACACGTAAATGCGTCCACACGCGAACTGACCATGCTGTGTCCATGCGATGCCACGCCATGCATGCCATGCGTGAGAGCTGCGATCGATGCGAATTCGTCTCAAGGCGAGTAATGCTGCTACAAACCCATCCACCCACCCATCCATCCATCCACCCACATAAATGCGCCCACCCCGCTGCCATAGCCGGCCCATCTACACATACCTCCCTGAGATGCATTGATGGTGGTGCTGCTGCTGCCTTTGGCCTAACTAAGCTGCTTTCTCCTTGCCTGCCTACCTGCTTCCTGATTTTACTTACATCGTCTGTCTGTCTGTCTGTCTGTGTCTCCGGTCATGCTCTGCATGGAATTTTGTTTTTTCAGGCATCCCATCCATCCATCCATCCATCGTCCGTCCAGACAGACAGACATACTTGCTCACCTCACACAGCCAGCTCAGCTCAGGACATGCTGCATGCCGTCACGACATATCAATACGGACGGAACAAGAGCCCGTACGTCGCCGACTCATCCATCCATCCATCCATCCTTCCGTGTACTTCCCCCGGTCGGTATGTGAAGGCAAGGCAAGGATGTAAGTAATTAAGTTGCCAGCTAGCGAGGAAGTGAGATCGACCGGACGGACGATGTGGGTGGCGGTACGTTGAAGCAAGGCAATGCACACACACAGCTGACACGTCAGCACGAAGCAAGGGAGGGGCGGAATTCGGGTCGATCCATCTCTGCAGGGCTGCGGTTTGTGGTGGAGTATTCCGTGTGGTGTGGTTTGGTGTGGTGTGGTGCGAGGGAGTTTCGGCGATAAGTGAATGGATGGATGGATGGATCGATTAAGTGAGTGAGTGAGTGGTCTTCACTCACCCACCACCCACCATCCACCATGCTTGATTTGATTGCTTCATGCTGCCTGTCTGCCACGTTAGTCGGTGGCTCCCTCCCTGGCTGGTCAGCAAAACAGCCGTTGGTTCGTTTTTTCACACAACACCTACCTCTACCTCTACCTCTCTCACGTAGATTCTCTCTCTCTGGTTACCTGTTATGCTCATAGGTCCTACATAGTTTTCCTCCCCTTCTGCTGCAGTGTGCGTCTCACCGTGCCGTGCCCTTCAATCCTCTCACTCTCACTCTCTCTGTATTGTATGTGTGTGAACCCATCCATCTTATGCCTGCCTGCCTGCCTGCCTGTTCCCGCCATCCTTCTCTCTCTCTCTCTCTCTCTCTCTCGCCGCTATCCATGCATCTTTCCATCGTCGCTCTTATTCCGTGCCGTGCCGTGCCGTACATGCCTGCCTGCCTGCCGTGGTGTGCCGGGATGTGGGTGAATGGGACAACTTTTTGTTGTGGGTGGTGAGAGCAGCTGCCGACAAAGCTCCTTTGGTGGCGTCTCCTGAATGATTTGATTGATGCGATCCATGCGATGGGATGGACGGATGGATGCGCACGTGCGGACGGCCATGCGGTCATGTCTGTCTGTCTCGCTAACTTCCTACCTGTTCACACGCATGCACACATCGATATGTATCCATCCCCCTACGTATCCCTCACCCACCCAATATCAGCACACACACACACTGATCGACTCGACTGGTCTACACACTACACACACCTGTCGCCTGCGTATGGGGGGAGAGAGGGGGAGGGGGGGGAGGGATCACACTCATGGTAGGCAGGCACACGTGGCAGCAGCAAGCCGACTGATCGGCCAGACAGCTATGTAGGTGCCAGCCATATTGTGGTAGTTTGATAAGGGGCCGGAGATTGATTGATGTGTCACCTTTCGTGTGTACCGATAAGAGATTCTGCTCAGCAGACAGAGAGGGAGGCCGATGACCACACACGTGTCCGTCGTCTCGGAATGTGCGTGTCTTTGCAAAGGTACTCTGCAAAGCCGCTCACATTGCGACTCGACACGCAGGGGTGGCCAAGCCCGGCAGGACGATCCGATCCGGCGGACAGATCTCGATGCGATGCATGCACACACAAGGACAGTGGTGTGGTATCGCGGGTAAGTGTGAATGCCGTACGTACCGTGGTTGCCACAGTGTATACACCGCAGTGAGTGCTTTTGGTTGTACGTTGACTCATTTTTCGTCCCATGTATCCTTTCAATGCGCCCACAACACACACAGTGCAACTCGGGTCTGAAATCCTGGCCAGATCATGCCAGCTAGCCGTTGAGTCTTTCGTGCAAGCTTCATCGACTACTTTCTTCACTCTCTCCCCCAGTCGACGACTCTGTCTCATCTTCGAATCACGATGATGAAGGTCCTGCATCTTGGCGCCCTCCTGCTGGCCGCTGCTGTGTGCGCTGACTCCACCTCGTCCGCCACGAACGATCCAGCTGCTGCCGCCGCTGCCACTAATGCGACGGTAGGGAGGAAGGTCCAGCACGCCTTCGTCGACTGCCTGACTCATCGCCCACTGCTACTGTGTGTTCTTCAGGCGCTTCGCGGATCTGTGAATGTGTCGACGGAGGTCATTGACACGGACGGTGAATAACGACCTTGCAGTGCTTGCAGTGCAGGAGTGCACTCATTCATTCTGTCTGTCTGTCTGTCTGTCTGCAGCTGCCGAAGGCGATGCTGGAGCTGCAGAAGCTCGTGAGCTGCAGGGCCAGGCATGCAGCGTCAGCTCGTGTCAGTGCGTGGGCGTGTGGAACGAGAACGGCCACGGTGGCGTGTGCGGTATGTACGAGCTGGGCTTCTTCCCCGAGACCCAGTCGCTGCCCTGGTGCTACGTGAGTCGCCAGTGCCCCTTCGCCCGTAACAGCGTGCTGATGCCCGCTTATGCGTGGCTGATCCCCTGCTGCGTCCCTTCTGGTGGCGGTGGTGGCGGCACCCCACCCATGGCTGCCGCACCCGTGGCCAGCCCCCCCGCTGGTGGCCCAGCTGTGGCTGCCGGCAGGCCAGCTCCCGCTGTTGGCAGCCCACCTAGCGGTGGCGGCTACTGACGAGGTAGGTGGGCTGGGCGGGGGTGAGTGGTGTGAAGGGCATTCTGGATGGATGGGTGTGATCACTGTTGTGTGTGTGTGTGTGTGTTTGCCTTAGTGCGTCGGTATTTTCGTGTGAGCATCTGGTCCGGTGTGTGTGTGTGTGTGTGCAAGGGGCTAGGTGAGTGTGCGAGGGGCTGGGTTTTGATTGACTGTCCGGCTGCCAACACTCCAGCTGATCTGATTTGATACGTACGACCGGTGCCCACGTACAACACGTTACTTGTGGGTCGTTTCGGTTGTGTTTGTACTGCGTGTGGTGTGGGGTGGTGTGGTGTGGGGTGTGTGCCGTGTGCACACAGGCAAGGGAAGGGCTGCCACGTGTCTTTGTGTGGCGGGTAGTAGCAGTAGTCTACTAGGTGATTTATAATTTGAGCGGCATCTTGGTTGGTTGATGCACGGATAAGTGTGCATACAACAGAGAGGAGGGAGGGCAGTCTGTCTGGTCTCATGGATGGATACACGGTGTCTTTGCGTGTATGTATGCTCTCAATATCAACACACTTTTACATGAGAGCATAAGAAGTACGAGAACCGGTCAGCAGCAGTCGAGCAGTACAAGTGACCGCACGGACCGACCTGGACCACGACCGACGGACAAAACACACGCAACCAACGAGTTCCACACACATAGTTCCACCCCACACACGAACGCCTTCATCGCCATCCTTGTCGCGTTTGCTCTCAGTGCGCCGACCACACACTACAGTGCAAACCGGCGCCCCATGGACGCTTCCTTGGCCGCCATCGCGATTCTCGCCAGATCGGGAATTCGGGTGCGAGCTTAAACGGATCTTTCAGCGAGCTCGAACGGATCCACAAATCTGCCTTGCATCTCCCTCTTATCTGTTCCTTCCAGCCCCTGTCAGCGTGCATACGAACCGATTTCATCGCAGATCTATCATTCCTGGAATCCCACCAGACCAGCCAGCACCGTGATGAAGCTGCTCTCTGCCCTCTGCCTCATCGCCCTCTTGGGCACAGCACTCTGTCAGGATGCCGCGCCACCCGCAGCAGCAGAGCCTATGGCTGAGCCGATGCCCGAAGGCACCACCGAGGGGGACGTGGAAATCGACTGCGACATCGCCGAGAACGCCGTGCTCGACGAATGCCGTAGGCATGCATGGAGACACGCACTCACACGCGCATGGGGTGCATGGGGGTGGTGCATGTGACTCACGAGGGCATGGTGTGTGTCTGTGTGTGCTGTGTCAGAGGAGGTGAGTGGGCAGGTGCCTCTCGTCGAGCCGGGAATGCCCCCGGCGGAGACTGAAGTAGTGAATGCCACAGTCGCCGGCGAAGGTGAGAAGAGACACGGGTCTGCCTCATGTGGTTTCACGTGCCCTTCATGTGGGTGTGTTGTTGTGTCCTCATCTTTCTCGTTCAGCGTTCGTGTGCATGCCGGCTGCACAGTACGGTGGATACCGCCGGTTGGGCAGGAAGAAGAACCACTACGGCGGCGGTGGCGGTGGCGGTGGCTACACGAAGACCTATCACACCAAGGGCTACGACTGCACCTACGGCGGCAAGGGCGGCGGATGCACTGGAAAAGAGTGCGGTCAGTGAGGAGGGAGTGGACATGCACATACACACAGAAAGATAGCACGGAACACATGAGCTCATCTGTGCTGTCCGGTCATGTTGTGGCTGTGCAGTCGAAGGGCCTGTCGATGGCTCATCGTCATCCTCAACCACAACCACAGAAGCACCCACTTCCGCACCCGGCAGTGTCCCCGCGGTGGCTTATGCTCCTCCTGAGGGTGCTGAAGCTGCTCCCCCTTCCAACCGACAGCTCGGCCAGAAGCACTACAGCCACGGCGGCTACTACGGCCACGGCGGCTACTCCGGCCACGGCACGTACTACGGCCACGGGAAGCACGGCGGCTACAGCGGCCACGGCAAGTACTACAGCCACGGCAGCAAGGGCGGCTACAAATGCGCTGACAAGACCTGCGGTCAGTGAGGAGGCAGTGGACACACAGACACAAGAGCACGGGCGACATGGGCTCTCATCTGTGCTGTCCGGTCATGCTACGCGTGTGTAGGTGAGGGTGGTGAGGGTGGTGAGGGTGGTGAGGGTGGTGACGGTGGTGACGGTGGTGACGGTGGTGTTGGTGAGCCCGGGAGTGTGCCTGAGGCTGTGCCCGCTGTGGCGGCTCCTCCAGCTGCTGCTGGTTCCACTGGTAGTGCTCCTCCCCCCACCCGACAGCTCGTGGAGTCCTGTAGCGGTAGCAGTGGCACCTCATGTGGTGAGAACAAGAAAAGACACATGCCCACCGGACACGATTACTCACCTTTTGTATCTTGTCTTGTCCGACTGCAGGTGCACGTGCTCCGGTGCCTGCAGCTGCCAATTGCGTGCCTGCTGCAGAGGGTGGAGCACTCCCACAAGGATGCGGTAAGGGAGGCAGACAAGTGGTGCATGCATCAGTCACAGCACGTGATGTCTGTCCATGTGTTTTGTGTCACTGTCATAACTCCCGCTGAAGATGAGGCATCACCTCCTGCTATGGCAGAGGCCGCACAAGCACCGGCACCGGTGGCTGCTTCTGCTCCTGCTGATGGCTCTCGACGACTGCAGACTCAGGGGGCGGCGGCGGCGTGTGCCAACGGCGTGAATCCAGATGGCACACCGTGCGGTAAGTGAGAATCACAGACACGTGCGATCATAAGTGCAGGTGTTCATGTGTGGATGTGTATGGTGTCTTTGCGGCAGGTGCAACTGCAGCATACGCCACCCCTCCGCAGCAAGCCATGGCAGCAACACCACAATATGCGGCGCCTGGTAAGACAGACAAGGCAACACGGAGAGAAGCTGTCCGAGCCAGCATTCACTGGCACTGGTGTGCTGTGTGCGCGCGCGTCAGGTTCCTCATGCATCCCCGGTGGCCGTCGTCTTGGCACGGGCTCGAAGGGCTACGGCTCCTCGTGCGGCTACTCGAGTGGTGGCCACGGGGGCTACTACAGCGGCGGGCACCAAAAGGCGTCATGCGTCGGCTCTGACGGAACGACTGCCGTCGACTGCAGCGGAAGTGAGCAACGAAGAATCTGCACCCCACTTATACCATCCATGGAATGCATATCCATTTCGTCTCGTGCTGTGGCTCCGTTCTCTCGCTCAGGCTATATTACTCCAACAGATACTGCATCGGCACCCCCATCACAATCCTCCTCCGCAGCAGCCCCCGTCGCAGCACCCCCAGCCGCAAGTTCCACTGCCAGCGCCCCAACCCCACCCACTGGCGGCGGCCGCCGGTCCCTCCGTGCCGACCTGACGAGAGTGGAAGGTGATGGGACGGCGGCTGAGATGGTGGCGGCCCCTGCTGGTGCTGCGCCAGCTGCTGCTCCTGCTGCTGTGGCAGAGGCGGTCACTGAGGCCCCCGCTGAGGAGGAGCCCTGAGGGCGACTGACTGGCTGACGTGACACTTGACTGACTGCTTGGCTGCGTGGATGGATGGGTGTGTGCGAGGGGGCGGGGGAGTGAGTGTGTGGCTGTGTCTGTTTTGCATACCTATCTATCTAAACTGGCTGCCTGTCTGCGTGTCACGTGTCGAGAGAGAGTTGAGTCGTGGTGATGCATGCGATGACGATGCAGATGCACAGTTCCTAGCGTTTTATTCCTTGGCCCCCACACACTTTATTCCTTGGCCCCCACACACACGTCACACACACCGCCACACCCCCACTCATCACACGCACATCTATCTGTCGTGGATGCATTGATGGCTACATGGATGGTTGAGTGATTGCCTGGTGTTGTGTGGTGTCGGTGCGTCTGTGTGTATTTATCTCCCGGCCGTGTCAGTCGGGCCAGCAGCATTGGTTGTCTGGTTCCCTGGCCGGTCGGTCGGTCGGCTGGTTGGTTGGTTGGTTCCTTCATGGCTGTTTATGTTTCTGGCGGTCCATGGACAGTGGACAGCGCCTTTTTTGCCTGCCATACATGCGAACGAACGAACAAACGGACGACAAGAATGAGCGATCGAGCGGTTGATTACATATTGGTGACCAATATATTGGTAGCTGCTGCAGAGACAGAGTGGGAAGACGACAAGACGAGACATTGTGTGTGTGTTGGTTGGTTTTCCCTTGTGTCTTTGTGTGCGCTGTGATGTGATGTGATGTGATGTGAGACAAAAGGGGCGGTATGATGGGTCGCGGCGGCCGATTTTGGAAGGAAGGTGTGTGCGATGTGGGCGGTGAGCTCTCTGACGGACGTCTAGCAAGCGAGCACAGGAAGGATCCATGAATGGATGGCTGAGATGTTTTCTGTGGTGCGGTGCGGTGCCTGAGGTCGTCTTTGCCCTGAATGGATGGATGGATGGATGTCAGGCATCTCTCGCTCTGGCGCGGTCATTTGCTGTCTGGCCCGGCTGCCGGTAGGCAACGCGGGCGATGTACACTTTTTCTTGTACAACGGTAGTCTGGCTGGCTGACTGATTCTTTCTGGCTGGCGCTCTTGCTTGCCTGCCTGCCTGCTTGCTGGAGGTCTCTGACTGGATGACACGGGCACCCACCGACTTGCTGCCCGCCTCTGCGTGCGTTCGCCGCCCACCCACCCCGCCCCATGTGTGTGTGATGTGAAGTGACGTTGAAGTGAGAGTGAGTGAGAGTGGGTGCTTTTGTGTATGGCCATGCCATGTGATGTCATGTCATGGATGTGAAGTGGTGTGTGTTGATGTGCGTGGTGTTTTGTCACCCTGCAAATTCGTCTGGTGCCCTTTTGTTTACTATCGCCACCACCCCATCCACTCACACGTCCCATACCCCACAGCCACACAGCACACCATGCATGAAGAGAGAGCGAGCTGCCCATAAGCATGCATGGGGATTTAATTCATGCGTACATGCTGGCGGACACACTGGCTGACTGACTGACTGACTGGCTGACTGTCCCATAATACCGCAGGTAGGGGAGGGAATGAGGATCGCAGGTGGGTAATCGCACATGGACGGATGGGGTTGATTGATTGATTGTATTGGTTGCCTCTCTGTTTGTCAATTCCTTTTCCCGCCCTTTTACCAAAACGACAGACGATAGCTAGCTAGCCGGCCGGCTGGTGTAGAGCGTTGTAGGGATAGTGACGACCGACCGACAAAGGAGTGATTGGGTGGGTGAGTGGCCGCCATCGATTCGAGTGATGAGTGCGTGTCTGTCTGAATGACCTGCCCGTTTTGAATGACTGAATGTGAGTGACCGTATGTATGGTGTGGATGCCATGGCTGCATGCGAGAGGGGAGCGCGGGGAAGGAGGGGATGGATGTTTCGACATGGCTCGAGTGTGCTCTGCTGGTCGACGAGCAGCTGTTCTCGCCCCCCTGTCCCTTATGCCTCGAAGTCATGCTCTCACCAGCATCTCTTCGCGACGTGGTGGGCGGGCGGGCACGAGAGCTGCTTGTCGCATGTTGCAGCGCTAAGACAAGTGTGACCGAGCGATGGTGGGTAGTGATGGACTGATGTGTGTCGTGTGGGCATGGGAGGGTGTCTCGACGCATTCCGTGTGCATCGGCTGCACCAGACGTCGACGGAAGTTGTTCAACTTCCATCGGTATCTTCTGCTGTCGTCTGACATGCAAAGTGACGGGAAGTGCACCCTGCCTGGAGATTGATTGGACTGACAGTCATCAATAATCACTGTATGCCAGTGCAAGATTGATCAATCGTGTTCCATCCCATCACCATACGACTGTCACACACAATATCGCACCGAATTACACACACGGGTTGATTGTGACACCGCCGGCTGGTTAGTTACCACGCAGCTCGGTCGCTCTTGCATTAGCAGAGCTCTCAGTGTCTCCGTCACCCACCCACCCATTCTCCCAACCAGACACCACCCTGCCACTATGTACACCACCACTACACCGCAGACGCCGAAAAAACACAGCAAAAGATCGTCTCGGCACTCATGGAATCCTCCAGATGCGCGGCTTGTGGTCAGCCTGAATGAGGGACAACAGCAGCACAACCATGAAATAGACTGTGCGGACCGACGTTCTCTGTGTGTAAGGGTGTCTCACCGCGCCAGTCGCGAAGAAATGTCCATCAGGCGCCATGGCGAGGGTCAAGATGGGGCTCTGATGCGCGTCCTCAACCTTGTCCACACACTGAGCACACACCACACCACAACAGAGAGCCAGATGCGCGTCTGCGAATGGATGCGTCTGTCTCTCTAGGTGCTGTGAAGATGTCTCTCTGGCCACCCACCTCGAATTTGGGCAGTGAGAAAATCTTGATGTGCCGCTCGGCCACTGCCACCAGACGGGAACAGTCAGGCGTCACGGCTGCACACGCAAGCACACACACGTGCACAGGGAGGGAGGGAGGGAGGGATGAACGATCAGTGAGTGCGTTCCTTCCCGTCGTATCTACCTACCAAGAGCTGTCCAGTTTTTGAACATGGGGTCATCCTCCTGGTGCGTGTGCAGCTTGCGGGGGTCCTCTGACATCTGGACGACACACACACACACACACAAATACAAAGACACCCACGCATAGCTACACACATGAACGACACACGTCTTTGTGTGTCCGTGACCACATACAGGACACATGACCACATACGTGGTAGCGGACATCGATTGTCCACAGGGCCAGTGCGGCATCCTTGGTGGCGATGATGGCCTTTTTGTGGTCGGGGTAGAAGGCAACGGCATTGGCGCCACGGTCGGTCTTCAGATCCATCGCCCTCGACAGCTGCATGACACACACAACAGAAAGAGATACACACAAGCACTTACACTTGGTGCTCGTCTGTGTCTGGCTAGCTACACACTTTGGAGAATTCTTGGTTCTTGCTGGTGACTTCCATGATTTTGATGCCGGGCGACCATGCCGCCACACCGACGAACCGGCCGTCGAGCAACGAGGTGGTGGTGAAGTAATTCCGCACCTGATGGATGGATGGCCAGTGGGCAGCGGAGGGTGGGAGAGTGAGTGTGTGTTGCCTGAGCGAGTGTGTGGGTGGTGGTGGGTGGGGCCTGACTGACCTGTTTGGTGTCGTAGGATGCCAGCAGCTCGCCTCTGTACGACCATATCTTCACGTCTGTGTCGTCGTCACACGACGCTGTCACCACCCACTTGCCTGGCACAACACAACACAACACAACACAACACAACACACACACACAGACAGAGAGAAGCGCATGATCGATTCATGCCGAGCGTCGCAGACGTGTCAATTGTGTCTGTGCGTCACTGACCCTTGGATGCCGACAGGAACTTGACCTCGTTCTTGTGAACGGGCTGCTCTGTCCGATAGACCTGCACACACACACACAGACACGCACACACAGACACACAGACATTCATCCTTCATCCGCTCACCCCCCATCCACCCATCCGCCAGCCACCCATCCATCCACCCACAGCCCACCACTTGCATGGCCTTCCCCTTTGCAGGGTCCTTTGCGATTCGGTGCACCGCCAGGCACCTCGACTGCATCATGGCCGCAACCACCTGCTGGCCGTCAGCTGTGAAGTCACACGCAGACGCGCTGTCCGCCTCGATGTTGCCGCGGGCGTACGGCGGGTTCTGCATGGCCTCCTCAATGGGCTTGGACTTGTCGATGGTAAACACCCTGCAAACAAACAGCACGACAGGCTTCCTCCTGTACCATCAGGTCATTGTGTGTGTGTGTGTGTGTGTGTGTGTACCTGAGTGTGCGATCTCCGCACGCCACGCAGATCTGGCTGGAAACATTATCAATGACCACGCAATAGATCTCGCCAGCAAAACCTGCATCACACACGCGGCGCACATGCATCCCTGCCTGCCTGCCTCCCTCTCTCTCCCAGCCACTCACTGACCCTTGAGATTGTTGACATACAGCGGATGGTGTGTGGCCTTCTCCGCTGCTGCCTTGCCCGGCTTGCCGATAGCCTTGGCTGCCGCACCTTTCTGCAGTGATCCTTTGCCCTTCCTGCCGCCGCCGCCCTTGCCAGCACCGGCCGCTTCACGATGCTGCTGCTCCATCTCGCTCTTGGCCTTCTCTTGCTTGCTGCGCCACCTGGCCTTATCGCCGCGCATCATGAAAAAGACTAGCACGAACACGCCAATGCCGACAGCTGTGAAGAAGAGCGTCAGCACCATGTCTGTTGTCACCATGAACCGCGTAGCTAAAGACAGACACTCACAGATACACTCACAGATCCGACGCAGAATCGCAGACTTCTTTCAGAGACTCAATTAGCCGTGTTCTTCCTCTCATCCCATTCCTCCCTTCCTCGTCACGGCTTAGCTCGCAATGCTCAAGATCCGTTTCACCGTGGTCCCCAACTCGTCCTCGTCGCTGATTTGCGGATTTGATTGGTGAGGAGAGCGCAGGGCCAAAAGGCGGATGGAACCCATCGGAACACACCCCACATCCCACCCAAACCAACACCTGCTGCAGGACGCACACCATGGTGAGCCGACGGGGGCGGAGATCACACACAGGCAGCGAGATGCAGACAGCCCCGACAGAGGCAGACAGAGGCAGCCAGCACAGCCACATGGCAGCTCAGATCACGCCCTCACACTCGCGAGAGCGTTCTGAGGAGGTTGCCAGACGAGGCAGGCAGAGCTGTCGCTGTGTGGATGGATGACAGGCAGAGAGACAGATTTGGCACACTACACTGTGCAGTGACGCCGTGGCTCTGGCATGGCCGTCCATGCTCTGCCCTCTCCCCTCTCTCTGTGTGTGCACGCGCCTTCTCAGGTGATCATCTGTTCGGCGGTCCGCTGCAGGTGCCACCACCCGTCATGACATCAGACAACGGCTCCCCTGATGCGGCCGACAACCCCCCCGAGCCGCACCAGGACGTCACGGCACACCAGTCCGTCATGCCGCCGGCACCCATCACCCACCACGATGTCTCACCTGCACCACAACCACCAGCTCCACCAGAGTGGAATATGGCGGCTCTTGAGCAGGAGCAGCCTGAGCATGACCACCAGCAGGATCAGCAAGGTCAGCAGGAGCCGCCGTCGTCATCGACGACGCATGTGGCGATTCCGCCGGAGCTGGCAGAGCAGTTGGAGGTGTTGTTCACGCCGGAGCAGCGGGCGTACATCCACCAGCTGGCGGTGCAGACGGGCAGCCTGGAGGCGGCCATCACCCACATGCAGCAGTTCCACATGCAACAGGCCGTGCAGGCCCACGCCTACATGCTCCAGCAGCACACACAGCACCAGCAAGCGCAGCTACTCATGGTACGTACCCGCTGTGTTAACACACCACACACAGGACAGGACAGCCATGCCCTCTCTCTCTCACTGTCTGTCTGATGGCTGGCTCTCTTTTTCCCGTTGGTTCAGCATCAGTTGAATAATGCGACCGTGAATGCGCACGGCAGCTCTGGTGCGTCAGATGAGGCCGACTCGCCCCGTCCCCACCTCCCCCATGTCGCCCCCCACCTGCCCCCCACCTCACCCGCCCCGCCCGCCTCCCCCTCGCCCCTCATTGCCACCAGCAGCCCGCCCCAGAACGCACACACAGCCATAATCGCCACCTCTTCCCCACCCACTGCTGGCGATGCGCCAGGGGCGGCAGCGAGAGCCAACGGTGTGATGGTGGGGGCTGCTTTGGCTGACGGCCATGGGCATGGGCCGGCGAATGCTGCTGGGGGCCCGGGGGCTGCCGGTGTTGTTGGTAGTGATGGTGGTGTAGGTCCGGGCGGTGCACCGCGGATCAGTCCGCTGGCCATGGCGCAGTTCGGCGGGCCCATGATGTATGTGAGCAGGGAGATGCGATGATCGCATCGACGGGTGATGGATTCGTTTGTGTGTGTGTTGTCAGTGCGGCGCACGCCGGCAGTGTAGATGGGGACGAGGAGCCGATCTTCGTCAACCCTAAGCAGTATCGCAGGATACTCAAGAGGCGGCAGGCACGGGTGGGTATGCATACCTAACGAACGAGACGTGTCTATCCACGCACGCATCACTGTTGGCTGCCTTGCTTGCGTCTGCATTACCCCACCCGTCGTCTCGTTGGGTCGGTCAGGCGAAGGCTGAGCGGAACGGCTATGGCCGCACGAGCGGCAAGAAGCCGTACATGCATGAGTCCAGACACGTGCACGCCATGAAAAGGTCACCTGCCCGTACACACACACACACATACAACATGTCACTTCCACGTAGCCACCCACCCACTCACTCACTCCCTCACTCCCTCACTCCTCTGTTTTGTGTCTGTGTGTGTGGTGATCTGGTGATCTGGTGAATGATCAATCAGGCCGCGCGGCCCAGGTGGTCGTTTCCTGCCCGGCTCATACAAGGCCATCGACGACCGCCCAGAGGGCGAACAGTCCACCCTCAAGGCCACACCGAAGCCCCCACCTCCCAAGCTGCCACCCCCCACAGCCAACTCCCAGCCGATGCTGTCCGGCGCACTGGGCCTCAACAACCCCCGCACCATCGACGTGCGGGCGCTGATGCTGGCCGCGCAGCAGGCACAGGCTGCGCAGGCGGCCCAGGGGCATGTGCAGCATGCACAGCAGCCGATGGTGGGGCCGGGTGGGCCGACGGGGATGGTGCCGCCCTCTCCTGGCCCCCCTCCTGCCATTGGTGGCGTCGGTGGCGTCGGTGGTGTGGCTGCTGGCATTGCGGCTGTGCCGTCGGTGGCTGTGACCTCGGGGCCGTCGCCTGCACACGCCTGAGTGAGTGAGTGATCGGGGAGGGATTTTTCACACGTGAGTGTGGTTGTGTGTTAGTGAGTTAGTGTGTGTGTGTGGGTAATGCTTGCTTTTTTCACGGGTGTCTCTGTGTGTGTCATTCACTGCCATGGCGTGTGTGCGTGTCTGCCTGCCTGAGCCTTCGTCGTCGCGTAAGGCAGGGCCCTCGTGGGCCGCCTTTGCGTGAGTTTGTTGCACCGACATGGCGAGCGAGGGATGGTGTGTCGTGGCATGACATCTGTCTGATGCGTGTGCGTCCGAATGGACACAGACACCACAGACACAGACAGACACGGACAAGTGTGTCGACTGACACTCGATGTGACCCATCAACACCACCATTCGATTTGACTCGTTCGGTTAGTCAGTCCTGGCCAGCTGGTCACGCAATCAATCCACGCACGCCACGCAATGGATCTACACATCCATCCATCCATCCATCATGATACCTATCTATCGGCCTACACACCTATGGACACACACGCCCCGACAGACCGACCGACAGACAGACAGACAGTCCCCTGCCTGCCTGCCTGCCCGTGTCGTCTCAGTCAGCTATCTGATGGTCATGGTGTTGACCCCGCCTCCGATGTTGAGTCCCATCGATGTCGGGCCGCTCAGAGGGCCCATGGCAGAGGTGGTCTGGGCCTTGACCATCAACTGATTCAGCTGCTCTACCAGCTGCGTGCACGCCTGACGTAAATGACAATCAGACAGACACATGGACACACATGACACACATGACATGTGACAGGGGTCAGTGTGTGTGTGTGTGTGGAGGGTAGCGGAGGGGGGGCCCTCCCTGTACCTTTCGCTGCTGCTCGAAGTCGGACTCGGCTGTCTTGGAGTGAATGAACGTCCTCAGGTGATACAAATTCTGACCGATGCGTACACACGTGCACCACACGATATGGATATGGACCGACCGACCGACCTGTTCGAAGTGTTTGAGCTTCTGTTCCTGCGTTTCGAGCGCCTGGTGGGTCTCGTGGTCAGCCAACTGGGAGGCAGGCAGGCAGGCAGTGTGGGTTGCTGTCTGTCGTCCATTCCATCCCCCCTCTCGCCTGCCTAATGTGTGTTCATTCATACCAGTTGGCGCTTTGAGTCGAGGTTGATTTTGACGAAGTTGACCTGCTGCTTCAACACGTCGCGACGGCCGTACAGACGCTGATGAATCAATCAATGAGGACAGCAAACACTCTGCCGTGAACCAATTAAGACGGGGTAGGGTTTTCTGTCTTGTTTGTGGGTGGAGACGGACGGACCTCTCGCCTTTCCTCGAGCTCGATCTTCTCTCGACGGCCGTCCTCGCGCACACGATCGACGTCACTCTGACATGCGTGGCACACACACAGCACAGCATCACACGGATCATGGAAAGGTGTGGGTGTGGGTGTGATGTGGTGTGTGGCGCGTGGGCGTGTGTGTGTTGTACCTACCAGTTTGCCGGCCATTTCCTGCGTCATGAACTGGCGCCGCTCCTCAAGGGACTGCAGCTCCTGCAGATAGATACATGACACGCACACACACATCGGGGAGGCAAAGCGATCAACAGCAGGGTGATGACAGACTTCCTCTTGTTTCTATGTACTCACTCACGCACCGCAGCGATTTTCTCGTCGAGCGTTGTGATCTTCTGCAGCTCCTCATGACGCTAAACACACACACACACACACACACACATGGCGAATGTGCCAGTCCTCCTCCCTCCCTCCCTCCCTCCCTCCGCCCCGCTGACCTTCTGCAGCTCGCCCTGCAGCCGCACATGCGTCGTCTGCGCGTTGCCAAGCTGTTCACTCTGATCACACAAACCAGCCAGCGTACACACAAAGTACGTGTGTGTGTTGGATGGATGGATGGCCACGAACCTTGAAGTCGAGTTCCTCGGTCATATCCTTGACTCTGTCAGATGTGGGCATGGCCGCCTGTCTCTCGCAGCTGCGCGTGATGCTCTCGAGTAGCGACACGACGCGGCTTTGCTTGGCCTGGATGTGCTCCTCCTCGGCCTGGCGCGCCGACTCGTAGTTGGCCATGAAGGTCGTCATTTCCTGGTCCTTCCTGCAGAAAGCAGTGACACACACACACACACAGCACTTGGACGCTTCTATGTGTGTGTGGTGTGTGATGGTGTGTTTGTGGTTGGTTGCCTGAACAGTAGTTGGTATTTCTCGTGCTCATTCTCCTTCATGTGCTTGCCCTGGGAGAGGAGGAGGAGGCGACAACAAGAGAGCCATCCGTACGGTGCATGGTGCCTTTGGTTGGTTGGACGTGGGTGGCATTTCTGTGTTCTTTCGGTTCTCTCTGTTCCCCCCTGACCTCTTCCTCGAGCTCCTGCAGCTGCCGGCGGTAGCGATCGATGTCAGCACGGACCTCACCCACTTGCTGACCACACGCACACACAGGGATGCACACACAGACACACACGCGATACATACCGACCCAAATGCACGCGGACTTGATTCTCATGGTCCCCACCCACTGACTGACCTGTTCGGATTGCACGATGACGGCGTTGTCGTCCCTGACTTTGGTCTTGAGCAGCTCCCGCTGCTCCGGGATGCTCAGCCGCGTGTGGGCCGTGAGCTTCTCCAACTCACCCTTGCGCTCCTGCAGCTCGCTCGCCGCCTCACGCAACTGCTGGAACTTCAAACGATACGCGTCAGACTGCACAAACAGGTGGGTTACAAACACACACACACGGGCAATACACAGACACGCACACGTGTTGGTCTGGTGCTGTGTTTTGAAGGTACCCACCCGCAGTCTGGCCTCGACGTCTGCGAGTCGTCTGGTGACGTCATCCAGCTCTGCGCGGTGCGCACGGACCTCCTGCAGGAGTGTCTCGTTCTCGTTCTGGAAACCCTCATACTGCTCCCTAAAAGGCACAAGCACAAACACCAAGTGAGTGAATGCGTGTTGGTCGGGTCGCTGGTTGGTGATCATGAGTGGTCCGTCGTCACCTTTGGTCGGGGTGCAGCTCGTTGAGCCGCTCCTCCGACGCCTTGCGGACCTTCTCTATCTCGTCCTCAACAGACGCTATCTGCTCCTCGTTCTGACCGACGAACAGAACAGACAGCAAACACAGCCGTGCCGTGTGAGTTCGTCAACGCGCGCGCGCGCGCGCGCGTGTGTGTGTGTGTGCTCTTCTCTGTATGTGTGTGTGTGTGCCTGTTTCTTCTCCAGGAAGATCGAGTCGAGGATGGCTCGCTGCTGGTCGTTCTGCGTCTGCACACAAACCACACACACACACACACACACACACACATCAGCACAGCCGACATGAACGAATGGTGCCCGCGCGTGTGCGTGTGGGTGTGAAATGGCATGCCAGTCAGTCAGTAGATCACCTTGAGTACTTTGAACATGTGCTGGACCTCCTCCGGCCTGGTGTCGTGCCGCTGCTTGTCCAGCGCCAGGTTGTAGTCGGCCAAATCCCCCTCCAAAGTACGAACCTGACGTACACACACACACACACACACGTGTATCGTATCCACAGGAAGAGACCGTGTGTGGTGCGCGTGAGGAGTGCAGTGCGGAGTGCGGGAGGGACCTTTTTGATGAGTTCGTCGTATCTTCTCTCGTACTGCTGGAACAGGCTGGTGTCGTTCTGAATGGTGTCGATCTCCTGACTGCGCTCAACACAACACATACACAGACAGAGAGAGAGGTGATTCATGACCTGCGGACAGTCAAGGACAGAGCCCGCCACCACACACTCTCGCCCACCCACCGGAATCGGTTGATTTCGTTCATGAGCTCGCCCGTCTTCTGCCGCAGCTGCGTCATGTAGTACGAACGGTCATATACCTGCCGACCAGGACCTGAACACACACCACAATGCATTTACCACACCAAACCATGCAGCCCTTAGTCTGTCTGTCGTCATGCATATGTGCTCCCCTGCAGGCCCCTCACCCACCCACCCACTCACTCACCGATTTGTCCGGTCTTCATGCCCATGAGCCCCTGCTGCGTGACGGGCCGGTCCGCCACCTTCACCTCAGTAGCCACGCCCACACCTATGGCCCCATCCTACACACAATGCAATCCAATGCATTGCACCGCACCAACAGGCAGGCATGTGCAAACAAACGCATGTGCCTGTCTTGCTTGTTTCTGTACCCTCATTGCCGTGCCCATTCGCCCCCGCATGGCCGTCCCCGGCACACCGCCATAGCCCAACGACCCTGACACACATAGACACAGACACAGACAGACATGTGCCACTTGGCCGCAGATCTTGGCTTGATCAGTCGTCATGCAGCTGACCAGTGATGGGTCGTGTGACGCCAGTGCCGGGAGGCGCCGCGATGCCCACTGATGGAGCCACATGACAACACACAGGAGAGATGAAATGAATGCATGGGTTGATGCTGATGGACGGATGGATGGATGGATCTGCGTGTGTGTCTGTGTTGTTCACTTCTGCTTGGAGGTGTCGGGCCATAGCCCCGAGAGCTGGGCCGCCTGACAAGACAAAGAGGCACCATGCCCATCACACCAAAGGTGTGATGAAGCGACGATTTTTCTTTTTCCTTACTGCATGGTGTGACGATTGGCACCGTGCGGAGCTACCAACCAAAGCAGATCTACTATGGCGATGCTTCCACCTTTGCGAGCTTTTGGCGAGCTTTGCCTTTCCTGCCCTCGCATCTTTTGCGTTCCGTGTGTTCGCGCTTCTTCGTCCAAGCTCACTTGCTCAGAACTGCAGCCAGCGGTCGGTCCACAGGTCGGTCAGTCAGCGGATCCCTTCCAAGACACACGTCTGTCGGCAGCAGCGGTTCCCTCCCTTCCTCATCACTCACGTCACATCGCATCGCATCACCGCCAGTCAGTCAGTCAGTCAGTCAGCATGTCGAGTTGGGATGACGACGACTTCGACGTCGACCCGGCCGGCGTCGCAACAAAGAAGATCAACGAGGAGGAGGAGGACGTCCTGGACGACTGGGAGCAGCACGACGACCAACCCACCGCACCAGCCGCACCAGCACCGCCACCGTCAGCGTCAGCGTCAGCCCAGCCAGCCAGCAACGGCACCCTCCCCGCCAAGAGCAAGCCACCAGCCAAGAAGGAGCCGGCGGAGGAGGCCTATGTCGCCCTGGACGATCCACTCGCCGAGAAACTGAGGCGGCAGAAGCTCGAAGAGCAGTCCAACGACATCTTGGCGGCCGACCTGTTCGCCGGCTGTCCCCGTCCAGATCCGTCATCAGGGAGGGGTGGGGAGGGCAACTCGACGGCAGCGTCAACCTCTGCGGCCGACGGTGTCAAGGAGAGGGGTAAGGCCACCAAAGTGGGAGGAACTGGGAAGGACAAGGGCGTGGCCAAGGACCTCTTCGACGACGTGTCCTTCAAGAGCACCAAGGACCTCGAGGCCTTCGCAGCCAAGCTGAGCGACAAGATCGTGGCCAGCCCGGTCAAGTCGGCGGGGTGGTTCCGCTTCCTGGACTTGGTGCTGCGTGACGCCCAGGGCAAGCTGGACGCCAAGGACTGCAAGAAGCTGATATCGAAGCTCAACGAGTACATCTCGCTCAAGGAGACGGCCAAGCGGCAGGCCGAGGACGCCAAGAAGAAGCCCAACAAGGTCAAGATGGACGCCAAGGACGAGATGGACATCATGTATGGCGAGGGTGCCGAGGAGGAGTACGAGGAGGACGATGAGGAGTACTACAAGGACTTTATGTAGGGCGGGAGGGGGACTGGGCACCACCCAACCAAATCCATCCGGTGAGCGAGCAGGCAGACACAAGGCAAGGCGGGGAGGGGAAGCGTCGTGTGCATGGCATGTTGGGTTGGGTGTGGTGGTGGTGTTTGTGTGTCAGGTTTTCCTCTCGTAACAGCTTGATTTGCTAGTGGGACGTGTCGGCCATCCTTCCACGTATCCATCCATCCATTCAGCTATCGCTCTCGTGCCTTTCTTGTCTACCTACCTCCCCTGACAGCTGTACAGGCGTCGATCTTGCTTTTTCAACCAATCTGCACCGTGCGCCAGGTGCTGCTGCGCGCCTCCTACATCCTCGTGCTGCTACTTCGGGGCGGCTCTCAGGGCACTGAGTGCCGCCTTGTAGTAGCAGCAGGAGAGTGCAGGAGGCAGCAGCAGACAGAGCACCTTTGTGTCGTGTGCAGCTAGCTGACTGTGAGGTGTTTGCTCGTCCGTCTGTTGATCGATCTGGGTGGCTGCATAGCTACTCGTCATGACCATGACTACCTGACTCTCTCGTCCGTCTCTCTCTCTCTCTCTCTCTCTCTCTATCTCTCTGTGTATGTGCTCCCAATGGCGATGTCAGGTGCTGGATGGATGGCTGGATGGCTGGCTGGCTGCACGTCTCTTGGTTGGCAGGTTTTGTTGTCTGTCTGGCTTGTCCATCGAGCATTTTTGGGATGGGCTCTTCTCGATTGCGGTGTTTGGTCTGGCTGCTCTTGCTTGGCCTTGACAGCCACTCATTGGGCGCTTTGCACAGCGCCCGTGGGTAAGATGTCATGGCCCTGCCTGGGCAACCAGACAGAGAGCACCGGTCGGTCGAGAGAGACGAGAACGGACTACAGATGAGGGAGGAAGGTGTGTGGATGTCGTGTGGGTGGCCCGTCATCCATCCTGTGCCTCCGTGTGTGCGTGGTTCCATGGGTTGCATGTCAAATCGAGACCTTTCTGTGGTGGTGTTGCGTGTCGTGATCCATCTTGACCCATCAACACATTTCATGTACCCATCCGATGGCCAATAAATGAACCAATGCATTCGTGTGCGTGTGCCAATGTCGAGACACAACCATGCGCAGAGCGGTAGGTAGCAAAGATTGACCCAAACGCGCCGAACGGACGAAATGTAACAGTACAGCAATCCCGCCGCCCCCATCTCTCATCTATCTATCTGCCCGTCTTCCCCTTCTGGAGCCCCACAAACCGTGGCCGTCGCTTCGGCGCCATGAGAAGGTGCTTGACGATAGTCTCACCCTTCAGCCCACACGCAAGCGCCCTCTCGTACCAGTGATGCAGCCTGATCTGCTCCTCGCACCGTCGCATGTCCATCACGTGGCTCCCTCTCCCCTGCCCAGCCATACCTACACCATGTTGGTGCCTCAATCTCGCTCGGTTGGTTTGTAGTGGGGGCAGGTCAGGGATGGGGGTGTCGCTCTCTTCCTTGGGCGCCGAGGACAGCTCTCGGCTCTCGGGCGATGCGCTGGTGACGCTTCTGGTCTTCCGCCTCTTGGGCCGTGTCTTGTTGTCTGCACTGGTGACGGCAGAGCTGCTCTGGCTGGCCGAATGCTGAGACATGGAGCTGACGCTCTTCTTGCTGCCCTTGCTGCCGTCCCTGTGGGTGTGGCGCGTCAGCAGCACACTCGCCCTGAAGCTTGGACTGCGGAGGGCAAGCGACGATGTCTTTATCTGAGGTGGGAAGGCACGATGGCTGGGTGAAGGCCTGCATGTGTGTCTTTTGTTACCATTGCGAGTTCGCTGTCGAGCTCACTCATGTGGAAGGCGAATTTGCTCGTCTTCGTGAAGGCCTGCGGGGGCCGTGTGTCACTCTGGGAGGACTGCACGATTCGCGCGAGGAGGGCTGAGGCTCCCAGGGCATCATTGGGGTGTGCGAGGGGGGAGGAGGATGCTGACATGTGTCGAGGGGAGCATGCAGTGGGGGAGGCCTGGGCGGAAGCCTGTGCTGGGCCCTCAGGGACCGGAGGCAGGTCTGGAGGAAGCATCCTCACTTTGAGATGGAACCAAGGGGAGTGGAACAGTGGGCCCCAAAAAGGCAAGCTGGTTCGTCGCGGGTCATCCCCCTCCCCTACCCCCTCCCCCACCCCCTCCCCCATTTCGACAAGTGAAGTAATATGCAGCTCCCCACCCATCCCTTATCAATCCACCTCCTCTACTTCGGGCGGTCCATCTGGGCCGTTCTTGCCTTTTGCATCCTCATCGCGAAGGAGGTAGAACGAGAAACTTCCTACCCGCCCCTTTGACGCCATCAGCCTTCTTCCAGCGCTGAGCCAGGCACCCTATCACCTCCATGGTGAGCTCCGCCGGCAGCTTGGTCATCTGCGGCTTCCACACTTCCGGCGGATGCTTCACCACCTCCTTGGCCAGCGACTCAGCCACCCTGTCCTGGGGGAAGTTGGTACTCGTCATGAGGTTCGGCTTGAGCTCCAGGACTAAGATTGCCACACCGAGGGTCCACTCGGGGATGCACGAGTAGAGCACGTCCAGGATGACAGCCACGTGCGCCTCCATGCCGAGATACTCACACATAGCCAGCAGGTACAGCAGGCCGCCGTACACCATGGTGCCGTCCGGCTCGTGCTTCTTCTGCGGAGGGCCCTCGGAAGACGCCGCCGCCGCCGCTGCTGACCCCTCTTGCACGGGCTCATCGTCCTGCTTGTGGTGTGTAGGCACATGAAGGGCGTAGGGGCGGTTCTGACATGAATGGAACCGGCAAATGACACACCCAGCAGAATGGCGTGTTGGCTGTTGTCTTACCTTCATGCCGGTGATGTGATTCTTGAGCAGCTGAAATGAACGGAAGAAGCAGATGGGGCATCAGGTCAGAGGTACAGCAACGCGCGGGTGCCATTCCTACCTCAGAATCTGCCATCTCCGAGAGTGCCATCAGCACGGTCAGGTGTTTGAAGGTCTCGGCATGGATGTACGGCAGCTCCACCTCCTGTTTGGCGTTCTCGACAAACCCATCACGCTCGATGGCAGCAAAGTAACCCGAATGCTTGACGAGCAGATCCTGCACAAAAGAGAGGCACGTGAATGTGGCGTTCCCACGTGTCTGCCCATCTCCCGCCTCACCTTCTTCTCGGTAAAGGTCTGCTGCGCGTCGCCTGAGCCAACGACTATCTTGAAAAACGACGCCTCAGCCATGGCGCCGCCTCGCACACCTCTCACCCAAACTCCGTTTCTTCGATCCGTTTCGCTACTTTCGTTGTATGCTACAGTCTGGCAGCGCTAGAGGAGTGCCGTCATGGCCAGAATGCGATGAAAGGCGCTCATTTTCTCCGGACGCGATCCACTGAAGCTCGCGCGCAGAGATTCTGAAGAGCGAAGGCGATTATGTGGAGAGGCACCATTCGTTCGGGGCGCAAGTCCATCGACGCCATTCCCGAGTCGAGAGACCAGTCTCCGGGACGCTCGCCCACGCTGTCGGTGTATGGAGGCCTCAACACACCCACATTCGGTGAGGGAGCACCTGGAGGGCATGAGGGGATGGCCTCTTGAATTGCATCACACTGCCTCTTGTCTGTGTCCCTTGGTTGGTTGCTGTCCATTCTCAGATATTCTGACGCCAGATCGTGTCGGTGTGTTGGCCACTGTCGCCCGCATCGTCGCAGAGCACCAGTACACCATCGAAAGTGCAGATGTCGAGACCACAGACAAGGGATACGCCCGCGAAGTGCTCCAGGTGTGTGTGTGTGCCTCGCGAAAACAAATTCGCATCCATCACATGCCTTCTGCTCGATGTTTGTGACTGCAGCTGCGTCGCAGTGACGACTTTGACGCGGTGCCAGCGCCCGACGATTCGACGGCCCGTCTGGAGGCGCTGAAGAACAGCATCAAGGAGCACTTGAAGACGCTCATCGACACCGAAGAAGCACCCCGTCCCCGTGGGAAGGGCAGGAGGGCCAGGGGTCGGGCGGGCGACAAGGACCAGGCAGAGATCGTCGTCGAGGGAGCCGACAAGGTGACAGAGATGGATGTGCGGATGGATAGCACCTGATGACTGTGTGATATCTGTTGTGTGTTGTCAGGTTGGATTGCTCGGAGGGATTACTGACGTCATCCGTCGTCATGGCTTCACCATATCCAACGCAAAGATCGAAACGATGCAGGTGCGCGCACACCGAGAAACAACATGCAGCGCGCACAGATCACCTGAGAATATCAGCTCACCTCTTGCTCACGTTGATCGCAGGACGGCGTTGTGCGCGACACGTTCCGTCTTCGGCTCGGCGGTGCGCTTCTCTACAGCGACACATCAATCGACGAGTGCCTGGAGGACCTCATGGAGTCACTCGAGGACAGCGGCGCAAAGTAAATTCCCACAACGATGGCACGCAGAATGACTGGATGGTGTCGCCCGTCGTGTTGCCTGTTGCCTGTGTCAGTTTCCACGACTTTGTGGAGCCAGTGTTAGACGAGGACTTCAAGTCATCCCCCATCAAGCAGCCCATCGCTCCCGAGCTCATTACCAAGATGGTCACCCACGACTCCCTGGAGCTCCCTCAGCTGCCCCCCAAGTCACTCGAGACCCCCGCCCTCTACTCGCGCAGCGCCACAGACCCCGTGGGCACACCCGGCACATTCTTCACACCTCCCCTCAAACCATCCAATCGCCCCCCACCAGGGACCACCAATGACAGCTCACAGCAGCAGCAGCAGCAGCAGCGAACAGACAAGGACGTCAACGACTCGCTGGCGCAGTTTTTCATCTCGCGTCTTGACAGCGATGACGACTTCAGACTCGAGGAGGCGGCCGAGCCGGTCCCGCCAGCGGACGGGCCGACTGCTGCCGAGGGGGCAGTCATCAGGAAAGACAGCGGGCCCGGCACGTGGGTGGGCAGCATTCGCCCCGACAGCCCTCTGATGAACGCCGTGAAGCGCGAGCCCAGGCCGACGCGGCCCCCCGGCCTCCGCCGCAAGCGATCCAGCTCTATAGCGTCTGGCGAGCGTCTGCCCTCCCTGCCGGGCCACCGCACGTCGAGCTCCCACTCTCACTCCACCGAGACGAGCGAGAATGAGAATGGCGGCGATCTCCCTCCTGTCAGTCAAACACCACGATCGGAGTCGCGTTCGCCGCAGGAAGGGATGCACCTCTCCTGCAAGATCAGCAAGAGACCCGCCAGTGTGGACGCAGGACCAAACAGGGGCAGACACAAGTCAGCAACCGAGCGAGCCAGCCATACACACACACACAGACCTTTTTTCTGATAACTTCTACTGTCCGCCTGTGTGTGCCTCCAGCTTCTGTCTGTCGGCGTTTCGCGGTCTCCGGAAGGACGAGAGGGGCATGCACACGTGACCTTACTGCGTCCATTCCATTGAAGCGGTTTTTTCCTGGCGGTTTTTGCCAGCAAAGGGAAGGGGTAATGTGGGATGTGGGGGGGTCTCGCCGGTCTTTCTATCTGTCTATCTATCTATCTCTGTGTTCGTCCCGTCACGACGAATTTTTATCCATCTCGCGTGCATGTGTGCGCGCTGTGTCGGTCGGTCGGTCGGTCGGTCGGTCATTCCATATATTAGAGGGAACGGTGTGTGCATCTTATCTATCTTGTGTGCAGTGCATGTGTCGATCAGAAGTACACATGTGCACCTGGGTGGGGGTGGAGGCATACAGCCAGGCTATCTATCAAGGTCCTCGACTTTTTTGGCCGCCCTGCTGCTGCCCGCGCGTCTGCCACAGACCAGCAGCATTGCAAGTGGGTGAGAGGTGCGGATGGAGGCCTGGAAGTTCTTGTGCTATCTATAGCTTTCGTACTGCCTGCCTGTCGCACCTCCTCTGCCCCGTGTCGTCGAATGGACCATTCATGTCGTCGATGGGTTTGGATGCCATGCTAGATGGCTGCTCGTATGGGCATGTATTTGCCTTCAACTGCGACGTCTTTTTCGCGAGTTTCGATGGGTCGATCATGCTTCAACCGCGTGTTCCTTCGTACGGGTGGCACAGGTGGCTGGAAGGCTTCCCGGGGTGCGTCGAACAACGCATGTTCGGGACACCTTCCTGTCGCGAGTCGCACCTGTGGGAGGAAGGCGTCAGAGAAGTCTGCAGTTTCTCTTCGCACTGGCTCCGGCTCGGTTGCGTCTTTGTGTGCGGTGAGAGTGACGTGCGGAGGGCGCTCGAGGGTGAGCAAACGAGACGGTCAAGCAAGACACGTCACGTTTCCTCACACTCCTGCCCCAGTGTTCAGTGCCTTGCGATCGAAGCACGAACAAGAGATCTAGACTGTAGTCACGAGTATCAGACTGTGCACTTGAGACTCTCTTGAGACAGCAAACGCCGAGTTGTGCATGGACGATTGTGCCTGACGACACCAATCCGTAGCCAGTCCACGACAAACCAAAGATCTCGGAGACACCATAATAATTTGCACGCCTGCTCGCCCCCAGTCTCAGTCGAGTGAAGCTCCCACATCCGCTCCCTCCAGGTGCGCTCTCAGTCCCCTCCTTTCTCTGCCGGGATGATGACGAGTGACTCGGATACAGGAAGTGTGGGCCCGCTGCAGCACTCATGGCTTGCGGATGCAGTCAAGGTCGGCATGGTGTGTGCGCGACTGTTTCGGGACGGCGCGAGCGAGCAGAGGCGGGTCTTTCGACTTGTGTTGGGGATGATGGCACAATTGGTGACAAAGCAGGCGAGAGAGGAGGGACTGGGCGAAGAGTTCGGCCCGACGACAGAGGACGACAGGGACGTCATCTGGAAGATGTGGAAGGCCGCAAGAGGTGAAGGAAGAACCGCATCTATTGTGTCCATCATCCATGTGTGGAAATGATGATGGTCTTGTATGCTGTCCACCATCAGGTGCTGTGCTTCACCTTTTGCCACCCATCCGGCCCTCCATCGTGTGGCCCATCCTCCCCGCCATCCGTCTCCGTCTCGCGAGAGCATTGCGCATCATCAGGCACCTCATCTATGCCCGCCTTCTCTCGTCCTTCCTCTCACTCAAAGCCGTCTGGCGGCAATCATCGATGCGTGGTCGGGCATCGCAGGCGTCAGATGCGGTCAGGCGTCGCATACTGGGATGCCAGATCACCGAGGCGAGCGCACAGTGGAAGGGAGGGGTCGTCGGCGGCCTGATTGAGCTGGACCGTGCGGTCAAGAGGGTGCTGTTGAGGCGGAAGGGCATGGCCATGCGTGTGTGGCGGAGGGAGGCTGGGCGGGGCGACAGGGAGGGATGGGCCATGATGCGAAAGGGACTGATGAACTGGACGGGAGAAAAAGGCGGAGACGCCGAGAAGAAGGTCGGTCAGACAATGGCGCAGACAAGTGGACTGGGTGTTTGGTTCGTCAGTCAATCTCCGCGTGTGTTTGCACAGTGGCTGGGTCTGATGCTGCCTGAGAGACAGTTGGTTGTCATCCTCCTCGATGCACTGTGGCGAAACAGTGAGCGTATATGCATATCATATGGCCTTCGATCACTCATTCCCTCATCTGTTGTGTGCAGATGGCTCCACGCTTCTCTCCAGGCTGCTCATCGACACAAATGTCTCATCCCTGGCTTACCAGCTCGCCAACCAATATGCTCACACTGACCCATCCGCCCTCCCGCCGCGCCTTGCATCCATCGCACAACCCATCACCGCCATGTCGACACTCACCAGCCTGACGGCCTTCTTGCCCTTCCCTTTCGAGTCGCATGATGTCGGCGGCGACGACGTCTTCGTCCGTGTGACCCCTGAGGCGATGCGACTGTGGGGCCGGGTGAGGGAGTGGCATGGGCGGGGCGGGACGCCCAGCGACCTCGGCAAGAGGAAGAGGGCGATGGCATACGATGAGGCGAGAGAGGCCAAGTCACTTCGGGCGGGCATCGCGACGCTTGCAGGTGGGTGGGGGAGAAGGGGGAGAGAGACATTGAGGAGAGACATGCGTTTGGTGTGCAGGCCTGGAGCCGAGAGCCAAGAAACAGGAGAAGAGACCTGTCGAGCTTTCGCAGTCCGTGACATCGCTCTCTGACGTGAGCCCTTCGTTGTGCCTGCATTCAGCATTTCTTCTGTTGATCAATGTTGTTTGCGTCAGAAAGAGATGGATCGGATGGTCGACGAGCTGCTGGGGATATTCCGCCTTATGAGACACCAGCGCAAACACGGCACCAATCTCCTTGTCGACCGCGACCAGCTGAGCAAGCTGGTGTCCCACCCTGGCGAAAAATCGGGTTCAAAACTCTCGCCGCGGACCCTAATCTCTTCCCTCGAAAGCCTGAATGTGCTCCCGCCAGGCTCAAACTGGCTCGACTTTGAGCGTCTCGCGGCATCTCTGCTTCAGAAAGACATCGATGCCTCCGCAGCCCCTCTTCCATCTGTCGCGCCACCGTCACCAACAGCACCTCTCGACCAGCCGCCACCCCTCTCGGATACCTCGCCACCTCCGCCACCGTCCAACACCTTCCTGGACGTGCCCCCTCTCCGTGTTTGCGTCTGTGCCGCATATGGCCTGCCGCTGTTTGACGAGCCGCGAGACGCGAGCCGGCTGTACAGTGTGGAAGTATGCTTGCTGGGCGACGGCAGGGAGGAGAGGGGAGGTGGTTCGACGATGTTGAGGACCCGGCCGAGCACACTGGAGGGGCGGGGGCGGCCGATGGGTGGGCGGGTCATGTGGGACCATACGATCGAGTTCTCGATGAGAGACCTGACGGTGAGCGACGAGAAAACGATACAAATATATCGGTGCGTGAATGATTCTGGTTTGCTGTGTGCAGGTCTCTGCTTTCCGCAACCTGCGGCTCCGCTTCACTCTTGACGTGGTCAGCAAGGAAATAATGTGTGTGTCTCCAATTGCCGGACTTATTCCTTGTCAATTGCCTTCTACCCGTCAGCTTGTCTCACACAAGGAATGGCGCACCCTGGGCACCAAGGAGGTCCCTCTCCGCCACCTCGCCAAGCTGCAACTCGAAAAGCCGCAACCACAGCCACAGTCCTCCACTTCAGCTGGCCGCCCGCAGCGCTTCATTGTCAGAGGGGCGTGGGAAGACAGAGCACCCGCCATGTACCGATTCAGGCTGACGAATGTGGACCGGCGGCTGGGCAGGAGAGTGGAGAAGGCAGCAGCGGGGAAGAGGATGTATCTCACGATTGCGGTCAACGAACTATGTCTTCGAAGGCAGCGAGCTGCTGCGCAAGGACGAGTGGGGCAACCTTCTGAGGCCGCGGGCGGTGTTGAAGCCCATCCCTGTCCGGATGGACGTGTGGGTGGACTCGGCCGCCTTCCACCCCTCGCTGGTCGATGTGCACCTCGACACATCGACGGACAGCACTAAGGAGGAGCAAGCAAAACTCGCCACATATGCGGTCGAGATGTCATTTTCAGGGCCGCTTGGGGGCGGCAGACAGCCGCAGATGCGGTCGACAAGGTTTGTGTTGGCGCAGCTGCTGACGAAGACCACTGCTGGGTCGCGGCCGGCTCAGTGGGCGAAGAAATGCAATTGGGGCGACGTTGTGGACATCTCCCTCGAACAGCTTCAGGAAGAAGGAGGCGAGAAGCAGCTGCAGCTGTCAATGGCGCTGCTATCAAAGATCGACAACCAGGTGTGGCGTACACACACAAATAGCGTCTCTGATACACCATATGCGGCCTCTTTGCCTGTCGGTGTCTCTTTCCTGACAGCCCGACACTATCCGTCTCGGCGCAACCCCTACGCCAATCGACCCCCTGCCCTTCATGCTGCCCTTCCCCCCTCCGCCGCCCCACTTACCGCCCTACACCCTCCCCACAGGAGACAGCCTCGAGGACCGCACCGACTGGCAGCTCCACCCCTTCAGACTCACTCCATCCATCCTGCCACTCAGGGGCCAGCAGGCGATCGATGTCTGGGTGGGGTTCAAAGTCAGGTGGGTGTGGGAGGTGGTCGACTATCCGAGAGAGCCCTTTGCCGCCTTCCCTCTGCCGCCGTTCCCGAAGGTGCGGCCCCTCTCTCATCGTAGTCAGCAGCTGAGGCGTGGGCAGGACATCCAGACGGAGGCAACCTACCCGCCACAGTATGCTGAGACACGGCTAGAACCCCCATGTGTGGAGATTGTTCTCGACGGCATGATCGTGAGCAACCTCCCTGACCTGCCCATGGAGTATGCCATTGAAGTCGCCCTGTCGCTGAAGACTACCCGCCCCCCGCCGCCATCTGGGCCGCCGCCCAAAAGAACAGAGACCCGTGAAGAACTGTCCAGGCGGGAAAGTGGTGTCGCCGTGCCTCCGATGGCGACACCTTTGCCGGCGACACAGGCCGCTTTCCCGCCGACTGTAAGCCTTCCTGTCCCTGCCAGCGTGAGCATCCCTACCCCTCAGGCGCCCTTGCCGCCTCCACCCCCATCACCACCCCCACACGACGAGATGGAGTCCGAAAGCTCTGCATCGTCAGAAGAGCGAACGCCGATAGTCACCGAGACAACAGGCATTCTCTCATCCTTCCTGGGTCCGACAACAAGTACCCAGCCGGTGCCGCAGACAATGCCGCCACCGCAACAGTCAACGCGGGCCCTTTCACAAGTGGCGAAGAAGCGGCCCCCACCGCCGCCACCGAGTATGCCGTTCCCAGAGCCGCCTTCCCCCGAAGGCAGCGAGTCGACGAGCGGATCAGAGGAGGATCAGCTGCTGCCAAACTTCAACCTGCCGCTCTTCGCGCCTCCCACAGCCACACACGCAGCTCCTCCGCCCGATGCAGTGGCGACCAGTCGGCCGAAAGGGAGTCCCTCTGTGTGGATGAGCCGGGCGATCAAGAGCACGGGCGGTGAGGGGGAGCGGTGGATAGAGTGGAGGGAGGTGGGGGAGGTCCTGTTGGATGCTGGGGTGGACAAAACAGTAGGGCAGATGACGATGGCCGTGACGCTCTGCGCGAGGCCGCTCAGGATTCCGTCGCAGGTGGGGACACTTCATGAGACACACTGATCCACCACCATCAATCACCACGTGTGTGCTCTGGCCAGGGCGAGTGGCGTCCATTTGCAACAGCCCACATGCCCCTTTCCAGCGTCCTCACCTTCACACCAACGCACCCCTTGCCTGCGCCCCCTGAACTCAATTTCCACTCCCTCCTTCTCCAGAGTGCTCTCTCGACACGCGACGTCACCGGCAGCCTGCGAATCGCCTGCCGCGTGCGCCACCACATGCAGGCGGCATTCTCCTTCCCACCTGCATCGCCACCCAGGAGGCCCATCACGCCTCGACTTCGCTTCGAGCCTCCACTGGTAGACAGGGCGATTGGTGTGGACAAGGGGGTCGAGGCGCAGATCGAGGCGCCGAGGACTGCTGAGATTGCTGTCCCTCGAGTGCCGGCAAGACCATCCGTGCCTGTCACTGCCGTCGCGAAGAAACCCGACTCGGTGATTGCGGCACCACCCAAGAAGCCAGGAGCCCGGCCACCACCACCACCGCCTCCTCTCCCTCCTGTCGTGCCAAAGCGTCCCTCTGTGAGGCCACCGTCTGAGTCGGCGAGCGAGGAGTCTGTGGAGCCTTCACGGCCGTCGATCATCAACCTCACCGCTGCAGCAGATCGCGACAGGAGGGCAGACTCGTGGATGGGCGACTTCCTTGGCCCGTCTGTCAGGCAGTCTGCTGGCATCTTTGAGTCGATCGGTGCATCCATTGGCGGCGCAGAGACAGGGCCGGTGGAGGCGAGAAAGGCAGCGGGGGAAGGGCCAAGGCCATCACCAACTCCACCTGCACCACTACGACCACCACCACCACCACCACCACCAATGGAAGAGCGAAAGAGCAGGTTGACGGTCGTGCTGAAGGATTCCAGCTACACGGACCTTGATATGGTGATCTTGGAGAGGGGAGTGCTCGATCTGAGGGGGAAGGCTCTCGGGCCAAAGGGATTTGCAGACATGGCGCGCGAGGCTCACCAATGGGCCAAGAAGCTGCACACCATTAAACTCGCCGGTGAGGCAAACTGCATGCAGCATATTGGCTCTCCACTCTTGCACCTCGCTACGGCCGCCTGATCTCTGCGTGCGTCCTGCAGGCACGTGTCTCGAGGACGAAGGCGCCATGGCACTGGCGAGATTCCTGGGCAGTGGCACGACAGCAAAGACCCCAAGGCTGAGCTACCTGGACGTCACTGGTACACGCACATGGTCCCCGAGGCATGTGTATATGCATGGGCTGTGTCCTGTCTTATCTTGCATCTTTTGCCAGACACGGAGATGACGGAGCGTGGTGTGGTTGAGTTGGTGAGCTGCCTCTACACGCTCAACATACCCATCAAACAGTTCTCCATCGGAAGTGAGACGTGGGAGAGAGACACAGACAGACAGACAAGCACATGGTCGGAGTGACATCTGTGTGTGTGGCATTCCTGCGTGCCTCAGAGAATCCCCTTGGAGTGACCGGCACGGCCGCTGTCTCTGCCCTCCTCTCGGCTTCGAACACCCTGCTCAACATCAACCTGGCTGGTGATCGCCTCTCTGTGTGATTATGTGATTACGTGATTGCGTGCAGGCTGTGGCATCGAAGACGGCGGGGCCCGTGCGCTGGCTGGTGCCCTGATGCCCTCTGGCAGGGCTGGCCAGAGACCATCGCCGCTGATGAAAATCCGGCTCAAAGGTACCAAGCAATTTGCAGAACGCAATGGCGTTTTTCAGTCCTTTGCAACGATGCATGTGTTGTTTTGCGCCTCACAGATAACCGCATTGGCGACAACGGAGCTGTCCTTCTGTTCCAGAGCTTTGCAAATGTGCCAAACCTCCGAGAAATCAATTTTGGAGGTGATCTTGTGTCTTCGCACGATGAAGCACTGTTCCCATCGATGTATTGCGGCATCCAGGCAACCCGTGGGGCGACAGGGGTGCATCAGCCTTGCTGGCACTGCTCGACACACCGGACATGAGAATAAAGGACGTGGACATAACAAGTATGCCCGCGAAAAAGCCTTGTGACGGCATGATGGTGTCTCTTCTTTCTTGCAGGTATTCGTGTGTCTGGGAGTGTGCGCGACGCCTTGCGACAGAGTGCCGGGGAGCACAATGTGGCTGTTGTTATGTGAGTCCCAGTGAGGGCGTGGTTGTATCAGGGAAATTGATTCAATCAATGAGGAGGATGAAATCGGCAGATCAGTGGATGTGACTTTGCTTCTGCACTGAGTCGATGGACAACTTAGGACTCCGACTTAGGAGACGAAATTTGGATATGTTTTGTTGGGGTGCGGCACACTGCATGCAGACATTAGGAATGAAAGCCACTCATCCGTTGTCCTTTAGGAACTCGTGTCTCCGATAGGCGTCTCCGCGTCATTTCCCCCACCTGGCATTTCCCTGCCGCGTATGGCCTGGGATGCTTAGGGTTTCTGTCGGTGGGTGACCTGCTGCCGATTGAATTTGGGACGGCCTTCATCATTTTCACGGTGCCATCGCCACAGGCCATCACTGCCACACACATCACACACGAAGGTCCACACGCAACACAACGCATGAAGTGTACAGTATACAGTACAGCAAAAAATGCCCAAAATGCCTTTCCCGCCCTGGTGCACAGCTCGCAGAGAAGCGCTGAGCCATTCTTCGCGTTAGCGTCTGCAGACACGACCAAGAGGAGCTCAGTGTCTTCACCGTCCAAGATCTCGCATTTCCATTCATCGAAGCGGCTGTGTGGATGCGGTCATGAGGAGGAGCACCTGTGCCGAGAAGATCTCACCACAGATGCTGATCTGACCGCATTCTGCCGATGAGCGCGTCATTCTTCGAGAACCTGCGGAAGGGCCTCACCGGCAGCACCAGGAAGGCACTCTACGAAGACAAGAATGAGGAGGAGAGCCCACCTCGCATGCAGGCGTCATGGAGCCGCCGGATCAGCGGGAGGAGGAGCCGCTCGGCGTCGGCTCGCAAGGAGAGGGAGGGGGATGTGAGGCTGGATTTGGAAGGGCAACCGGTGAGCATGAGATCGGCGACCGAGGGGAACCAACAGGGAGAGCACCGAGAGAAGAAGGACTTAGATGCCTGGGTGGAGAAGAAGCTGTGTCCTCAGACGGTCGGTAGTCACGACACAGCCAGATAATGCTGCACTCACCCACTCACTCGCTCGCTCACTCACTCACTCACTCACACCCAGACAGACAGACAGACAGATGCAGACATACAGATGCACACACACACGCCTCTGCATGCTTGTCACTGGCTGGTTGGCTGGTTGATCGACTTAATTTGTCAGGTGAGAACCAACGCATATCGCGTCGGCAGAGAGGACGGCGATGCCAATGCAGACCTCTCGAGCCGCCAACCCAGCCGCCCCGCCCCACCACAGGCCAGCAGCACTCGCCTCAAGCAGCAGCACCAGCAGCAGCAGCAGCAGGGTGGTGGTGGTGGTGGCCCGACCCCTGGCAGAGCCTTTCTCAGCCGCAATCTGGCCCAGGGCCTGGCCGCACAGGCCATGGCTGGCCGTATGGAGTTTTGTTCGGCTCCATTGGCTCCATCAGGGGCGTATGAGGGTCTGGGTGGCGGGCACAGCTCTGACGATGACGACAGCCCCCACTCGATGCGGGGCAACAAGGAGCTGACAGGACTCAGCGAGGTGATGATGCGCCAGAAGATCCGCGAGATGGTGCGGAACAGAGGAGGCATTGTCGACAATCAGACTAATGACAAAGAAGGTGAAGGTGAAAACGACAACGAGCAGCCAGACGACCCCGCGGTCACTGCGGCACGGCGAAGACAGCTGGCGATGGCTGAGGACAACATCAGCCTGCTGCAGTCGCTCCAGGGAGAGATCGAGCAGAGCCGCTACTTGCGAGCCGACCCAAACGACGATCCGGATAAGAGAGTTGTAGAGTCATTCATGACGCAGCTAATGCAGAACGAGGTGGGCACCAGAAGGAACTCAAATACACGCATGAAGCAATGAATGTGTGTCCTCGGTTGAGTATCGAACATCAGGCGGGTGCCAAGGGAGACCGTGTTGGTGCCGACACAGAGGACAGTGATGGCGATGCAGCGCCCCCGAGCCACCAGCCCAGCGGGTTCCCTCCCCCACAGGCCAGCAGCACTCCCCTCAAGCAGCAGCGCCAGCAGCAGGGTGGTGGTCCGGGCACAGGGACCTTTCTCAAGCCCATTGGCCGCGGGGTAAGATGGGGCTCCTCAGCTGCACCAGGGTACGCCGATAATAGCTCCCAATCCTCGCGAAGCAGCGATGAGGACGGCCCCCAGTCGACTGAGCCGAGAGGACTGGACGAGGCCTTGATGCGCCAGAAGCTCCGCGAGAGGGTGCGGAATAGAGGCGGGATTGCGGACGAGAATGACAGTGACGAGCAACCAGACGACCTCCTCACTGCGAAACGGCGAGAGCAACTGGCCATGGCTGAGGACAACAGCAGTCTACGTCAGTCGCTCCAGGGAGAGATCGAGCAGAACCGCTACTTCTCCAAACCGACCTTCAGCGACTCAGACGAGGACAAGGAGCGAGGAAGGAAGCTGCAGCAAGACATGATGCCCAGCTTTGGCGACCTCTCCCAGCTGGGCGAGGCCGACTTCCTCCAGCAGGGCTCGCCCATCTTCTTCGGCAACGACATGGGCATCCCTGGCATCCCGTCGTCATCGGCAGCAGGCGCCGCCCAGCGGCGGGCTTGCCGGCGGGCTCACAACGACGACGGGGCCGACGATGCGACCAAGGGCGGTCAGGGCAGCAAGGAGCGGCAGTCGCGGCGGAACAAGGGTGTCACCACCACCCAGGATCGTTTCGAGAAGGTGCAGAGGCTGGTGGCGAGCTTAGGGCAGCGCCAGGACCAGCAGAGGAAGAGGATGCACGAGGAGAGGAAGAGGATGCACACTTTCAGCCAAATTGAGAAGCTCGAGGCCATGGTGCGGGCCACGCGCGAGAACTGCGCCCACGACCAACTGGCGCCAGAGGACCAGCGCCAGCCGGTGCAGCTTCTCGAGGACCACCAGCTTCTTTTTGAGCTGCCCACCCCGGGCTACCCCCACCCGTTTCTCATGGACGGCCTGCTCTTCCGCCATGCCGTCCAGGCGTGTGTGGTCCACGGTGCGGCCGGGTCGCTTGAGGTTTTGCCGCGCGAGACACTCATCAAGCCGAGCAAGAAGGACTGCGACGAGCGCCTGGGTGCGGGTGAGGTGCAGGAGGAGGATGGGAAGAAGATCAAGTGGAGCGATATGGTGCTGGACGCTCTTGACTCGTCTTGCATGTACCGGGACGAAGCTCTCAACGTGGTCACCGAAGGTGCGCGGACACACACACACACACACACAAACACACACATGCTGTTGATGGGTTCATTCGTGTAACCTGTGTCTATCTCGATGAATGGAGCAAGCAGATTACCTGCCGTCGCCCCTGCTGGTGCAGGCGGCCATGGCCAATGCACCCATGCAGACCGTGCAGGTACGTCAGAGAGAGCACTCCGCCGGCATTGGGAGGGAGTGTGGGTGTGCATGGTGGCCTGCCCCCCTGACTCATGTGTAGACTCTTGTCGCCTACAGCGCCGACGTCAATGACAAGGGCCATGTGCACCACTTCACACGCGGCGCATACAAAGCCAGCCTCAAGACATCATCACTCGGTACGTGAGACCTCACTATGTGACCAATCATATCATGGCCACCTCTGTCTTTTCTTTTGTGGGTGCCTATGTGCGTGTGCAGGTGCGGCGGCCCTGTGGCATCGGCCTCAGATGCTCTCCTTCCTCCTGGCCAACACAGCCGCCGACATGTCGGTGCTCTCTGAGGTAGAGGTCAGGCCCCCACAAACGGCAAACGCCAAAAGTAACCGCCACCTGCGTGCCTGCATGCCTAAAACACCAACAGACCAACAGACAGACAGACAGACAGACCCATTCACTTTCAGCCTCTTCTCTTTGCCGTCGTCCCTCAGGCACATTCCGTTGGGCTGAGGGTCTGAATCTGCTGCAGCTGGTGTGCATCGGCCCGCCCCCGCCCAAGACCGCCCCGAAGAGCACATCGATTGTGCCGAAGGAGTCCAGGCCGCCCGCCACACCCAAAGAGGCAGATGGTCAGACACAGGCAACCACAGACAGCAGCCTCTCATTGGTGCATTGCCCGTGCCATGCATGCAGAGTCTGCCAACGTGCTCAGTGCGGCAGCCAAGCTGAAGGCCAAGAAGGCTGTGGCCAAGAGCAAGGCGGAGGAGGGTGCATCATCACAGGCCAAGGAACAGGAGAAGGAGGATCGCCGCCGAGAGGCCATCTTGGAGCAGGTCCGCATCAGACGGGAACAGCAGGAGGAGGACAGACAGCGCACCGCCCTCGCGACGCTGGAGGCCCTCGCCGCCCACGGCCTGATCGGAGGCCATCAGCAGAGCATCCTCTCCCTGCAGCGGCGGGATAAGGAGGGCAACACGGCTCTGCACCTGGCGGCCCGGCACGGCTGGTCGAGCCTGGTTGACTGGCTGCTCAAGCGGGGCGTTGCAGTAGATGCCGTCAACATGGCCAACGAGACGGCGCTCGACCTCGCTCGCAAGAACAAGCGATCGGTGAGGCACGCCAGACAGCAGGCGGGCAACAGGGCCTCCCAAGTGTGTGATGGCGTCTTGTGTGCTGTGGAGTGCAGGCGTGTGAGGCGGTCTTGACAGAGCACCTGTCTGCCCATCACCAGCAGGAGGCGGTCTACGAGCTGCTGGCGGAGGAGACACTCAGACGCGAGCGCGACGAGAAAAAACGCGAGAAGAACCGGGAGAAGGTACGCAGACACACCCAGACACAGACACACAGGCCCCCCACAGACACGCCAGACAGGCGACAAACAAAGATCCTCTGCTCTTTTCCTTTCTTTGTGTGGTGTAGAGGAAGCGTCAGAAGTGCAAGAAGCGCGACACAGCCGTAGGAGCTGAAGGAGCCGAAGGCGACCAAGAGGAGCCGCAGGCGGCCCCAGTGGAGGAGGAGCTCGACGACCATGAACAGCGCCTAGTTTCCCGAACGAATGTCCCGCACCCAAACACGATTGCACGAACACGGCTTGCGCCCCTCTCCCTCTCTCTCTCACACACAAGGAAGGCCTCGACCGTCCAGTCGAGCTCGTAAGCGACGACGACAGAGCAAGGCATCCGTGCAGAGGACCTGGTGGTCTGTTCTCTTACAGGTGTGATGTCGAGGACGGGCCAATGTCGAGTTCGCCTCAACCTGGCGGAGACCTGCCGACCACGTGAGCATCAAAGCATCGCCAGGTGCTCGCAATATGGAGCGTGCCTTCGTCCATTGCAGGCTCGACGAAGACATGAGTGGCGTGCCGTCCTCCTCGTCGAGTGTCCCGCCGCCGCATGCACACAGGTAAACGAGTCAGCCCAGATCTCTCTCCATCGAAACGAATGAATCAGCGCCCCGCCCGATGTGTGTGTGCAGAGGTGCTGGCGACACTGATGAGGACCGTGACGAACAGGAGGCAATAGCTGCGTCGCTGGAGGCTGCCGCTGAGCAGTGGGAGGCCATCAAGACGCACGTGACCACTGCCCACAAGCAGATACAGGGGTGAGTACGAGACAGACGCTCATCGGATGCGCGACGATGCATTTTCATCTGTGTCTGGCGTGGCGTGGCGTTGTGTATGCGACAGGTTGCGGGAGAGGTTACAGGCCGAGGCGGACATGACTGCGGCCACAGAAGCCCAGGAGCAGCGCTTGATTGAGGAGAACAACGAGCTCGAGGCAGCCAACCCCGTGTACGTTGCTGCAGGCGTCACCCACCAATGCGTCCATCCATCCATCCATTGCCTGCCTTCCATGTGTCGGTTCTGTTCTGTTGCAGTCTGACGGCGGACCAGCTCGACCTCAAGGCCTCTGCTGGTGATGTCAGGCACTTCCAGAGGGTCGTCGACGGCCGCTTCTACGAGCTGCAATCGCTGATGGGCGAGTGCCTCCAGCGAGCTGTGGACCTCACCAACAGCCCTCCTGACACATCATCGGACGAGCCGGCTCCCGACAAACAGGACAGCAGCCCGAACATGCCCCCCGAGGCCCCCTGTGCGACCAGTCCCCCATCGGCGACGGCTGGCGAGTCCATTGGGTGGCTGGAAGAGTTGGAGAGCAGCCACCTGGACATCCCCGAGAAGTGTGTGAGGGCATCGAAGCGGCTGGAGGACATTGAGCAGGACATCGGCAAGTGAGAAGCGCAGATTGAAGAGGACTCACCGATTGCATTACAGATCGGTTGCCATCCCTTCCTGCAGGTTGGTGTGTGAGGTCGTCGACGCCACCACCCGCCGTGAGGCATCCGACGCCCATCTGCAGGGCCTCACCGAGCAGAATTACGAGCTCAAACGACGCGACAAGGAGCGGTGAGAAAGGCGCACACACAGTCTCATGTTCACTTCTATCTGTCTGTCTGTCTGCCTGCCTGCCAGATTGACCGAGGAGAAGCTCCAGTCGCTCACGTCTGTCCAGGCCGTGAAGTGCTTCCATCAGGCGGCCTCTCAAGAAAGCCAGCGACTGAAGGAGCTGCTGGGTCGGTGCAGCGACCACCTGCTCAATCTGGCGAGTGCGTCCTTCCAGCGTGATGTCGAGCGGCGCGTCGAGGAGGTCAGGGTGGCGCGCGACAGAGAGGCGGTCGAGCAGCTGAAACGTCAGGAGGCTGCGACGGCCAAGATGGTCAGCGAGATGCAGCAGCAGCTCGAGGAGGAGAGGGGCAAGCCCAAGCAGGACATCACCTCGTGTGTGGTGTGCCATGAAGCGCCCAATGACGTGGTTATGATGCCCTGCCGACACAAATGCATTTGTACAGGTGGGCAGATGGGCAGGCAAGGGACACCTTGGGGCGTACATATGTGTGGTGTGTGCCCATTTGTGCAGGTTGTTTCGATCGCCTCAAGAGGCAGCACCCGGGGCGCAAGGTGCCGTGCCCCATATGTCGCAAAGAGCGCCTCAAGCAATACTCAGGGCCCGTGTTTGAGCAGGGGCACCACGACTGACCGAGTGGTAGAGCTAGCAGGGGCGCGACTAGTACCCGGACAGGTGACCAGCTTGTCGGCCACCCCGTTGTGTGTAGTGATGGGTGACATTAGTATGTACATATATACCTATATATGTGTGTGATGGGTTGGCGATGTCCATATGCGACATACATGGCCGGTTGGCTGGCTGGCTGGCTGGCATGTGTAGTGTTGTGCTGATTTATCGACACAGATGGATGGATGGATGGATGGACGAATGTGTGTGTGGCCACCTCAGATGCGGTGTGGTGCTTGTCGTTCGCCCGCTTTCTTCTGACACATAGCTATAGCCCAGCGGTGATGGGCGTCTGAAAGCGATCGAGGGAATGGCAGACACGACTAGGTCATCGAAAGACAAGGAGGGAAAGTCATGTAGTTATGGTTTTTAGCCACACCTGGATGGCACTGAGTGGTCAGAAATGTGGAGACGAGCACTGGCAAGACTTTGACTGAAAAATCGGATTCATTTCACATCCAAGACATAGTCAGCACGCACGTCTCCCTTTTCGTCTCAGTCGCATTTCGTTCAAAGGTTCCTCGGTGCAGTCACTCTGGATGCTTTGCATAGTATAACGCTGGCCAACAGCCATCCCTCCCTCCCTCCCTGCAGACAGACACTTCTTCAGCGAAGAGAACAAACACTGCGTTTCCCTGACCATCCCACAACCCCTCACTCACCGTACCCTATCTCCCTCCCTCCCTCCCTCCCTGCCTCCCTCCCGACATGACACAACTGCCTAGAGATGTATCGCCCAAAAAACACGGCTGAGCGACGTCAGTCAGTGTCGGGCGGCGACAGGCTTGACGACGACTGGGCTGCGCCGCTGAGGTTGTGCATCACCTTGCTGGTGCGACGCAGTCCCGACTGTTGCCGACCTGCAGATGAAGGGAACAAAGGGACGAGGGAGGGACACAGACAAGCAATGTCGAGACACGGTGATTGCTGCATGTCTCCTGCTCACCTTCACTGCTGGCAGTGCTGAGGCTGCTGCGGGTGCTGCTGAAGGTAAGGCCTGACACACACATTCAGAAGACACACACGGAAAGGACATGCGCACGTGAGCCACTCATTCAGCAGCCAACCAGTCAACGTCTCTCTCTCTTGGCATTCAAAGCTCATTCACTCTGCATGGTTGGGCTTCGGTTCAGGCCTTCCGACACGACGGGCTCGTTGTCGTGCTCCATACCCATCATAGAAAAGCTTGACGGTCCGTCCCGGTCGGCGACTGCCCCGAAGCCTGCACCAAAGGGATACACGTGCATGTCGACTGCTCACAGCTTACTCATTTCGCACTCACCAGACGCCACAATGGGCTCTTGCTGCTGCACCAGAAGCGGACTGTCATCTGCACAGATCCATCCGCAGGAGAAGCGTATCTAATGTGAGGACAGTGCCCGTGTCTCATAGCCTACCGCTGCCGCCATGAACCTCGCTCTGAATCTCGCTCGAACCACCGCCAGCAGCTTCACCAGCAGCAGCTTCAGCAGCAGCTTCAGCAGCAGCAGCTTTCTCAGCAGCAGCAACGCCAGCATTCACTGCCGACAGCACCTGTGAGACACACGGTATCCATCTCATTAGCCATGACGGATGTGATGACTGTGGAAGGGCACCTTTGCCAGCAGGGACCCCATTGCTGTTTTATCTTTAGCAGCAGCTTTGAAAAAGCGCGGCAGCATGTTCCTGGGCACGCCATTCCCCTTCCACCCATCGGGGTTCACCCAACCAGAACTCTGACCACTTGATGACGAGGGCGGCGTCCAGAAACACGACACTGCACAGAAATGAGAGCATCCTTGCGGCAAGTGACGATGGACCTTTTGGTGTCTCGTCTTACAGGCCACTCCAGCCAGTTTGTCGATGGCGTTGTGGACCGCCCTCGACCTGGACTTGTACCGGCGAGCTGATGGGTGTTGAGACAAACACAGCAATCAATCCATCAGACATGCCAGCTGTCTGCCTTTGTCTGTGTGTGTCTCTCGCTCACCCTTCCGTCTCAGGTACACTATGAAACGCTGTAGACAAAGAGACAGACAGACAGACAGACAGACGAGTGTGTGTTTGGGTGTTTGCCTGTGTGTGTCTCACCACTTGCTCCTTGAGGTACTCCTTGTCCTTTTGAAGTTTGGCCACCTCGGCCTTCTCGGCTTGCTGCACGTGACGCGATGCACAAACAGACCGTATGTAACACTTTCGCCGCCCACAAAGCCCCCGAGCTGTGCGTATGTACCAATTCTTGTTCTGTGCCGCTATCCGCCGTTCCCTGGAGGGTCTCGTGCCCCGTGGAGTTGGCTGCATTTCGCAGATGGACAGGCACGCACACAAGACAGACAGACAGAGAAATGCAGCGCACCCATCAGCCACTCATTAATTGTGGCGTACGGTCGGTCGTCCCAACATCCTCTCGGCTCTCAACCGGGTCGGCCTCGGGCAGCTCGTCAGCTGAAGCAAGGACCAGACAGAAAGACACCGTGGGAGACCCTTCTTGCCTCTTCCGTTCACTCACGTGCGTCCTTACCCCGGCCCTCTCGCGTCTTCGGCTGTCCATCTGAAAGGCAGGCACAGCGGCACCCACAGCCAATCAAGCGACCACCGGTGAGTGCTGTGCCCCCTCCCCACCTCTGGTGCCATTTCGCTCACCAGTGGTGCTTCTCGGACGCGGACTCACCACATCAGTTTCTGGAATCCAGGCTTCCACAAAAAGCTGGATTCCAGCCCAGCACGCGAACGCGACGGAGGGGAAGCAGAGAATCACTTGGGCGGCGACAATTGCCTCAGCAACCGGCATTTTGGATTTGGGCTGGTCTTGAAGTCGAGACTGGGGGCCGTCTGGGGGCGATCAGAGCGATCTTCCCAACGGAGGCCGAGATCTGACCGTGGTGGTTGTGTGGTGTGGCTTGTCGATGGCGGGTGTGGCGGGCGATTTCGACAGTGAATTGGTCGGATTTCTTTATCAAGACCTGATGTACATTACTCGATTGGTTCTCTCGATTGGTTCTCTGTGAGCACCATGGTTGAAAGTGCAATAGCCGTGTCACCATCTCACACAGAGAGAGTCTCATCGACACACACATGCTCCAGGGATCATTGTGCTGAGAGCTCAGCGAAACTCTCAGCGTCCACCGACATACATAGATAAATCAGTGTGACACACTGAACTACTCCTTCTCAGACCCTCGCTGCTGTACAATGGAGCACAAACACACATCTCTCTCTCTCTCTCTCTCTCTCCCTCACCCGCTCCCTTCATTGCCAGACCACCCTTGATTCCCTCACTCGCCATTCATTCATTCCTTCATCAGACTTGGACAGTCTCCATTGCGTCCTGTATCTTCTTGAACACAGTGCTGGGCTCCTCCGCCCCGTCGATGCGCACGAGTATGTCTTGGTAGCAGCCGAGTATCTCGTCACAGTTGTCCTTGAACTTCTGCAGCCGCACGCGGATTGTGTCCTCGGTGTCGTCGGACCGCTGGATGAGCTTCGACCCATCCACCTCGGGGCCGGGAGGGTTGGTCTTCAGGTTGTAGATCTTCCCCGTGGCTGGATCTGTCCGACGATACACCACCCTGAGCCAGGCGAGAGAGAGAGAGAGAGAGAGAGAGAGAGAGAGAGAATGGACAGACAGACATGCAACAGGTAAATGATGGTTCCCTCCCTGCCTTTGTAGGTTTCTCTCACCTGTCGATGATGAGCTGGTCGGGCGCCTCGAGCAGCAGAAACTTGTCTGCCTGAATGCCAGCCTCCTTGAGTGCCTCAGCCTGGCTCTTGGTCCTCGGGAAGCCGTCCAGCAGCCACCCCTCCTCCACACAGTCACCCTGCTGCAGCCGCGTGACGACGATAGCAATGATGAGGTCGTCAGGCACCAGGTCGCCAGCCTCCATGTACTCCTTGGCCTTGTTGCCCAGCTCCGTGCCCTCGTTGACAGCAGCCCGCAGGATGTCCCCGGTGCTCAGGTGGATGACACCGTACTGCTGCTTGATGAAGTCGCACTGGGTGCCCTTGCCCACCCCTGGGGCGCCTGCAATGATGATCTGTGGGCCGCGCATCGAAGGCTGACCTCGCAGCGACGGTGATGGTCGTCGCCTCGATGCTGGCAGGCGCGGGCGGGAGGGCGGGGAGCGAAATAGAGGGCCGGAAGATGACGATGATGTCGATGCACTGCTGTCCGATGAACGGAACGAGGCCGCATCCGCAGATGCCATGGAGATCACCACCAACGCCGCGGCGACGAGCACCATCTTGAGAGCGCTTTTTCCCCGCTTCGGACCGTCTGCGAGCTTACTGAGACGAGCAGTTTCACGAATATCCTAGGCAAATGTGAGCTTGAGGGTGACCGGTGTCTTCGGGGAGAGGAAAGAAGACGAACGAGTAGTCTCCCATTCGGCAACGAGATCAGGTCGCTGACTTCTTGGTGACATCAACTGGTCCACACACTTCAGCCCTCTTGGTCAAGGCTCCTCGACAGTCAGAAGGACAGTCAACCAACGGCCCACAGCCGTCGATATGGCTGAGTTCAGCGATGTAGGAGCCCACTGCAGTGACCCTGTGAGCACAAACAACACTGGAAAGCCATCCATTGCTCACTCGTGGTGTTGCTGCTTGCTGTTGTGGTTGGCCATGTGGTGTGTGTGTGCAGTACTGCCGGCAGAAGGACTTCTTGCCCTTCGTCTGCAACCTATGCAATAAGACGGTAAATGATTGTGGCACTCAAGGGAGGCAGGGAGGGAGGGGAGGGAACCAACCTACCACTTCTGTGGCCGGATGGGTGCTTGCTGTGGTGTTGTCCTTGACAGTACTGCCTTGAGCACTTCAAGCCGGAGTCGCACCAATGTCCCAGGGCGGCGGCGGTTGACAGGCGCGTGATGATCTGTCCTCTCTGCCTCGACTCCTTCCCCATGGTGGCGGGCGAGTCGTGTGACGTCACCTTTGAGCGCCACACGCGCACCTCCTGCCGACCAGACCTCTATGAGACCCGCAGGGCGCAGCAGAAGGCCACCTGTCCCGTCAAGGGATGTAAGGCGAAGCTCACGGCTGTCAACTCATTCGTGTGCCCCCGGTGTAAGCAGAAGGTCTGCATGAAGCACAGATGGCAGGAGGACCACGACTGCCGGCCACCTCAGTCGAGTCTGATCAGTTCCCTAACCAGCAGCTTCTCTTCATCGCGGCCTCCGTTGAAGGGCAAGGCCGCCGCTCGGATGCAGGCCAACAAGCCGCCCAACGTCATGGACATGCTGCGAGGTGGGCGCGTCAGAAACAAACGGCACAGCACAACACAACACACACGAATTGGCTCACGTGCTTTCAGAGACGGCGCACAGGAGGATGCGCACAGGTGGATCCAGTGGTGCGCCGAGTGCACAGGGGTCCTCGTCCAACACACAGCAAGGGTCGCGCAATCAACGGCAACGCAACGATGATTGCGTCATCTCATGAAGGATGACGAGCGAGCAGAGAGAACGGGCCGGTGTTTGGCTTGGACGGGAGGGGATGCGTATGTCGTGGATGTGTGTAGATGTGAGTGTATCTTGCTGACATACGAATCCTTTGGGGGTTGTCGTTTTCCGGTATATTGCTGCGATTGCTTCTTGGCTATGGGCTTCGGTTGCTGCAGCTCAGCGCCGATTTTTGCTGAATTCACTCACTCACGGGCGCAATGGTTGCTGATGTACATGTAGCCCGTTGGTGGGTTTCGTACTGAATGTTTGTGTGTGGGGGTGAGGTGACATTGCTTGCGGCACGGCTACGCGTGTCATGACGTGATGGCTGACTCCAGCACAATGAAGGCAGTGTTATGTGTGCCACCGGTGTGTGGGTGCGAAGGTTGGCTGTACACGCATCGCATAGCATCCAAGGTCTCAACCAAGTAGCAGCTCAAAACAGCCCCATCATCGGAAAGAAACGATGCGCGCAACACTATTCTTCAACCACAGCGGCCCTCCCTGCAAAGCACTCTGACTGAGGCCATCCTGCCCACTTTGAGAGATGACGACAGCTCATCTCGTCTCCTCCGCCGCTTTGCCTAGCGCTCGCGTCAGCAGTTCGATGAACAGGGGGTCGCGCGGCACAAAGGCAGGATGCCGAGACACCAACGCCTGCACAACACAACACAACACAAGGCAACGATAAATGCACGTTGGTGTCGTGTGTCGTCAATCGTGCGTCCCCCATCGTCCTTGTCTGTCTGTCTGACAGATCTCCCATGGGGGATAGCGAGAAGGACAGCGGTGTGCGCAGAATCAGAGGATGCAGCACCACGCAGACAGCACGCATCCGTGAACATCTGCGACTCCCTCCCTCCCTGTCTGCATCCCTCCCTCCGTCCACCCACCTGCTGTATCTGCCTGAGTCTGCCCACTTTCAGCTCCGACACTTCCGAAGGCGCTGGACGGAACACACCAGATGACGGCTCTGCCGCCGGGCTGTGGTTGAGCTTTAGCTGGAAGTCGTCATCGGTGAGCGGCGCTGGGACCATCTCCAACAGAGGCCTTGCAGGGCGGAAGAGGTACACCGACTGGTACTCGCAGCAAATGTACATGCCGTGCCGGCGGATCTCGCCCTTCTCGCGATGGCCGATGGTGAACAGGTGCATCAAGTCGCCCTCAATCACCTCGGTTGACGGATCTTCCCCAACCGGCCGCAGCAGCAGCCGAAGTGACTGCCGATGCCGACTTGCCTCCGCCGGTCCCTTTGGCTCGTCACTCGGGGCGTTGGTGGGTTCCTGTTGGTCTAGCGGGTCATCGATTGACGAGCGTGTGACGAATGCCGGCCTGCTGGGGTCGTCGCAGAGGATGGGACGAAGCACAATGGACTCATGGCTACTGTCAGCAGTGGGGTTGTGTAGCCGATCGAATGAGCAGTGGAGCGTTGCGTTGGTGAGGGGGTCGACGACATCGACAGTGACGCCCAGCTCCTCCTCTATCTCGCGCACCACTGTGGTCAGGGGCACACCGCCAGCGTCAACATGACCTGGTCATACAATGGAACCAACAATCCCCTCAATGCGTTGCCTTCTCCACAGCGAGGAATACCAGCATACCTACCTGCCACAGTGATGTCCCAACAGCCAGGATTGGTGCTGCAGACACACACACACACACACACACAGAGCACATAAGGACACCATCGATGGATGGGTGTGTGTGGCTGCCTCACTCCCTCACTCTTTATGCCTTGACCGCCGCTGCAGGACCAGCTCCCAGTCACCATCCGCCGTGCTGCCCCCGAACCAGCACAGCGACGTCCGATGCCACAACCCACACACATGCACCTTCAGCCGGCTCTCCACATAGCCAGCAGGGACCACAGCCGACCTCTCCCCCGACGGCGGGCGGTACACATCAAAGGGCTCCGACATCGATTGTCCCAAAGAAGTGAAGGACGCATCCTTCGCAGCAGCAGCAGCAGCAAGGCGGGCAGCAGAGTGCAGGCGCCGACGCGAGAGAGACTCCCCGAGGGAAGATGGGAGCCCTACAAATGAAATAGCAGCTACGTCAGAATGGATCTTCGTCACGGCGGTGGGTGCCTGCGGGTGGTGGTTGCGGGGTGGCCGGTAGAGCAGCCTCCTGAGCGTCGAACATGAGGCCATGAGTGGATGTACCAGCAACAGCACCGAGCAGATCCGTATCAAAAGACACAGACAACGGTGCATTGATCACTGCTTGTGAACTCTCCGCGGGGCTGCTAACACGAGCCCTTCAGGCAGGAGATCTGCAGTTCGTGTTTTCATGTTGGACGCCTAGGGTATTACGTGAAACCGCTCTCTCAAGGGACATTGCGTTTGTTTGTGTGCTCCCTCAGCAGCAGGTCGACTGAGATCTGTGCAGATCTGTTCAAGCTGACTATGTTTGGAGATCCCTATCGGGACCGGGAAGACACCAACACGCGCTTCTTCCGCAATGTGCAATGCATCCTGCAGGTGCGCCGCTGCTCACTTGATGTGCGCAGTACACACATGGATGGATGGATGGATGGATGGATGGATGGATGGATGGATGGATGGATGGATGGATGGCTGCAGTTCCTGCGCGACAATGGGCTTGAGGCGTCACTGACATCCGTGGCCAGCGAGACGGGTGTGGAGTACATCGATGGCTACCTACCTGGAGGAGCACTCGACTGTGCCCTCGGTGAGGAGTGAGTAATTCCAGCAAAGGAGGAAGTCGAGGCATGCAGGCCGATTTGCCGGTGTCTGCCGTGTGTGTGCAGATCTGTATGAGGATTATCGTGTCAAGCAGGTCGCCCACTCGAGTGACGGGGCCGATCCATCCGACTTGCAGGTGGTACTCCCCGACCACACAGGGCACATCTGCCGCAGCCAACTGCTGACCGTCGACCCTCCGCACCCAAAGAACGTGCTGACCATCCGCTTTCTGCCCCCCTCCCCCTCCCTCTCCCAGCATCAGACGTTCATCGCCACAGGGGCAGCCGACAGCGTACTGCGGATCATCCGGCTGAAGCTGGATGACAGCAGCGGTGCCAGCGAGGTGGTGGCGGCGTATGAAGGGATGCGGTCGCCCATCCTCACCATCGACTTCGACAAGTCGAGCGGCGGTGGGCTCCTGCTGCTGCTCGGGGGGATGGCAGGCAACGTGCAGCTGGTGAGGTGGGAGGAGGGGAGAGCGATGGAGCTGCTGCATGAGTATCAGCATCACGCGACCGGCAAGCCCGTCCTGTGCGCCCGGTTCTCCCCCGACGGCCGCTACATCGTCACCGCATCCAAGGACCGCACTCTCGCCCTACTCGAGCGGGCAAACGACGCCGAAGCAGAGTCCAGCGGCGGGGGGCGGTTCGTGCAGCGGGCGGCTTTCACCTTTACGGGAGAGGTGCTCGCCATCGAGTGGGTGGGTGTTGACGAGTGCGTTGCCAGCGTGCGAGGCAGCTACGAGCTGCATTATTTCAGCGCCAGCCAGCGGAAGGAGACGATGCGGACGACCCTCAACGCCATGCGCGATGATGTGGTGAGCTTCGCTGTGCTGGACCTCAAGGCGAGTGCCGACGGGACGAAGCTGCTGGCCTGCACCGACAAGTCGCGACTGATCCTCTTCGCCACCAAATCGAGCATGCAGGTAAAGGACAGACTGACTGACGGAGAGGAAAGAACGGAGGGAGAAGTGACTGACATGTGACCAGAACAAGGGTCTATGATGCGGTGCGTGCGATGTGTGTGTTTGCTGCTGATCGATCCATTTGGCATCCATCATCATCAGCTGGGCAACTACTACGGGTTTGAGTGCGACGACTATTCATTGCCGGTGTGTGCCTTCTCCCTCGACGGCAAGTCGGTCTACGCCACCTCCACGGGGGCACACTCGACCAAAACCAAACTGCAGGTCAGTCAGGGGCACACAACACACAACACACACGCTTACGCTTACACGCGACAGACAGGCTGCACACCAATGACCTCTGTGTGTGTGTCGGTGAGTGCTGTTGTAGGCGCCTGAGGTGGTGTGCTGGGACATAGCGACGCAGCGCCTCGTGCACCGTTTGCGTGGGCACAAGGCGACAATCCGCACCCTGGCGCGGCACCCCACTCGAGAGCTGATTGCCACGGGGGGATTCGACAAACAGGTCATTCTCTACTCGTAGATATTGGTTCTGGCGATGGCTGTTGCGGATAGCAGACAGACAGACACGTTTTACATCAATGTGTGGTTCTGCTTTCCCATTTCGGCATTTTGACGTCACGAAGACCGACCGAGTGCGTGAGACCGTTTCAGCGGAATGAACCTTTCATTCATCATGTCATCAAGTCTTGTTTGGATGCCCATACGTCCAGCAACATATGCACACCCCATCTATCTATCGTCTCATCCCTTGGTCACACTGTGTGGGTCCATTATCATCTCTCGCCGCCCACGATCTTCACAATCACTCCATCTCCCTCAAACCGTCTCTGAATCGTGTTATGGTCTCAGAGCAGATTTGTGGCAACCAGAGTGACGGTGAAAGCAGCGCACGCAGCAAGGACACACCACAGCCAGAGGCACCCTCATCCCTTCTGCACCGCCCGCCAACCAATTGCCGCCAACCACCAGACACCAGACACCACTCAAAGCAGATCACGCAGCCGCTCAGTCATCCCATACCCACACACTTGCACCACTGACTGCCACGAGAGAAAGCTCATGTGCAATATGTGCTGCCTGCCTGCCTGCCTCTCTACACGAAAAAGAGACCAGTCCAGTCGTCTCGGCTCCGTCCCGCGCCAGCCACGCCATCCGGCATCTTCGGCGGTGTCGTGTCGGTCATGCCGAGTAAGGGTTGCCCATTTGTCGAAATGCGGGGTTGGTGAGGTTTCTGCGGCACTGTGCGTAGGCCTTTCTGAGTACGATGCAGTCGTCGCCCACGACGGCGCCGTCCTTGCTGTGTAGGCACTGGCGGAAGGTGTAGCCGTACTCGGCGAAGCACTTGGACTGCTTGTAGCACGTCACCATCTCGTCATGCACCTTCTTGCACGAGTTGGACGCCGAACGGTGCGGCTTGTCCTCACTCAGAGGCAAAGACATCAGGGTCAGGCAGGCTGGGAGAGATAGATAAGATGCGCTGCGGGGGAGATGGATCAGCTGCTCATGGTGGAAGAATCAACATATCTCCCGACAGCAACCACTGTCCCTGAGCAGAACCACCGTCCCTTCCCTGCGAGTTTTCCTTCCCTTTGGGCTTAGCTCGCAGGGGAAGGAGAGGAAAGGGGAGAGAAAGGGAGGAAGGCGTCAACATTCGGTGCGACAACACAGATGCCTACGGCAGAGGAGAGCCAGGAAATCGACTGGGAAGCTCCAAAGTCGCCTTCACACTCTGCCGCTGCTGCGCATGCCGACAAGGATCCGTCAGCTGCCGGACGCCAAGCCACAGCTCTCCCGGTTCCGCTCCGCAGGCTGCAGCTGGTGGTCAACCTCTGCAACGCCATCGAGGGTGTTGATCTGCAGCTGCTGCCCAGCTCATTCAAGGCACTGGAGGGAAGCTTCGGCCTGTCGCCATCTGCATTGGGTCAGTCAGCAATGGCCAGGAGTGACTGCATGGTACATGTTCACCAGGACTGTCTGTCTGTCTGTCTGTCTGTGTGTGCAGGTAGGCTGTCTTTGGTGCAGGCACTGTGCCAGGCGTCGGCTGGCCCACTATGGGGCCACATGGCCGACAATGTGTCAAGGAACCTGCTGCTGTCGTTTGGGTGCTGTTTCTGGGGCGTGCTGAGCATGCTGTTCGCCTCCAGCCAGTACTACTACCAGATGCTGGTGTTGAGGGCACTCAACGGTGTGGCGCTGGCGAGCGTGGGACCTGTGTGTCAATCCATCATTGCCGACATGTTCCCGTCGTCTGAGAGAGGCGGCGCGTTTGGGCTGATTCAGCTCGCGCTGTGCAGCGGGATGATCCTGGGGGCCCTCTTCGCAACGTCACTATCACGGCGGCAGGTGGGACAGCTCACCTCACACAGGGCTGGCTGATGACGGCGACACAGCCAGAGGGGATTGTCTATGTGGCTGTTATGTTTGTGCAGCTGACCGATACCTTGCAAGGGTGGCGAGTTGCGTTTGCCCTCGCCGGGATGACATCCTGTGTCATCGGAATGTTTATGTGCACAAGGACGGCTGAAGCACCGCGGCCAAGGCAGAAACGGTCTCATTCAGACAGGTCGTCTGTTGGCGACCACGGCGAGTTGGTGCCGGCTGACCTTGGGTCTGTCAAGATCCGGCACATCATGAGGAAGAGGACCTTCCTGCTGCTGCTGGGTCAAGGGCTTTTCGGGTATATCCCTTTGAACGCATTCGCCTTCTGCACAATGTGAGATCCTAGATATGATGCCATCGATCAGGAGTGTCGCGTGTTCATCTGTGTGTGTGGTGTGTTTGGTATGTGTGTGTTTCGTCAGGTGGTACCAGTATGTCGGCTTTTCTGATGCAGCGGCCGCCCTGCTGACTGCTCTGTTGCTCTTCGGTGGCGCCATTGGTGGCCTCATCGGCGGGGTCCTGGGAGATAAGGCGTCGGTCATGTCGCGATATCACGGCCGTCCGTGTGTCGGCCAGTTCTCCTCCCTCGCGGGCATCCCTCTCGTGTGGCTCCTGCTGCAACGGTAACACCACCGCCACACACAAACCAGCCAGGCACGTATCGTATCAATCACGTGTGCGTGTGGGTCTGTCTCCTCCGGTTGCAGGACGCCTCGCGACACGGACCACTTCTTCGTCTCTGCGGTGCTCATGTTTCTGTCGGGCACTGTGGCCACGTGGGGCTCTGTTGCTGTCAACCGGCCCGTACTGGCCGAGATCGTGCCGGCACAGAAACGTGCCACGCTGTTCGCAATCATGGTTGCTCTGGAGGGTAGTGCGGCTGCATTTCTGGGGGCACCTGTTGTCGCTTTGCTGGTGAGGATGGAATACCGCAAATTGATTGCATTTGACAAGTGCTCTATCCATCCATCCATTCATCGATCCATATGTGTGTGTGTGTGTGTGTGTGTGTGCGGTGTCTGTCTGTCAGGCCGAGTGGGTGTACGGCTATGAGCTGCCCTCGTCACGAGACCTGCCTCGATCCGACCCATCAGCAGTCGACGTAGATGTCGACCCAGCCGTCCGCTCACGGAACGTGACAGCCCTTGCCAACAGCCTCACTCTGGCCATCACCATCCCGTGGGCACTTTGCTTCGTCTGCTACTCGCTGCTGCACCTCACCTATCGCCGCGATGCGACGCAGGGGCTCCCCACAAGGCAACACGGCGGCTATGTCCGAGTGGGGGTGGAGGAAGAGGCGAGGAAGGTCTCTGTTGACGAGAGCGGCCATTCGGCAGCGGCTGGCCAGCGCTCTGACGATGAGCAGCCGTTGCGAGGGGCGGTGGACGAGGGCCGTGCTGAGCGAGACACCGAGGCGGCCACCTCGGAGATCAGGGATGGTGACACCGACGAGTACATCCGTTCACGGTCTCCCGTCATTCCCAACAGCCCCCCACCCGACGCCGCCCCGAGGCCGTCGACCAGCCCTCGGCTGCCGCCGGTGGACAGGGGAGGAGGCGGTGTCTTTTCGCAGCTCTTTCGGCTTCTGGCCGGCCAGCCAAGTGACGCTGGGCATCAAGACAAAGAGCGCCAGATGGACAGCCAAGACAAGAGGGGGCCGTGGCGGGCGGAGTTGTCTCTGTCGAGCGGACCTCTAGATTCCAGTAGCAATGACAGGCCTGATAGGCCTGGGTCTAGGGGGCAGCTGCCTCACACTAAACCCTTCTGATGGATGGATGGATGCGTTGCATGCAGATGTGACACAGCACATTTATTGGGTCATGTGGTGTGGTGTGGATTTCATGTCATGCTCGCGTGCGGTCTGATCTGACGTTTATCAGAACTGTTGAGTGACCCACAGCACGCGCACGTGCCAACGCGCACAGACACACCTTCAAAACCACCACCTACCGCACCCTGCCCTGAGCAGTCACATGAGCAGTCAGTCACACGCAGCGTTAATCAGTCCACACACAAAGACGTACACGCCACCACACGCATCGTATCGCATCCCATCAGCTTTGACAGCTCCCTCCGAATTAAGAGCACACTCGCATCACGCTCACGTGAATGAATGGCAAAAATCGGGTCAAACGGTCCAAAACTGAGCCTTGACCAGCAGTGAAAAAACGCACGAGCTTGCCCTTCCCCCCCCCACCCCCCTCCCTCTGTCTACCAGACCATGTATTGCCTCAGCAGCTTGGCGCCCGTGACCATGAAAAGGGTCTGCCACACGCCCAGGCCTATCCTCGGCACGATGCCCTGGAACAGCCCCGCCACGCCGTCGTTGCGCACTACGGTGCGGAGGACCTGCAGCAGGTTCTCCTTCGGCTTGCCCTCGTTGGCCGCCGCCTGCATCTGGATGCGCGCCACCTCGAAGGGCTGATTCCATGTCGACAGGGCTCCGCCGAGGATGCCGGCACAGGCCTCCTGGGGGACCGTGAGCTTGGCGTCCTTGTCGCCGTGCAGCCGGACCTTCAGCTGCGACCTGATGAACTCGGTGATGCCCTGCCGCGACGCCCAGTTGGTGGCCTGTCGGAATGCGATGGCGGTGCCGCCCGGGTAGAAGCCCTTGATGCCCTGCTTGGCCCACACCTCGGCTGCCTTCTGAGTCACCGACACCTTCCCCTCACCCGTCACGGCCGCCGTCACGAGGAAGGTGCACGGACCCATGACGACCGTCTGGCACACACCGCCCCCGGCTCCAGCCGCAAAGCCTGCCAGGGTCTCGCTGCAGCCCGCTGACGTCATGGCCGTGAGGATGAGCTCCTTGCTGTAGAGCAGCACGGCTCCCTTGGTCGCCGACTCGACCATCTTGGCTGAGGTGCCCTGCCAGAAGGCCAGCGGACCGCCACCCTTCTCCATGACAGCGAAGAAGGCCCGCACAGTCGACTCGTTGCGGAAGCGGCCCATCCTGGTCTTCCACACCTCAAAGGGCATCCCCAGCGTGGCCGCCTCGACGCATTGCAGCACGGCGCCATTCACGAGGTCCTTCCAGCCGCCCTTCGCAGAGCCAGCCGGAGGCGACATCCGAAAAGGGCAAGGCCGCACAGATCACCTGCACAGGCGATATGGGGAGAGGCCGGTGCAATGATACTCGTCGTCGTTGGCGGCGTATTCGCGGCGGAAGGGGACTCGGGGAGAAGTCGCGAAAATGATCACTTCCAAAGCTCGCAGAAATGGCGCGTCTGTTGTTATTTGGGCTTCTGGCCATCGTGGCTGCCTCGAGCGATGCCATGCGAGTCCGTAGGTCGCGTCTTGCAGTGGACCAGACCGCGTCCGACGAAGATCTCCAATCTCAGGTGAGGGTGGAGGCAGACGAAGTGGATGGATGGATGGCGTGTTCTGCCTTGTTGCAGGAGTCTGATTTGTCGGCTGATCTGGCTGACATGAAGGACAACATGAACCTCCGCCAGCAACATTCCCGTCTGCTCGAGCATATCGCACACGACACAAAGCAGCTCATCGATGCGTCCCAACAGGCAAACACACTCTTTCCCTCCCTTCCTCCTCTGTCTTAGCACTGCATGTGAATGGATGCATGGTCGCTGCAGATGGGTGAGTTGGCGGTGACGGCGGATGAGAAGGCCCTGTCCAAGCGGTGGGTCAAGAAGGAGCGGTCGCTGCTGGCCCTCGGCACATCACTTCTCCACGAGTCCAAGCAGGACGCCATGCGCCTCACCGCTGGGCTCAAGACACAACTCGAGGACGCCATCAACACAGGTGCGTACGCTGACATGACAACGGACCGACAGACACACACATACCACTTCCGCCCCGCCCGTTGTGGATGTGGTGAGCAGAGAGGAGTTTGATAGCACAGGCGGATGAGCTCAACCACCACCTGCAGCAGGGCGAGGAGGCACAGCCGGTGGCACAGCAGACGGACAACACGGCCTCAAAGGGCCAGGAGCAGGTAGCTGAGGGTGGCGCTGCGTCGAAAGACAGCCCTCAAGCAGCCTAGGCTAGTAGTGAGAGACAGAGGAGTATGGAGGCACGGAGAACAAAACTAATCGACTGCACGTGGTTGGGTGTTGGGTGAATTGGATCGACGGAGCACATAAATATATGCATGTGTAGGTAGTGAGTGCCATTGCTGCGTTTGTCCGTCCTTCCGTGTTGGTGTGCATGAATTCACTCCATCATGTAAAGGACCACTCTGCCCATGTCTGTCTACCGCACTGTGGGTCCACCCCCACCCAGGCCACCACACCCCTCCCTGTGTCTCAAATGCACGCCTCACAAACACGTCGATGTCCTATCTGATGAAGCCAAGCCACACACGAACAAACACTTCACCCACCACACCACGCCAGCTGTCGCAACAAGCGACCGACGTATGCACCCCACACATCCACACCTCCACACAGATATCATTGTGTCCCTCCCTCCCTGCCTCCCTCCCTGGTCGTGGCGGTGTGTACCGATTCGATTCAACGCCATGCCATACAAACATACATACAAAGGAGCAGGGAGGGGAGGTTGGCACGGTAGACAGACAGATATACGGAGGCATACACAACACACATACGCGCCAGTACGGGAAAAATGACGCGCCGAAAAGGGGCCGGGCAGGCAGCACCGGGCCTGCCCGCCGCCTGCCTGTTTGCCTCATGGATGCACACATACATACGGGGAGGGAGGGAGGGGCACTGCACTGATCGAGTGAATTCCCCCACCCTTGTCAGTCAGACGGGCGATACACACGACGTCTGTGGCTGCCTCACCCGCCCTGCCTCACCCGCCCTGCCTCACCCGCCCTGCCCCAGTGTGGTGTGGTGTGGTGTGTGAGGCAGACCCGACCACACGACGCAAAAAAGGAAGCCAAACCCACAGCCGCCCGCCTTGAGGATGTCCGTCTGTGTCGACACACACGCCCACGCCACGCTCTCCCACCCAGCAGACAGACTCATTAATTAAGCGGAGCCGAGTGCGCTGCCGCCCATGAGTATGAGGTTGGAGATGCGGTAGGCGGCGCCGCGCAGTGCTAGGTTCTGAAACAGGGCATACAGCCGGGGGTTCCTCTCCATCAGCCGACCCAACGCCTGGATAGCAAGCACACACAGGACAGACACACGTGGATGGAATGGAATGGGTTGGCTGTGGGGGGCCCCCGGGGCGTGTGTGTTTTAGATAGTCGTGGCAGGGCAGACCTCTTCGGTGAGGACGGCGAGCAGGGACTTGCGCATGGCCACCAGATTGGTCTTGCGCCTCTCTCGAGTGAGCAGCCCCACCTCGCCTATCATCTGGCCGCTGTGGTAGTATTCCAGCCACTCACCCCGCCCCACCGATATGCGCCTACAAGCACACACACATCAAATCAACGCGTATAACATTCAACACAAGGCCATTCCAATTAATTTCCACTACCTGTTCCAAATTGGGTGATCGATGACGATCGGCTCGGGCGCCATGTTGTGCTCGGACGCTCTCCTGACCACACACACACACACACACACAGACACAATGCCGGCCGGCATCCCTGGCGCGTCAGTCAGTTTCACACACACCTGCTAATGGCGGCGCTGCGTTGGTCGCCGGGGGCGGGTGTGGGGGAGGGGACCATGGGGGAGCCCCGGGGGGAGGCCAGCGGCACGCTGGACACGGCAAGGCACACCAACAGGTGCTCTGCTGTGCTGTGCTGTGTGGCCTGGTGAGTCATTCATGAGTGTGTCTTACTTGACTTCATAGAGGTCTCTCGGCACGCCCAGCCAGCCCCTCAGCAACACGACGGCACAGTCGGAGGCGTCGCGCTCTCTGCAAGCCAAACCACATAGATGCGCACATCACATCGACATGTAGTGCCAATGAGTCAGTCATTAATCGTCCCACACGAACCGCCATATGGTTGCGCCAGCCGTGACGCGCCGGGTGACGAAGTAGGAGGCCAGCTCGTGAATGTCTGACCTGACAATGACGGCACACACACACCACACACCCCTCTCTCCATCCATCCATCCATCCGTCCATCCCGGTGCCCTCTCCCCTTCTACCTCGAGTCGTCGTCACCCTTGACGCGCACCAGAATGTCTTCCAAGCTCTCCGTGGGCGGTGCAGACGAGGCCCCCGACCTCGGTGTCCCCCCAGAGATGCCCGCATCAGGCCCTGGCGGCCGCAGCGTCTTGGTCTCTCTCTGCTGCGCGATGCCTGTGACAGGCGGCCTCGCACCGTTGTCCCTCTCCTCACCCACACCCACCGCACCATGGGCGAACTGCACGGACTTGACTTGCGACGCCGTGTCAGGCAGCTCTGCGGCCATGGCGTTGACCTCTGTGAGGGTCATCTGCTCGGTGGCGGCCTCCTCGTCCCGCTCGTCAGTGCTGGTCATCTCCCCGATCGGCGGGTCCACCCCGTGCAGCAGGTCTTGGGCGAGGTGCTGCTGGCGCATCAGCTGCCTCTCGATGGGCTCTGTGACGCCGACGTGGTTGCGGTGCTCTTCCAGCAGCTGCTCCTCACACCACGCAAAGGCTGCGCCGCGTCATGCAGAGAGACAAAGAGACAGAAATACAGCCAGCCATGCTGGGGACGCGACGCGTGTGTCGATGGGTTCTGGCTGAGCTGAGCTGAGCTGAGCTTACCTGCCGCAACGTCGCTGAAGAACCTGATGGAATAAGATCCGGTGGAGGCTTGGCGCTGCACGTTGTCAGGCTGTGCGGCCTGCGGCCCGATGGTGGGTGAGGAGCCGGGCAGCTCCGACGTCTGCTGAGTTATCATGGGGGAGTAATACTCTACCTTCAGCCTGACACACACACACATACAGTCGACACAAACAGACGACCTCTGCCTGTGGGTGGGTGGCTGGCTGATCTCAGTGTTGTTGGAGTCACCCGGATCGTTTCCTTGGCGGCCCCGGCGAGGCGAAGTCGACAGGGGGTGTGTGCGAGGCGCGGCTGAGCGACTGGAGGATCATGCGGTTGTGGGCCTCGTGATGGTGGTCGAACATGTCAGACTCGAACACACGACCCCTCCCTGCCCGGCTCACGATGCTCTTCGACATACTGACACACACACACACACACACACCCCATTGGAGCACATCCACCCGATGTGGCCATCTGTATCCGTCTCGCCCCCGCACTTACCCGGTGCAGAGGAGTGTGACGTCCTGCATGTGTGCGAGTTTGGTGAGGCCGTGCAGTTTGTCGACGCCCGTCGAGTCGATCGAGACCACCCTGGTGAAGTCGAGCATGAGGTACCGCAGCCCACGACGGTCCTCAAACAGCGCCGTCACGAAACTCAGCATCTGAAAAGAGAGAGACGAGGAATGGGCGTCATCTGCGTGTGGGGGATGGATGGGTGTGTGCGCGTGTGCATGCCTCATAGCCTCATACTTGTGTGGCGTTTCCGAAGAAGAGAGCGCCCTGCAGTTTGATGATGTAGACGGACTCCTCCATCATCTCGTCCAATACGTCCTGCTCCCACAAGGCGCGCAACTCAGACGACCTAACGAACGACACACATACAACAAACCACACACACACACAGACATAGACACACCGACCATCGATCCATCCATCCATTCATCCATCGCGACCTACCTGAGCCCTTTTGCAGCGAAGGCGGTGTGTATGGCCTGTATCCGTGAGCACTGCAGGACGAAGGTGAGGAAGGCCAGCAGCGCCCCCACACCGATGCCGTCCATGAACGACCACCCGATCATCGTCAGCGAGATGATCACCACGGCCGAGTACTCGTATCTGTCAAGCTCGAAGCGACTGTCGATGAAGGCCTCCTCTATCAGCAGCCACCCGACGTGCACCGGGATCAGCCCTGCCAGGATCTGCACACCACACACGGGGGATAGATGGATGGCCTGCACGGTTGTTGTGTTGTGTGTGTGTGCACTGTTTACTGGTTCCTCCTCCTACCTTTGGGAAGCATCTAAGGCTTTGGTTCGGCCCGATGGCGATGAAGCCCGACGCAATGATGCCCACACACACGCCTGCAGGCATACCACACCACAGCACACACAGCGCACCACACACACGTCATCGATCGACGTGAGCGTTGGAGGGTGGCTCGGCTCGTGTGGGTCCGTTTCGTCCATTTGTGCGCACCCACCGGCCCATCGGTCCTTCACGCCGCATTTGTAGATGAGGACAGATGTGCTGTAGGTGAGGTATGCCTGCAGCGACCCCCCCAGGCCGCACAGCAGGTTCGCCCCGCCATGGTTGCGCAGCTCCCGATCGACGCTGGCCTGCTTGTGCATCGAAGACGCCAAAGCGGGGATGTTCACTGACACACACACACACATAGAGTTCTTCGTGTGCAGGTGCGTCTGCGCGTGGACGCACACCCATACCCGGCACGTGCAGGACAGAGAAGACGACCAGACTGGTGATGGTGGTGACGTGACGGGATATCATATCCCAGGCTATCAGGTCGAGCCGCACCAACCGCCACACGTTGAAGTGCCGCAGCACCCGCTCGCACGTCAGCGCCTGCACGTACTCAAAGAAGGAGGGCGGCATGATGGTGTCCAGGTCGGGCTGCGTGGCCGAGGGGTTCGTCAGGTTGGCAGGGGACCGCGGCTCCCCCGCTGAAGGGATGTTGGGCACATTAGTGTCGAACAGCCAGCCGGCCTGGCGAGCTTCCTGCAGACAGACAGACAGACAGACATACATACAGACATCCGTTGGGTCGCCGCCAACAGACGTTGTGTCTGTGTTACCTCAGTGCCGATGCCCGCGAAGTACAGAATGAAGTAGAAGCCCATTGGGATGCACAGGAGGTAGAGCGGCGTGAGGAAGGGCCACTCGATCTTCCGGTTGAGGGTCAGCAGCAGCACCTCCAGCACAATCACGCACAACCACCGCTCCATCGGCCCCCACGCCAGCTGACCCAGCAGAGAGGTCGACTGCCAACTCCACGCCACACCTGCATTGCAATCATTGCATACACAGACAGACCAGCCATTGACTTGACGGGATCCAGCGACCAGGCTTGCATCGAGCCGCTGACTGACTGACTGACTGACTGACCTGAGGCCACGCCGATGCCCGCAGTGGCGATGAAGAGCCCCATGCCGCCCGTGATGCCCAACAGCACGTGCTTGGGGAAATACTGGGTGGTGCTGCCGAGATGCAGCAGACCCAGGAAGTAAAACGCCACCTGATCATGTGTGAGTGATGAATCGAGCAGCCAAGACACCCACAGATCAGATACGTCTGCAGTGCCTCTTATGTGTGTGCGCCTTGCTCGCTTCGTTCCTACCGTACCCCGGTAGCCAGTGTGGACATGACGAAGGCCACGAGTATGGTGGAGACCACCTGGTCATCCCTCCCGACGGACTCCAGCGATATTGCCAAAGATGTCGACAAGGCGTGCAGAAACGGCGCATTCTCGGCTATCACGCCTGATGGAACCAAGGGAGGGAGCAAGGATGGATGTTGCAGGCCGACCTTTTCTTCTCTGTCTGTCCGTCTGTCCGTCTGTCCATCTGTCCGTCCGTCCGTCCGTGTGTCTGTCTGTCCGTGTGTCGTGTGCGCACCGCACCGGCCATTGCGTAAGGGAATTGCGAGAAGATGGCAAACGCAATCTGAGATATCACCTGGTGAACACACCAACACACACACACACACAGGTCACTGACTGACTGCATGTTTCACACGTTCTTTCGTTTCGTCCGTCCGCCGGTCCATTCATGGCGTGCCTGCCTACCGTGCTGAGCATGACCATGGTGACGCCAGTGGGTGCCAGCTCGGGGTGGTGGTGGGGGAACAGCAGAAACCCATACGGCACGTTGTCCAGGATGGCCACGATGCCCGCAACCAGTATGCCCGGGATCTGACAGACAACACATGCCCAACAAACACATGTGCCCGCGCAGCGCATGCAGCAGAGCCCAACGCACAACTGCATGTATGCCACTAACTGCATGCGTCCCTCTCACCCACCTGCCCAGCAGCCCGTCGTATTCTCCTGATCCTCCTGCGCCTCTTTCGCGCATTCACGTCAATATCGGGGCACGGTACTGGCCCGGAGGGCGGGGGGATGTCATCCAGCGCCTCCTCCTCAACCGATTCAAGCAGCAGCTGGGTGCTCGCCATCTTCACTTCATCAAGGCATTCTCTCGATTCCCGAAGGCAGGGCTGCTCTGGAATGGTCAGCAGCTGCTGTTGGAACCACCAGTCATTGGAGCTAAGCTCGCAGATGCTCCGGCTCGCAATCGCTCTCTCGGCGTTCGTTTCGTTCGTTCGCTCGGCGGAAAGGAAAAAATGAGCGCAGAGAAGAGGTAAGAAGCCCACCGTGCACTAGGCATGCGACGTGACTCATCCACCCAGTGGGCGATCTCTGCCTCTTTCGTTGATTCCTTTCAGCGACGGAACGTCATCACCTGTTCCGTCTGTCAGCGTCTGTCTGCCCACATCGGATGCCACAGAGGACCTTGGAGCGCGGCTGGCGTCGCTCACCTGCCGCGGCGACGTCATCTTCCTATGCGGCGAGCTGGGTGCCGGCAAGACCTGCTGCGCCAAGGGCTTCCTGCGCTCCTTCTTTTCAAACCCATCCCTGGAAGTGCCGTCGCCGTCCTACCTGCTCTGCAACACCTATGCTGACGATGCTGACGACCAGCAGCAGCAGCAGCAGCCGATATCTGCCGACCACCCACCATTGGCGCAGCAGGCAGCATCGCTGCCTCCCCGGTTCAGAGCGGACAGGGCTAGGATCTCTGGGGTGACGGTGCATCACATCGACTCCTTCCGCCTCCCAGTGGGCAGGATCGCCGCCGTGTTGGATTTCTCGGCCATCTTCGCCAACAACATCAGCCTGATCGAGTGGCCGGAGCGGCTGGGGCCCCAGCTCGTGACGTCCACTACCCCGCCGCGGCTGGAGGTGCATCTCGAGGGCGTGGGGCCGCAGGCGCAGGGGCGGACAGCGGTGCTCAAGGGGGTGGGCGAGAGATGGGAGGCGCTGGTTGAGTCGTGGCGGCAAGCAGGTGGGCCACCTGGTGCACCACCCATGTCGAACTTAGCTATCGCTCAGCCAGCGGATTCTTCTCTGAACGGACCTTCTGGCAGTGAGAGGCCCCTTGGGGAGAACACGGCAGCGAGTGATGAGGACAAGAGGGAGCGTGATGTGATCACTCTGCCTGAGGATCCATCCACGTGGCTGGTGCTGGGCATCGAGTCAAGCTGTGACGACACCGGTGCGGCGGTCATTCGCGGCGACGGTAGGGTGCTGGGGGAGGCCTTGGCTTCGCAGAGTGGTGTCCACGAGCAGTGGGGCGGCGTCAAGCCCGATGCCGCACAAGCGTGCCACAAGGCGGCTATCGATGGCACTGTCGATGAGGCATTGCGGAAGGCTGGCGTGGAGCCGTCATCTCTCCATGCTGTGGCCGTTACAGTCGGCCCAGGCCTGTCGCTCTGCCTGCAGGTGGGGGTGAAGAAGGCGCTTCAGCTTGCATCGACCCATCGGCTGCCCCTCGTCCGTGTGCACCACATGGAGGCCCACGCCATGGTCACACGACTGCCCCAGCCCACCCAGCAGCCCAACCCCGACACGTCATCTGCACCACCCAGCCCTGGCCCTCCTGTCACGTTCCCCGCCCTGGTGCTGCTGGTGTCTGGCGGGCACAATATGGCCGTGTTGGCCAAGGGCATCGGGCAATACAAGATCCTCGGCAGCACGCTGGACGACTCCATCGGTGAGGCCTTCGACAAGACCGCCCGTCTGCTGGGCATCGACACCATTCCCGGCGGGCCGCTGCTGGAGCGGCTGGCCGATCAGGGCGACCCCAACAAGTATGCCTTCTCCCTGCCCTTCGCCAAGAGCCGCAACCTCGCCCTCCGCAACGGGTGTGACTACTCCTTCTCTGGCCTCAAGACACAGGTCCGGGAGCTCGTCAACAGCGAGATACAGCAGCAGCAACAGCAGGAGGAGAGTGAGGGTGATGGGGGCGACAGCGATTCGTCGGCCAAGGTGCGCGCCGACATCGCCGCGTCGTTCCAGTCGGTGATCGTGTCGCACCTGCTGGAGCGGGCCACGCGAGCCATCGCCTGGGCGCAGGCAGAGGAGCCCTCCATCAAACACCTGGTGGTCGCGGGCGGCGTCGCCGCCAACAAGACGGTTCGGTCGCGCATGAAGGAGGCGGCAGACAACGCCGGCCTGACGCTCGTGTGCCCCCCGCCCCGTCTGTGCACGGACAACGGGGTCATGGTGGCGTGGACTGGCCTGGAGCGGCTGAGGCTGGGTCTGTGGGACGTGCCGCCGGTGAAAGGCGCGGATGTGGATCGTTTCGTGGAGGTGTGCCCTCGGTGGCCGTTGGGGCAGAGGGACGCACGGAGCACACCCAAGCCTGGCGGGGGAGGGGGAGGGGGAGGGGTGGGCAAGGCGAATGGGCAGACAGGGGGAGAGAAGGCCGCCAAGAAGGCCAAGAAACAAAGAGACGGTGTCTAGCTCAGCTGCATGGGGTTTTCTCTGTGTGTTGTGGGCGAATGAGATGAGTGGCGTTGGTTGATGTGACGGATGGATAGATCCATGCGTTGCATGCAGGATGGACGGACGAGAGAATCTCAATAAGTATGTGCGAGTGTCAATGACATTGAATGCCGTTTGTCAGCCCACGAGCACGAGCACGCGATAAGGGAATCAATGTCGTCGAACGTTGACCAACGAGACACACGCATCCAGGAATTACACTCCAACACCCTCACAGGCAGCAGCAGCACAAGCCAAGCCAGCCCACCCGATCTCACACACGTGCACAGACACACCCCACTACACAACACAGCGCACTAGTCTGTGTCCCATCGGTGCCCGGCGCTTAACGCCCCCTTAGGTAGCTGCGGGCCTTTGTGCGCTTGCCCCCTCTGAAGCTCCGCACGATGGCCTGGATCCACTCCCCAGTCGGGCTGAGGCGCTTCAGGTAGATGCCGGTCCGATGACGCTTCGCCAGCGACAGTGGCACCGGCTCCTCGGGGGCGGCATACGCACTGTTGATGAGGCGCTTCTTGCCTCGGCCGATGACCCACGGCCATAGGCTGACGGCTCACAGGGCCTGCAGGGGGTGCGCACAGGGGGGGCAGCCTCGACGGTCTGGGTCGTGTTGCAGATAGCTGCAGACAAGACACACACGAAGAGACATGATTGTTGACATTGATGGATGGGGGCGAGGTGGGGGAGGTGAGCTGACATGTCAGTGTACTTCTGCTTATACGCCTGCAGCTCCACGCGCACACCAGTCTCTCCCGTCCCCTGCATCAGCCACGCGACAGATGAGTGAGCTCATGAAACGGTCGGTGCACTGGGGCGATGTTCTTAACTGAGTGCGTTCATACCATGACAAGGTTCTCGCGGGTGTCTCGCAGGACCTTTCTCCAGGTCCACAGCAGCTCACGGTGTTCCTGCAGACAGCCGGGCATACACACACACATCTCCACGTGGCGGATGGGATCGGATGGGATGCGGTGTGCATGTTGTTGACGGTGTGGTGCACACACGCCCCCACACACACCTGGATCAGCGTCTCCTCACTGGGCTTGCGCAGGAGCCTGACTTTGGTGACGGCCGCACCGCGGATCAACCTGTGGAGGGAGCGACGCAGGCCCCCATCAGTCAGCTTGTGTGTGGTCCGTTGTGCTTGTTGGCTGTGTGTTGGCTTACGGGCGGTTCGCTTCCAGGGCGGACATATCGTAGGGGCTGTCCCCCACAGAGACGACCCTCGTCGGCTCGAGCCCCATCACCCGCAGTCCCTTGAGCAAGTCCCCGAAACATCCCCTCTGAACGCACGGACCGGTGGAACACATCCATCAAATACACGCAACAACGAGGCTCGGATCGCCCACCTTCCAGGTGGACGAGTCCAGCTTCCCACGGCAGGCCTTGTCGGCGTGTTTGCGTGACGATATGAAGGGGATTTGCTGCTGGTGCAGGAAATGGCGGACCCCCTCATACCCGGGGTACTGCAGCGACTCGTACAACCTGCAGACACACACACAGACACACAGACACCACCCATGCACACACGCCGATGCAGTCAGTGTTTGTGTTGTGTGTTGCGTTGGCTAATTGGGTACTGTACACTCGGGAGACCCGTTGGAGATGATGACCACCTGGGCCTTCTTGGCGGCCTCTTGCAGGAGGGCCAGGGCCTCCGCACCGCCCCTCAGGTTGACCCGCCAGGGCCGCACGGGATCCACATAGGACGAAGGAAACAGCGTATCGTCCTGACACACACATAAGCACGCAAGATGACAGAATGCATTCCGCATCAACGCCTTTACATGCATGTGTTGATGCTGCTAGATGCATCGGTTCAATGCACCCCGTGCTTACCCAGTCGAAGATGACGACGTCGACGCTGGTGCCTTCTTGGCCACCCAACGCCCCACTAGTCAGGCCGCAATTGAGGCCGCTTTCCATGCTCTCTGGCACGCTCTCTTGGGAGCCGCCTGCCTTGTTCGAGCCGGAGAGAGGGCAATCGAGAGAGGGCAGGGGCCGGGCGGTGGCTGCCGAGTGCCCCTCAGCGCCGCAGAAAGGGCTCCTGCACGTGGATGCTGACGCCACGCCAATGGCGCCACGCTGATGGATGACCCTTGCAGAGGTTGCCTTTGTGGAAACAACAGCCTTTAATTGTGGAAAGAACAGCGTCCAAAACAGCGAGAGCGATTGGAAAACCAGAAAGGAGGGGGAGAGCGATCGGTAAAAAGGGCGAGCTTCTCTTTGGCCGAGTTGGGTCGCGGCCAGGTTGATGCGGAGAGATCTCGTCGCAAGCGGACGCGAACCACTGTGAAGACACTGTACAGATGAAGCAGTCAGTGATCAGTGAGTGTCCCCGATGTGACACATTACCTATCCACATGTACTTCCAACCATCCATCCATCCATCCAAATGACATGCATCTATACACAGCCCTGCCCACACCCCGCCACACACATACACAGACAGTGGCTGTACATCACGTCTGCATGGCATGCAACACCATGAGAGAAGCAACCCAATGCCATCCATCATGCAGTCACTTGGATGTCTCCCACTCCACTGTACACATCGGAGAGCGGCCCGCCCGCCCCGCACGCACCCCTGTCGTCCACAGTGATGCTCAGATCGACCGCCTGCGGCCCCACACACGGGGTCGCCACATCCGCACCGGTCGGGTGATACAACAGATACGTCGACAAGCTCCTGCCCAAAGCCTCCAGGGTGCCGTCACACGTCAGCATCGCATCCTCGATACCGTCGCCGACCGAACAGGTCAGCCCCTCCATCCCAACTGCCGACGGCACCCGAACACCGTTGACAGCGTCTGGCCGGCCGAGCGAGACCCCGCCGCATGGCGTGACGGCGACTGTGAGGCGAAAGAGTGGGCTGTGGTCGCTGGTGCAGGAGGGGTAGGCCAGGATGGAGGGGGCGGCCGGTAGGGTGGTGGTCGCGAGAGGGGGGGAGGGGTGCGGGGGGAGGGCGGGGGAGTCGGTCTGCGATGCGATCCTGGTGCGATAGAGGTCGGGCTGGATGTCGATGTCGGCGACGGTGAAGCCGACGATCTCCACATAAGGAAGAGGCCCAGACAGGGATATCGACACCGGCACGTTGGGTGAGGGCGTGATGGCTGGTGCGTCATTCGTCGGCTCAATGAACACATCGATGGAGCACTCCACAGGCGTGTTTGGCGACAGGGCCGTCGTCAGCCTGGCAAGGATCCGTATGGCACCGACAAGGTCCCCTCCCTGCGTGTCGAACTCCACCACACCAAGGCCAGTCCTCAGGTCGGCGAGTGTCCCCGTGGCTTCACTCTGAGTGGAAGCAACGCCATACGGCCCCATTGCCCCAGCCGGCGACTCGACCACCGTCACCCCAGGGCTGGCCTTCCAGTCCACAGTGCCATAGCCGGTGGGAAAGAAGAGCATCATGGTGCCGATGACGGGGTCGTCAGGCCCGCCACTCGTGTGCTCGAGGTTGCGGTCGCCTATCGCCACATTCTGGCCGATGGGGGCCGATGCACCCTCAGGCACAGATGCCTTGGAGGTGCAGACGAGCAGCGGCGGGTCCTCCACTGCCGTGACGACGGTGTTGAGAGTGACTGTGTCGGTGAGGTTGCCCCCCGTGCCCGTGTAGCCATTGTCATAAACAGTGAGGGCCAGCGCGTCCGCACCGCTGTAGTTGGGGAGGGGGGTATAGAGCATCTGTCGAAGGAAGGCGTTCAGCTCCGCCACGGTGCCCTGGATGTCGATGGTGGACGCGAGGCCGTACGAGAGCGTCCCATAGGTCCCCCAGGACACGGTGGCCTCTTCGTTGAGCGTCTGTATGCCCCCACTGGTGCACGCCAGACGGGCCACCAGCACGCCATCCACAGACTCGCCCACATCTGGGTCGCTCACGGTGAAGCCGACAATCGCACTGCTGTCCTCGGCCAACGTCAGGGGAGGCGCAATGGGCTCCAAGATAGAGACTGACGGCGGGTCATTGACTGCCTGCACCTCAATCACCGCCACAATTGACGTCTCAACAGGCACATTGCTCCACGACACCCGCGTCTGCGTCTGTGGCGGGTCAGTGTCGCTCGTCGGTATGAAAAGGTCGAAGTAGTCTGCTGCTCGCGAGCGCCAGAAGTAAGGTGGGTCTGGTGCTGTGTGGGCGGTGAGAGCTGCGTCATAGGTGAGGAACACCTGCTGCGCGGCGCTGAGTGTCGTGTGGGAGACGTCAGGGTGCACCGGGCCGTAGGGCGACGACGCCAGCGAAGGCGACAGCGTGAAGCCGGTCGTGCCAGGGTCCTTGACAGTGATCTCCACGCCAAGCATGCCGTTCCACCCCGCCGGAAAGGCCACGTCAATGTTGCCCAGCAGGGCCGTCTGCATGGCCGCCAGCGTCTTGGTGCGCGTGACGGTCGTCCCACTGACCCCATCAAAGGTCAGCTGGAAGGCCGGCGGGCTGGCCAGGCCCTCAGCAAGCCTGACGGCATCAGGGTACGCCAGCGGGGGGTAGAAGTCGTGGACTGTGAAGGAGAGAGAGGCCTCGAATGTGTCGGTGGGGAGCGCCTCGCCGTCTTGCAGGGTGGTGCCCGTGATGGTGGCGGGGGTGCCCTCTGGTGTGGACACCATTGGCGAGGCAAGCTGGAGCGTGGGGCGTGTGTTGAGAGGGCTGATGGTGAGGTCGAATGAGATGGCTGCCTGTGGGAGGGCCCCCGTGGTGGCGAACAGGGGAGGTGTGGGTGGGAGGCCGTCGGGGCGGCCCAGCTGGACGGCTGTGAGGGTGACTGTCACGGTCCCCGTGTATGGAGCGGCCGTGGCCGACTCTGCAGACCAAATGGACACAGCAAACACACACTGAAAAGATGAACACACGTCAGCAGCCAGTGGCTGTGCGTGTGCCTCTCTCTAGTTACCTGTGCGTGTAGGAGGGATAAGGTAGATGCTCTTCAACGCCTGCTGCACCTCCTCGAGCAGGCCCCCCACCTCCAGCGCGCCGGTCTCCTTGCCCCGCTTCCGCACACTCCCCTGACCCACATCCACCTTCACACCCGACGCACCCGTCTCAATCTGCACCAGCACCATCATCGGCCCGTCGTCACTGTCGCGCGTCGGCACGTCCAGCGCCACACACCCCCTGACGTGAAGCGGCGTGTGCTGGAAGCTCTGGAAGGTCGGGGGGCAAGACGCGTCATACGTCCACACCGGGGGCTTGTTCTCTGGCTGTGGGAGGATGAGCACGTCTGCTGTCGCTGTGTGCGTCAGCGGAGCCGACGGCAGGATGCCGCTGCCGTTGTCGTCGACCTGCGCCGTGAGGGTCACCATGCCACTCTGCCCAGCAGTGGGCAGGAAGGTCAGACGGTTCGCTGGCGTGGCCTGGATCGCCGCAAAAGCCGTGTCCGTCACATCGAGAGCGAGAGTGGAGACGGCCGTGACGAGACACCCACTGCCGTCGAGCGCCGGGGCTGCTGGTGTGGTGATGGTGACGGCAGGATCGTTGAGGGAGCACATGTTGATGACACCTGCGGCAGCAGGGCTGACGGCAATCGAGATGGACACGCTTTGAGGCGAGCCGTCTGGGTCGGTGAGTGCCATGGCGTCGAATGTGAGTGGCGTGGCTGTGCCCTCGAGGGTGGTGGAGAAGGTGGGGGTGAGGGTCAGCAGCGGGGCGTCGTTGACCGCAACGACGGTGATGTCGACGTCTCGCGTCAGGCTCGTCGCAGCGGGGTCGGTGCCGGTGGGCCACGCCTTGACCGTAACCTTGGTCGCGCCTGCAGCACACAGAAGAAGACAGTGTCCATTTCCATAGACACACACGAGCCCCTCCCTCCCTCCTATGTCTCACCAGCATAGTTTGCCGGCGGCCGATACCTCACTCGTGTGAAGATGTCCTGTATGTCCGTCACATCGCCCTGTAGCGTCACGATGCCCGCCACAGCTGGCCGCACACCGCCCCGGTGCAGCACACTGGGGGGCTCGGGCGAGTCGTCCGGGACGGTCATCAGAATATCGCCCCCAGCCACAGCGTCAGGCGTGACCTCCACAGTGAATGAGAGGTGGGGGTTGGCTGTGGCCAGCACCACGTCGTCGCGCAGGGGGAAGCCCTCGCTGTCCTCGGACATCTGGAAAGGTGTGGGTGAGTTGTCCCATGTGAGAGTGAATGTCTGCTGGCAGTCCGGCAGGTGGAGCACGCTTTGGTGGTGCGCAGAGAACCCCTCTGGCGGCGGGATGGTGGCGCTGCTGCCCTCCCCTACTTCAGCGGGGTAGCTCACGCCAATGCCAAACACAGCTATGTCGCAATCGCCTTCCGCACTCCTACAACACAACACACCGGCACACCTAGAAATCCGCCATGGACAAACCTATCCCCCCTTACCATTTCAGTGTCAGCCCCGCCAGCTTGGTCGCCGCGTCGGTGCGTGTGGTCCTGAACACCAGCCGACTCGCATCGTTGGCGGTGCCGTCCTCGAACAGAATCCCCGATGTGTCCCCGAGCTCAAGCGTCCCCTTGTCCACCGTCAGCTCCCACCGCACCAGCGCCTGCGCCGCGCCGCCCACAGGCGACGCTCCATCGACGTCCGACACAACCAGATCGGAGAACACCTTTGGCGACGGCCCCGCAATGACTCGGTATGAGCCCTGGAAGGCCGAGCCGTCGGTCCACCTGATGGCTGGGGGGTCGTCTTGGGCCGTGATGGTGACGGTGAGGGGCTGGGATGTGGAGGAAGGGGCGAGAGTTGAGGTGGGCGAGAGGCGGCGTGTGAGGGTGAAGGTGACGGTCTGGGTGGCGGTGATGTCTGGGGGCGGGGTGTAGAGCATCCTGGTCAGAAAGTGGTTGATGTTGGCTGCGGGGCCGTTGAGCGAGATGGGGCTGCTCTCACTGCTCTCGCCCGCAATGTTGACTGCACCCCCGGAGGCGGTCACATTCAGCTCCAGGAAGCAGGAGCCGTCCACCACCATGCTGCAGTCGCCGTCTGCCACACTCACCCCGCTGATGAGCGTCGCCGTGTCCTCCAAAACAGACACCGTCGAACCTGCGGGCAGGGTGATTGTCGGGCTATCGTTGTCCTGGGCCGTCACAGCGATTGTGAATGACATGCGGCACTCCGGTTGGTGAGCTGGGAGGGACATGCCATCAGTGACGCTGAGGTCCACACCCACCGTCCCATAGTAGTCTTGCTGCGGCGTGACGAAGAAATAGCCCTGGAAGAAGGCCTCAATATCTGCGGGCGAGCCGGCCAGAATGGCTTGAGACACCAGCAGCGGGGCGGCCACTGGCGCATAGGGGGCCGACTGGCTGGTGGAGACCTCTGTCGACGTCACCGCCACCCCCAGAGCCTTCAGAATCAACGCGAAGGGGTCGGCGTCTCGGAGCCCCATCTGTGTGTCGATCTCGGCAACGATGGCTGCGATGGCGAGGCCACCGTTGTGGGCCGAGAAGGCCACTCGGACAGATGGCGGGGGAGTCGCCAGGCCGGTCGTCAGATGCACATCGCCGTGGAACGTCAGGGGGCACTTGAATGGGGTGTCTTCGACCGTTGAGAGTGGGTAGGTGGACAGAGGTATGTAGAACCCACAGGCCTGCAGGCACCACATACACCCCACATCAACGCACACACACAGAGACAATTGTACCCTCTCCGTGTGCTCACCGCGGTAATGGGCAGCACGTCAAGCGACAGGGTGCTCTGGTCGGTCAGCTCGGCCGCTGTGCATGACGCCGACAACGATGGCTTGTCAGTGGTCGACGGCCACTGCCCCATCAGCACCATTGATGCGGGGCAGCCGATGCTGCTCTTGTCGCTGAGTGTGACCGTCACAGAGGCCGTTCTGAGAGGCGTGGAGGGGTCATGGGTGCGGAGGGCGCGTGCGGGCAGCGGCAGCAGCACCTGCAGGTGCTGCACCAGCAGCTGGAGGGAGGGCAGCGGCCCCTCGACCGTGATGGATGTGTCGGACTGAAGCCGGCCCGTAATGCTCTGTAGCACCCAAGACCTCTCCACCATGTGTGTGGGGTCGACGCCCACCAGCCCCTCAGACACAGACACAGTCAGCCGCATCCACAGCGATGCGTCCATCGCCCCGTCCGGCTCGTCCAGGGTGATGTAGCTGCCGAGTGGATACTGCCCGCCCTCGGCCACAGTGAGCAGGGCGGTCGCATCGGGTGCGGTGGTGCCTGTGTGGATGGTGACGGCGGGTGGGTCGTTGATGGGGTGGACATCGAGCAGAGACTGGGACTGGTCGTAGAGGGCGCCGGGGCCGCTTGGGGGGGGAGATGGTGCCGCCAGCCATTCACGTACCTGCAGGGCCCACACACAACACACATAATTAAAGGTGGGTGGACGATTGCGTTGTGTGTCCATGCCATGCCATGCCATGGGTGTCTTCATACCTTGATGGTGAGTAGGTCTTGGCCATACCAATGGGGTTTGGGGTCGTACCAGAGGTCCCCAAGCATCCCAACCAACGCACCCACGGGGCCCGACACTGAACACACACGACACAGCACAGCACGGACATTGCAGGCACAAGCAACAAAGACACCACCCTCCTTACCAGTGACGCTCCCAACACTCTGCCCATCCAGGAAGCTGACAGCCACGGCATCACTTCCCGTGAGAGCCGTCCAGTAGCCGCCCCCTGCCGAGCGTCCCCCCAGGCGCACCCCTCCAACCCTCGCAGCCACCTCCAGTGTGAGCATGTCAGGTGAGGGCAGCGGGGTGGCCGTGAGCGACAACCAATTCGCCATGCTGATGGGAGTGTCTTCCAGGAGGTACATCAGGGGTGGTGCGGTGATGGACCGGAGGGGCCGGGAGTGGTGCAGGATCGACACACGGATGGGGAGCGAGGCGGATGCCGATGGCTGAGTCGCGCGGAATCGCTCGGCCGTCACCGTCAGATTGACAATGTCCTCGCCGACGTGAGCGGCATCGGCAACGTAGATCAGCCCGTCGAGCATGGCTTGGACATCGGCGTACGTCGTGGGGATCTCGATGGGCGACGGGAGGGCCCAGGGCACCTCGACGTGACCCTGCAGTGCGACCCTGCCGTGAGTGAATGTGACGCCCAGAAGTAAAGGGTCGCTGGACACTGCTGAGGAGGAGGGCATGGCCACCGACACACCGCCCAACGGCACCTGCATTAAGCGACCAGACACAAACAAGCATGAGCCACAGTCTTCTGTCCTTCCAGCTGCATCTATACCGTCTCGCCCTTGGTCACGGTGAGAGGTTCTGCGATGGCTGAGGTGAGGGATGGAGGGGCCGGGTCAGGGCGGTCGGCGTAGATGAACAGACGGTCGGTCGACAGGGGATTGGGGGCGGATATGTCGTTGGGAGCGCGGAGAGCTATGCCGATGGTGGCCAAACCTGCAGGCGCGGCGCATAAGAGACAAAACAGCGTGCCTGGGGTCTCTTCTGGTGAGTGTCAGTCACCTCGTTGTGTCAGGGTGCTCTCTTTGAAGTGCAGCGCCTCCAGGGAAGGCCGCAGCTCCCCCATGCTCCCCGTCAGCACCATCCGCCTCTCGAATGTAGGGGACGTGCCAACCTTCAGCCCTGCAGTGGGGCTGTCGCACTCCAACACCACCTCGAACATGCCGCCCACATCCACAGAGTCCTCACTATTGGCGTTCACCAGCCGCACCGCATCAGAAGCCAACGCAAGAGTGTCCCCAGCCGTCACGCGATACCCCCTGCTCTCCACCAACAGAACAGGGTAGGCCTCGCTCTGCCGCAGCTGTATGTCGATCCGCGGCGTCACTGCTATCAGTGAAGCGGGCGGCTCCACGGCAAAGTCGAAGGGGCTGCCCCCGTTGAGATGGTGATGCTCCAGCACTGCTCCTGGGTCGAACGCCTCCACACGCACCACGTCGCCAGCAGCGCATTCTGCCACCGTCGCGCAGGGGAAGCGGACGGACAAGCGGATGTTGACGAAGTCCATCAGAGCTGACGGCAGCCCCTTGATGGTGAAGCTCCCGTGCCGCTCGGCAGCTGGCGCATGGGTGCTGTAGACGCCACTGAGGGCATTGTCAGTCACGCGGTGAGGGAGGAATCGGCAGGCCCGACAAATAAGGGATAGCGACACGGGGAAGGGGTGGGCGATCTGGAGGTCCAACACACTCCTAAAGGGCAGCCAGCGGTTGCGGTGCGACCATGCCACCGTGCTGCCCACACGCGCCGACGGCTGTATGCCAAGCGTCACAGCTGGTGCGGTCAGGGGGGCAGTCACGTTGACGAAGATCTCCGTCTCGGCGATGGGCCGCGACGCACCCTGGGGCGCCACACTGATCGAGAGAGGCACCAGTAGCGCCTCTCGCCGGCCCTCTGCGAAGCTTCCCAAGCCGGGAGGGACGTAGATCAGGCCAGAGAGAATACCTGACAGCTCTGTGAGGCCGCCTGCCGCCGTGTATTGAGGCGCCGTCACCGGCCAGCCACTCAACGAGCCGACAAACATGTCGATGCTGAGCTCAAAAGCGAATTGGTCCATGACGCCCGCAACTAGTGGGTTGGCCCTCAGTGTCACTCCAGAAGCAGATAGAGGGAGCGGGTCGCCGCGTGTGGAGAGATGGGGGTGGGTGGCTGTGAGGGCCACGCTGAAGGGCGGCGCGTCCTGAGGCATCTCGATGGACAGAGGGAGCGACAGCGCCGACGTCATGGCATCCTTGAGCGCATCCGACGTCTGCAGGCGGGACACGTCCGTGACAAAGATGCCGATCTGCCCGACGTGTGTCGAGCCCGAAACCACTCCACTGGGGTCGCCCTTCAACGCGATGCTGCTGCCGCTGCTGAGCACACGATTAACTTCCCTCGCAGGACCGGCAAACCGCACTACAGAGCTCTCATTGGCGAGTGGCGTCACATAGGTGTAGTTGCTCTCCTCGTAACCGACATGCAGCCCCAGCCCCGCCTGCGGCACGACCACAAGATGCCCGCCCGTCGACCGCACCGTCACCTCAATCACAGGCTCCTTGGTGTCCATCGGCGTGAGGGACGTCACTTGGCAAGAGGGCAGGAAAACCTGGTAGCCGATTGTGACCTCGACGCGGCCGCTGTCGCACGCCAGCTGAGGGGCGGGTGGGGGCACACGCACGCCGAGAGTGATGGAGTGCTCGAAGCCGCTGGGGAGGCAGTCGGCTGCGGCGACCATCGTGGTGGTAGCGGGGTTCTGTAGGGGCTTGGTGGCCGCGGTGGCCAGCAGTGAGGCGCTGGGCTGGAAAGCCAGGGACGCCATGGCATCGTTGATCTCCTGCAAGGCCCCCCGCAGCGACCACCGAGCCGCCACGTTCACGGAGTTCACAGCACACTGGGGTGGGCAGGTCCGCACCGCCAAGCCCCCGGCCCCCACAGTCGCACTCATATCGGCCAGCTGCCCGAGCTGCCCGCCAGACAGCAGCGTGACGAAGGCCTCCACCTGCACGCCCGCGAGATGGCCCTGGGGGTCCTCGAACGACATTGACGGCAGGGGGAACACCTTCGTCGAGTCGGTAGACGCCGCATGGACATCTGTGTAGTGTGGGGCGGTGAGGGAGCAGTGGGCTGTGGCGGGGGGGCTGATGCGGATGACGGCATCCTGGCTCACGTGGTGCTGCACGGGGGTCGTCTGGTGGGCTATGTCCACTGCGATGGCGTCCTCGACCGCTGTGGCGGCCAGGCCCCTCACCGGTGTCTCGCCCACATACATCACGTGGTTCGACAGCACCTGGTTGAGGCTCCGCAACGTGCCCCTGACCACCATGTGAGAGGGAGAATTGACCTGGGCCTGTGCCAGCTCGTCCGGGTAAGGGTATGGCCCCACGATGCTCCAGTTGCCCCGCTGAGCCGTCATCTGCACCGTCAGCACGTCGCTCCTTCGCGCGTCGGGTGCGCTGATCTGCAGCCAGCCGCCCAGCAGCCGCGGCCAGTTGGTCTGCACGTCGAAAGGCGATGACGCCACGAGCAACGAGGGGGGGTCTGGTGTGGCTGTGACGACAACGGGCAAAGTGGCTGTGGTCTCATAAGCTGTCGTGGCCGACAGATCCCGCACCACCACGTCGATCAGCTGTGTGCCGCTGAAGTCTGCTGGAGGGGTGTAGGTGGCCTGTGAGGCGCGCAGGAGGCCCGCAAGCTCCTGCACCGTCGTGGCTCTCGCCGACATGACATTGGCCGCAGTGTAGCTGACACTCCCACCCGTCACGACTGCGGTGCCTGCGGGCGATTGAAGCGTCCCCGTGAGCTTGGTTGCATCATCCCACGTGACATCTCTGGCTGTGATTCGCAGCTCCACTGCGCCCCCGGGGACGATGCCGTCGATGGTGATGATGTTGTCCCAGAGTGGGAGCTGCCCGTCCTCTGCCACCTGTAGAGGCGCCGCCGAAGTGCTGTGTGCGATGGATATGGACGCGCCGGCAGGATTGGCAACGACGACATCGCACTCGATGGAGGGCGTCACGATGGTCGAGCCCGATTGGAAGGGCGACACTGGGGTGTAGAGGGCCGATGGGAGGGAGAACAGATGCACTGGTCCACTGTCGCTTGTGGCGTGTCCGGTTGCTGTCACAGTCACCCTCCGAGTGCACTCGATCGCCCTCGTGTCTGGGCATGGACAAGCGGCATAGTACAGCTCGCTCTGCATCAGGTAGTTGATGCGGTCGATGTCAAACCCCCGCAGCACCAGCTCCCTCCCGTTGCTCAGCACGGCGAAATCCCGCTGCGTGCCCGGCACCCTCAGCCGCTTCCATTGCCACGTGCCGTCATCCAGACCGCCTCCCTGCCCCCCGACCAGCCCCCAAGGCGCCCTCGACGCCTCCCGCTGCTGCTCGTGCTGTGTGGTCTGTCGGAACTCGATGGCGTCTTGGCAAGACGTCATGCCGAGAATGGCTGGACTGTAGGTGACGGGCCCGTCCGCTGTCACGTGGACAGTGTACTCAAGCTGAGCCGTCAGGGGGACGTCCTGGCCGGCTGTGAGGGTGAGACCGAGCCCGCTCAGAGGGATGGCCAGCGGCTGCATGGCTTGGCCTGACACGGACGGCTGGCCCGTCCGGGTGAGCAGCAGCGTGCCCCCCTGGTTGTTCGAGGGCTGCGTGACCACGACTGCCACCTGCAGCTGCACCGAATGGCGATCGTCGACCACCGTGACGTCGACGCCGGCCGACCCCCGATACCCGACAGATGATGCATACTCCAGCCCCTGTAGTGCAGCCGCCACCTGTGCCGCTGTGCCCTGGAAGGCCAGCAGGAATCCCGGCGGGTAGTCGAGAGGCCGGTACTCCGCTGTGGTCGGGCTGACAGGGGCTGACGGTGCGAGAGCAACGGTTCCGTCGCCCGTGACGCGGACCTCCACCTCCAGCCTGTCGACACCACCGCCACCCATGCCGTCGTCAGCAAATGTGATGGACGCCTTGCTGCCGATAGACACAGTCCTGCCTGCCGAGACGAAGACCACTGGATGGGCGGCGGTGAGGGTGGGCGGCTGGTTGACAGCTGTGAGCGTGACGGAGAGGGCTGCTTCGTTGCTGCCGGGTGAGCGGAGCAGTACTCGAGCTGTGGACGAGGGCCAGGGCGAGAGTGTGGGTGGCGCTGCGATTGTGAGGTCACTGAGGCAGTCGCGGAGGAGAGAGATGCTCCTTGCCGTGATGGTCAGGGCAGTGGGGTGGGAGACCTGGCTGCTCAGCAGAGAGAGGCGCTCTGGAAAGAGGAAAGGATACACACAGGTGCCCGTGTCCGATGGATGTGGCCGTGTGCTCGCGCACCTAAGCCAGTTGCAGTGACGGCAACGGTGCAGAGAGAAGGCAGCGGCGTGACGAACACCAGCCCGCCCTCCAGCCACACATCCATCGACGCACTCGAATGCCCCGGCAGCTCCGCGGCGTTGACCAGCTCATCCTCATAGTCCACAGACGTCACGCCGACCACACCCGCCAAAGCCAGCCCCCCACCGATCTCCATCGACGTTTCTGGCGGGGCCAGCAGGATGGTCGGCTGCAGCGGGTCCTTTGCCGACGTCACGTGGATCCACACAGAGTGGTCGAGCGTCACGGCGGTCAGTGCCGCCTGTATCTGCAGCCGACAGGTGGGGGATTGGTGCGTGTTGAAGTCGGGAGTGGGGAGGAAGACCACGCCGCAAATCGGCACAGCCACCGCCGGCAGCCGGATGCGGAGCGTCGATGAGCCGGCACACGCCCCTGCCAGCACCACCGCCCCCTGCCCAGCCCACGTGCTGCACAAGGTCGCTTCAATGGTGCCCTGATACGCCGTCAGCGTCAGCACAACGTCATCCCCTTGTGTGAAGCCGTCGATGGCGATGCACGGGAGCGACAGGGGGGTGTCCTCCATGGTTGAGAGGTCCTCCTGGGGGCTGGTTGGCGGCACCAAGACGACCTTGGGCGTGGCGGGGGAGTCGGGATGCACCCGAATGGGCACGGACAGAGACGACGAGGCGGTCGGGTCGCCCTCTGTGCCGTAGACAGTGATCCACAGCTGGTCGTAGAAGTCGCTGCCCCTCTCCATGTACCGGCCGTCGATTGGAATCCACCGGTAATACAGATCCCTCAGAGCCGTGTTCACGTCATTGAGGGCCGCTGGGCCAAACACCAGATACTTGCCGTCATAGCGCAGTGAGTCAGCCTGCAGGACGCTGCTCACGACAGCGCTGCTCGTGTCGTGGAAGAGGCTCCCCCGCCCCAGCAGCTCCACACCAGCGCTCCCACTCGTCCGGTTCCCCCCCACCATCCGCACACCCATCTCCACAACCACACCTGTGCACACCAACGGCTGAGCGCTCGACAGGGATACAGCGGGGCCGAGGGCGATGGCGCTGAGATCCGTCACCTCCAGCGTGCCCGCTGCCGCCACCGAAATGTCGCAAGATGGCTGAAGGGCTCGCCTAAAGATAACTGTTGCACTGGTGGCCGCCTTGGGGTGTGCAGTGGGGTTGAGAGTGAGGTGGAGAGAGAGCCGGCCACGGGCATGCTGATCTGGGGATAGCATGAGTGTGTGGACGCCTGACGAGAGGGCGGGTAGGGGGCCTGATACGATGGCTTTGCGGAAGTAGAGAGGGGGCCCGGTGGTGTCGGTGAAGCTCAGAGGCGGGATGTACTCGATGCTCACACCCTGGCACAGCACACACAGGTCCATGAAGGTGAGTTAAGTGCATGGACAGATCACCAGCCAACATAGCATGCCCCTGTTTAGTTACCGACCGGGTGTGATGTGTCCAGCGACGGCAAAGCGATCCTGCCGCCCGTCTCCATCCACACCACCAGCCTGTAGGGAGAGGCCGTCGCGTCACCTGCCTGCAAAGTGATGCCGGTGAGCGTGAATTCGCCCACAGCCGGGATATCTATGGGCCGCTGGGGGTCTGCTGTGTCGACGGAGAGGGCAGGGTCGTCATAGGGAATGGAAACGGTGGGCGGGAGGGGGCGTGGTGACACCGACACAGCGATGCTGCCTGCATGCGCGGGCACACACATAGGCGGGCGCTTTTGTCGGCGTGTGAAGGAAGTGTTCGGAGTTTGTGTGCTGACTGACTGACCTGTTGCTGTTCCAGCGTCTTGGTCCTGTGTGTGTCTGAAGTGTTCCACTGACACTGATACCACCCCGCTGCTGCCGCCGTCGGCCATGGTCGTCTCCAGATACACCAAATCTGGAAGGGCAGCCAAACCGCTCGGCAGCACCCTCAAAGACAGCTGACTCAACCACAGACACACGCACACACACACACATCACCATCACACACACACACACACACACAGAGTTCATGTCGCCTTCACCCCGCTCACCTTTGCGCATCCCCGAAGGCACGATGCCGGCGCACTGTCAGAGGCCGGTTGGAGAAGGTTGGGGTACTGCAATGTCAGCCCCCCGACGGTCGTCTCAATGGTCACACTGAGCATGGCCGTGGGGCCGCCCTCCAGCCCATCCACATACAGCTGTGAGGGGGCGGTGTAGTAGTCGGATGCATCCAGATCGGTCAGGGTGAGCGCGCCGTCCAGCGACACCTGAGCAGGGCAACAAAAGAGGATTGTGATCCGTCATAAGTTTGCGTCATGTACGGTGGCTGACCTTCTTGCCGGCAGTAACGGTGAGGTCTGCATCGACCTGCGGCGGCTGTAGCCGGCGGATCACCGCTACCCAGAAGCGCCAGCGACCCACAAACTCATAGTCACCTGCATACACACGAAAAGCCGAATGACGCCGTTGTGTTTGTGAGAGCCTCTGCGACCTCATTGCTCGCCCCACCGGAGCCAATGGTGCGTTCAGCCTTCAGGAGTGCCTCGATGGTCGCCACGGGCGAAGTGAGTGACCCAGCCGGCACGGCAAGCCGAGCGCCCTCGAGCAGCACATTCTTGGTGACGGTGACAGACGTCTGCCATCCGATAGAGCGACCTCTGAGTGGGTGCAGCAGCGTCAGGGATGAGGCACCAATGGCCGTGGACGCCACGGTGTTGGTGTCGATGCTCAGCTCGCCGACTGTTGTGGTCAGCTCCACACGAACACTCTTAGGCCTGCATGCAGTGCAGAAACCCACCGAGAGACAACACAGCCACGTGGATTGGATGTATGGCCACTCATTGTCATTGGTTGATCGCTCCGCTCCCACCCATCTGCTGAGCTTGCGACCAGTGCGATTCCACCAATAAGCACATCCTGCCCCTCCTCCACAGACAGCGCTCCATTAGGCGGCACATCCAGCCGCATGACGGTCCCCCTCTGCACCACCTCAAGGGCCAGTGTCTCGGTCACTGGGGCTGGCATGACGGTGCTGCCCTCGCTGCCCGTGTAGCCAAAGTCCTGCACACTCACGGTGAGGGTGTCGGTGCCGCTGAAGTTGGCAGAGGGCGGCCAGTAGTGCACCCACTGGAGACACTCGTTGAGCCGCAGCAGACTCCCAGATAGGACGAGTCGGTGAGCTGTCCGCTGCTTGACCAGCACCCCCGCCTCAGACATGAGCCCGATGGTCCCCTCGTCCACGTGGATGTCCACCTCGACTGGCGACGTCCGCCACTCCTCTGCGTCGATGTCACTTACCGCCACAGGGGGCAGAAGGGACGCCGTGGCCGGATCTCCCACCACTCCACCGTCAGCCAGGCCATTCAGCACGCTCAGCGGCGACACACCTACCGTCCCCCCAACCAGGGCCACATCGAACTCGATGGTCGGCAGGCTGTTCGATGGTGTGGTGGCCACGTGCCAACATGCCGTGGTCTTTCGCGTCGTGACGCCCTCAGCATCGATCGTCCCAGCGACGCCCCCATCGTCGAGCGTGATGCAGAGGGAGTCGAGCCCAGGGTTGAGGTGGTTGCCGTGCAGTGGGGGCCTGTATACAAGGGTTGCTAGGGCGTTCTGTAGCGCTGCGAGCGTCCCCACCAAGGCCAGAGTCGACGGTGGGCCCTGCCGCTGGTCGACCGTCACCGCGTGGCTGGCCGCGTCCACCGAGACGCTCCCGAAGGAAGCCGACACAGTGAGGGTCATGCGTGGAGGTGTCGACTCGAATGCTGCGTCAGGGTCGCTCAGCACGAAGGAGCTCAGAGCGATGGGTGCGTCCTCGGTGCCCGTGATGGTCCTCCACCAAGGATAGAGCGGCGATGTGACGGACGGCGGGTCGTTGACGGCCTCGACAGTGATGGCGAAGGACAAGTCGCGGCACACTCTCTCCACCGAGGGGGCCGCTGGCGGTGCATGGGACCGGTCGTCGAGGGATGGGAAGCAGACCTCAACAGTGACGGTGACCGGGCCCCCATTCTCGCTGGACCAGTGTGGGGTCGAGTGGAGGAACACAAACCGCCGTATCATTCGCTCCATCGAGGCAGCCGCGGCGATGCCCTCGATCTTGCTCGCATCAACGGAGAGTAGCTGCGTCAGCCAGTCGGATGGCGACACACGCGTGGATAGAGGAGATGTCTCCCATTTGGGCCTGCCCGCTCCCCATGTGTGTGGGAAGAGCCGGCCCTGGTCCACCTCCACAGAGAAGAAAAAAGGATAGAGCGGCAGGTCGCTGTCAATGTGCAGGCCGATGTCGCCCAGTGGGGCGGCCGTGTCCTCCTTGGCTGTGAGTGAGGTGTGGTCGAGTGCGATGGTGGGGAGGTTGGCGGCCACCCTGGCTGTCTCGATGACGAAGTCAAACGAGAATGTGGTGGTGAGGTTGCCGCCTCGCCCCTCGACGCCGCCGTCTGCCGCACGTATCTGCACCACCTCCTCGCCCTCAAACGACTCAGGGGGCCGGTACACCACCTGCACATTGAAGGGGACAGATAGGCCCAGTGACGGTGGTCATCTTTGTCCCTGTGTGAAGAGCTTACCGAGTGCAGCATGGTAGTGACGTCGTCTCTCGTCCCAGGACCGATCATGAGGTAGCGGTGAAGCGCTGGCGGCGGTGGGATGGCCGTCACAGGCAGAGACCCAGCCAGGGCGTCGAAGTGCCCCACACGGCACTCGACCGTCGCAGTGAAGGTGTTCCACTCGGCCTTCTGCACACTGCCGCTCAGATCCGCATCGTCGATAGAGAAACTCCCGAACCCCACTGTCTGGTCGCTCCACACGTGGCTGGGCGGCATCGCCGTCACCCTGACAATGGGTGGGTCGTTGACGGCCTCGACAGCGATGGTGGTGTGGAAGTCGACTGTGAGTGGTGTAGGGTCCTGGGCTGTTCGTGTGGATGGGTCGATGGCTGGGCTGCCGTAGCCGTTGTCATCGATGAAGACCTTCATGGCCACATCGCCGTTCATGTGGAGAGGGGGTGTGAACCGAAGGTCGTCAAGACAGGCCCGCAGGATTGACATGGCGGGGTACGTCGACGGCCGTGTCGTCAAACGGCAGGACACTGCACCAGGCAGACACACGCAGTGGGATCACTGTATGTATTCGGGCCATCGCTTCACTTACCGCCTGCAGCGTATGGACAGTCGGTGACGAAATAAGTCCGCAAGTCGATGGGCGCAGTAAAGCCCTCCACATTGACGACCTTGTGGTTGGGGCATCCGACCCACCCCTGGGCCGCCTGCACGCTGAGGGTGTAGTAGCTGTCAGGCAGATGCGCCCCGTCATCGGTCACATCGATGCAGCACAGCCTGGTCAGATAGCCGTCCTCTGGCGCAGACAGGGGGCCGCTTGTGAGCGTCACGGAAGGGCGCTGGTTGGCCGCATGGACGAACACCGCAATGTCAGCCGAGAAGGCCACCGGCACGCCGCCCTCCTCCACTGTCATCAAGACGGTGATGTGCTGCATGGAGCTGCCGTGGCTGCCGGCCGAGTCACGATGCACCGACAGCGACGCCAGGTCAGCATTGGCCTGCGCGAAGGTGCAGCCGATGCACGAGATGGACGTGGCTGCAGCCGAGGGGTCGCCGAACGAGATCTGAAAAAAGACAGCAACAAACACTAGTGGTTGCTGCAATGTGCGTCGCCCTTCTCCCCGACCGTGAGAGGCCCCGCGTCGACGGAGAGTGTCATGTCGATGGTGTCAAACGCCCCATGGACCAAAGCCACATTCCCCAGGGTCTTGGTGGTCTCCCCGACCAGCACCTCATACAGCGGCTCCCGCTCCAGTCGCGGCATTCGAGCAGGCAGGTGCAGACCGACCGACCTGGACACTGACAGCCCCGTGAGCCGATTGGTGGCATTGACGACCATCTGCAGGCTGCCGTGCACCTCCTCATTGCGGATGAGGGTGAGAGGATCCATGAGACGATTCGACAGAGGGCCACACGTGAAACATCCCACCAGCGACTGACGCCGCGGATCACCACTGTGTGTACACAAGACAGACAGACAGACAGATGGACAATTGATGCCCAGACACCACACCCACAACCATGCTTGTCTGGCTCGCTCACGCGATGGCGACGGCCCATATGTTGACGGGCTGGCGAAAGGTCACTTGGATGAAGGGATCAGCATCATGCAGATCCGGCAGCCAGCACGAGGAGTATGAAGACACCAAAGCAGCCCGATCGGCCGCGAAATACACAGGGGAGAACTCCGATGACGCGATGATGGTAAGTGCGGTCGATGGCGGCACATCAGCGGCTTGACTCGCCCAGACTAGCGGGGCTGCCGACTGTGCTGAGCAGAAGGTCGACAGCGGGCATCCATACACCTCAAAACGAAGGGCAGGGAACCTGATTGTTGACAAAACGGGTTAAACAAAATATGCATGCATCCTTCCTTTTCCGTGTCGTATCACGTCGATCGACCGTCTTCCCTTGTTTCGCCACTCACCCAGAGAACTTGCGGGGCCGAATCCGCAGCCTCTGCGCCGGCACTGGCTGTCCAAATGAGGTCTTGTGTGCCGCCTGCGCGTCCGCCGGTCCGCTGAGCCCGTCCTGCACCCTCCACTCCTCCGCCCACTCGATCTGGCCGACCGTCTCGATGGCATACTCCGTCACCCACCCGCCATAAGCAACCTGCCGCCCCTCGTCGTTGCTTCGCCAGTAGCATGACGCTTGGGAGGCGAAGGGCGAGAGGGACAGCTGCACGGGCGGGCTGGGGCGGGAGAGGTCTGATGGGGATGTGGCGAGGGATGGTGGGGACACCCATATGGTCAAGGCGAGAGATGCGTCGTTGGTGAGATCGCTGCTGCTAAAGCATGAGGTCTCCACGTCGGATATTGCCAGCTCCGGGGGACCTGTGTGGTGGAAAGGTCTAGAAGTGACTTGCGCCTGTGCGGTTTTGTTGCTTACCAATGCTGACAGCCCTCGACACGACGACCGGCTCTGCTCCAGAGTAGGTGACTTGGGGCGGATCCACAACGTTTCGGACATACACCTGAATCAACAAGCAACAGCATCGTCATTTACTCGCCTTTCTCTGTGAGATCTTCCCTTCGCTTGTCTGGCCCCTCACCTACCGGCATCTCGATGGTGTCGCGCCAGAAGAACTCAACCGGTGTGCCGCCGATCTCGTGCACTGCAGTGTTGGAGTCACAACAGGAAGGACAGCGCATGTGGTTGAGCCAGTGCATGTGTGGCTTTCTGGTCTCCATGCTCACGGCTGACTAGCAATGCCACTTTGTCGCCAAACACATCCGAGTTGTAGTCTGGTGGTGGCCGGAAAGACAGCTGACCCAGCTTGCCGTTCACAGACAACACATCACCTTCACGCAGGCAAAAAAAGAAAGAGACCAAAGATTGCATGCTCCCTCCGTCTTCTCCCTGGTGGTGCCTCCCTACCTGTGACGTTCACCTGGTGGGCGAATGTGCTGCCATCGACGGCCAGGGTTCCCGCAGACACCGCCAGCCCCACCAACACCTGCTGCGACGCCACGGCTGTGGCTGAGGCAGTCGAGTGGACGTATAGCAACAGGATGGGCGAGGTGGTGTCCTCCGGCACCTCCCACCAGTCGTGTGTGGCCCGCAGCAGCAGGGTGGACGAGGTGGCCACGGGCGTGACGGTCATGCCGATGGTGGCAGCGTAGTGGCCCTCGGTCGATGCACCGCTCTGATCGACCAGACAGGCAGATTGTGAACAGACAGGGAGGGCAGATGGACATATGGATCCACGGCGGCTCCCTGACCCGTTTGCTGCATGATACAGAGAGTGTGTCGTTGGAGCAGTGTTGGCACGGCAGATACTCCAGCTGACTCAACACGACCGGGGCAGCATCCAACGGCGCCTGAAACCTGACATAAACCAACCAAGCAGCCACCATCCACGGCCATTCAGACACACATGGCATCCACCGACCTGATGGCGTGTCCCGTCCACTCCATTATGTTGACCCCCGCGATGGACTGGGTGTGCACCTCGCCATAGGCCGCAGACACACGCACGTCCATCATGGCGTCATCGTCAACTGACGTGCCACTGGCGGCGGCCAAGACGTCGATGCCGTGGATGGGCGACGCGGCGCCTCCATGCACCTCTTGATGAGGCCGAGATATGACACATGCCTTATCAGATACACACGCGAAGAGCACAGACAGACAGGCAGCCAACACACCCGTCCGCACACAGACGAATGGGTGACGTGTTTGGCTGTCTTTTCTCTCACCGATTGGGCGAGGGCTCCATGAGTCGACAGTATCCACACACACACGAGCACCGTCACAATTGTCGCTCGAAGATTCATCGTCCCTCTAAATCGACACTCGCCCGCTGCATCAGTGGCTCACGCAGATCCATCCATGTCCTCGCCGCCTCTACCACATGCCTCCCTGGTGTTGGGCGCCGCTGATCAGATCTATCATCGTAGCTCTCGCGCGCGAGATCCGCTCTCGAACCAGCACCACCTGGCCAGCAAAGGCACAGATCTCGCTAGCATTCAGCCCATCGCATTGGTTGGTTGGTAGTGTGCTGCCCCCGATCTTCGCGAAGCTCGCACTGGGGGAAGTGGCTGTCAGAAGTGCAAGTCGGTCCAGGGTTTAGGGTCTAGGGTTCATAGACCGACGATCCACTGATCTGTGAGACAGGACGGCTGTTGAGTCTTTGTCCGTTCCATGAGACAGGCCATGGCGGACAGGACGTCAGACAGGATGGACTGACGCATACTACATGTCCTACG